AACTGTCTAATTTCGCTCCGTTTTCTCCAGTTGCTAATACATTCAATGGCATCGATATAAAAACGATGACCTAGTTTCTTGCACGCTTTATGTTGTTAAAGTTAGAGCCAGCTTACTTGGTGTATAGAGAGTATGAGAGAAAAAGGATAAACGGTCATGCTGCAACGGTGTGAATGACCTTTGAGTTATCACTCCCAAGCGAAAAAAAAACAGAAAGACACCTGAGCGAATGGTCAGGGCAGTGCCCAGGCAAATCTTGGCGCATGAGTTTTTCGGAAATTGATGTGAGGGGTCCTTACTAATGCACTGCCCAAGGGGCAGCGCAAATTGTGCATCTATGGGTGAGAAACCCGTTCCCGAAAACCTAGCACCGTATGGGTTGAAAAGACCCTATGACTTAGGCTTAGATTTCGCGTTGAGTAAGCAATCAAAAGGGGCTTGATTTTTGAGAAGAGCCAGCTCCTGCCCGTATACATCAACGAACCGTAAAGCATGCCATTGAGGATAAACCCTACCCTTGAGGGTAAACCTTACCCCAGGAAGCGATTAACCCATATTCACAGGCATAAATAATCATCAAGATAATAACCCTAGCATAGAGCAAGGAACTTACCCTAACCCTAAGTACAACATAAGACCTCTCGATGCACCACTCAGTCCTAGCTTACTGTTTCGACAACAAATACATACATAAAATGATAAAATCAAACAAAAAGACGAAAAAAGCCCATAGAAAACCTGAGGTTGTCAAAACTATCGTCAGGTCTGAGTGGTGCATCAAGAGATCGCTTTATGTTTGTACGAAGTGTCAAGGTTAGTTCAAACTTGCTCTATGCTATAGTCGTCCTCACCCCTTTGGTATACACCAAGCTGGTACCACTACGTTGTATAACTGTTTATTCGATAGTAGCGGAGCAGCCGCTGATTATCAACAGTGAATATGCGGAACAGCCGCTGACGATAGTGGCATTAATCGAACCAACACCAGAACTGAGTATTCAGGCCCTTTTATGCCACTATTTTGGGCGTGGATAACCTGAATGCTCACCTCTGGTAAACAATAGTATCATACAGCATGAAGGATTGCCTACATGAAAGTAGGCGCCGCCAAGTAGACTATCAAGCACAGCTGAGGGGTGACCCGGCGGCTTAAGTGGTCAGTGAACAATAGGGTTTGTCAACGACAAGCTAACAGATATCTTATATATAACTAGCTGGCTTACCCGGCTCCGCCGTATCCAGACCAAACTTGGCACACATACACTTCGGGCTCCGGCGGGTGTCACAGTCCACTTTTCGTTATCGATCGATGTCGATTTTACCGATTTTTATCGATTTTTTTGCTGAGTTCACCTACGGGGCTAGGAGTTGGCACAGGGGGGGAAGTGAGCATGGGGACTCCGAATACAATATTAGTTTTCAGAATTATCGATTACTTTTATTGATTTTATCGATTTTTTGTAAATTTTGACATGCGAGGCTGGGAGTTGGCACAGGGGGGTAATCGAGCATGGGGATTCCGAATACAATATTGGTTTTCAGGATTATCGATTACTTTTATCGATTTTATCGATTTTTTTGCAAAGTTTGAGCTACGGGGCTGGGAGTTCGCACAGGGGGGTAATCGAGCATGGGGATTCCGAATACAATATTGGTTTTCGGGATTATCGATTACTTTTATCGATTTTATCGATTTTTTGCAAAGTTTGAGCTAGGGGGCTGGGAGTTGGCACAGGGGGGTAATCGAGCAAATTTTCAAAAAATCGATAAAATCGATAAAAGTAATGGACGATCTTGAAAACTAATATTGTATTCGTAATCTGCATGCTCGATTACCCCCTGTGCAAAATCCCAGCCTCGCATGTCAAAATTTACAAAAAATCGATAAAATCAATAAAAGTAATCGATAATTCTGAAAACTAATATTGTATTCGGAATCCCCATGCTCACTTCCCCCCCCCCTGTGCCAACTCCTAGCCCTGTAGGTGAACTCTGCAAAAAAATCGATAAAAATCGGTAAAATCGACATCGATCGATAACGAAAAGTGGACTGTGACACCCGCCGGGGCCCGAAGTGTATGTGTGCCAAGTTTGGTCCGGATACGGCGGAGCCGGGTAAGCCAGCTAGTGCTAAATATAACATACACGGTAGATCTACAATGCTAAAGGTTGTAGATTACTTGGATAATCTACGACAGTGGGGCGCGCGACGGAAGGCGCGTAAGCAAGAAAATATAAATCACAAAACTTACACGTAGGTTACAAAAGTTCATCACAACATTAGCTAAGTCACGTATATCACATGATTTCTGTAACGGGTTCGTTGTCTTCGTCTGGGATTCGTAAGGTGGTCGGCCATCATGTCGTGGTCGGCCTTCGGGGCCAGGCGCGACGCTGAAGCGAGACATCCCGGTTGAGCATCAGTAATCATCTTCATAAATTGTCCTTGAGCCCTTGGTTTTCGGCGTTTGCGATCGAATTGTTGTCCACGAGATGCGCTGTTACGTTGGCAGCTTTCGTGTTTCGTAGATGACTTCTCAGGTTGTGCGAACATATTCATCGGATACGGACGACTGAGCTTCTTTGCTCGGCGTTTGGAAGTTTTGCGCTCAGCTTGTTCGACGCTTCTAACTGGCTTCTGCTTCATTGAGTTTCCTTTACTCACTAGATGATTGTAGGAGACCATGGTGATTGCGGTGTTCTGCAAATGCTCCTCCATCTTGATTCCATATATCGGACTGCTTCCGGAGATTGCATGACCGAAAACAGTAGGGGTGAGAATAAGTCCTGACGGAAGAATTCTACATGGACGATCCCTCAAGATGAATTGATCGATCAGATCTTGACCAATGAGAATGTCCGGTGTGAACCGTCGCGTCTTCAGATCCGGTTGTGCTACTCGATTCTTTCTTTTTCGAATCAACCTTCTATCCTCTGCGCTTAGAAAAGCTGTATTCATCGCGGAAGTGAGGGTTGACTTTGTGTGTATCTTCACGGCTTTGATAGCGACTCCAGCAGACGTTGTTCTCAGTGTAAGCGGGACTTCACTGGATGTGAAATGTGCGCTAGATCCTCCGAAGCCGCCAATCTTGAAAGTGGTGTTTTGCAGCACTGGTAAGCCAAGAGCTTGGGTCTTCTTTGCATTGATGAAGCTCTTTTGTGCACCTCCATCAAAGAAGACAGTCACGGGCTTATAGCTGGTCGATGTGTAATCGTATGCGAGTGCAGTTGCCGTCATCAGTACGTGCTGCAATTCTCCTCGCTTCGTGCTCTTGTTGTGGAGAATTTCAGAATTTTGCACAAATTCAGGGTCTCTCGTAAGATGTTGATCGCGAGCAGATCGTTGCTGCGATCGCCTGACTGGGGTGCCTCTTGATGCTGAGTAGCTACCCATGCATACGGCAGTGTGATGGTTTCCGTGACACTTGTAGCATGACTGTGAGCTGGTGCAATCACTAATCCTGTGATCTGTTTGAAGACATCTGAAGCACAGCCTTTGTTTCCTGGCTTCATCACGTCGCTCTGCCGCTGTTTGGAATGTTGTGCATCGCGTCGCATCATGTTGATAACTTCCGCAGATGCATTGAGCACTCGAATTTCTCGAAGATGTACTTCCTTGGTTATGTTGTTTATAATTGTATGCGATTGAGTCTTCTTCGCAGTTCTGCCTCTCATCAATAGCTTGATCGGAATCGGAACGTCCCGCGACATCGCACTGTCCAAATGCAGATGTTGCAAAGGCGAGGGTTTCCTTCAAAGCGACTGCATCTTCCAGAACATCTAAGATCTCCTCTGTTGTGAATGATTTTTCTTCATTCTGCTCTTTGCAAAGTACTTTCTCGTTCAACGAGTTTGGAAACTTTGAAAGTATTAGTCGCCTCCACATTCGGTTGTTGTCCAAGGGAACTCCTGCACATTCGATGTGAGTGAGCTTTTCGGTCACACTAATCAGAGCTTGTCTGCAGCTGTAGGCATCTTCTTCTGCTCGTGGAAGCCTTTCAAGCTCTGTGATAAGCAGATCTGCTATGCATCCAGACTTGTTGAAGCGTTTATCGAAAAGTTGTATGGCTTTATCGTAGTTTTCTCCAATGGCATATTGCCAAGAAGCGAAGCTGCTGTTCCTTTCAGTGCTTGCCTCAAGAAAAGGAACTTGTCCACGTTGCTGAGTTGCGGGTTGCTATGGATCAGCGAGTTAAATATTGTCCAGAAAGTTGGATACTCCTTATAGCTGCCATCAAACGTGGGAACTTCAAGCTGCGGTAGTCGCATTTTGTTTTCAGAAAAGTGCCTTGTCGATATATAACTCTCCTGTTCCGGATCTCTCACTGAACTAGAACGTGATGACGTCGTTAGGGTGTGGGCTTGGATCAGATTCGATTGCTTCTCCAGTTCTCTCATCCGGTATTTCAGCCTATTTTTCCAGTGAATACCCTCAAGCTGTAGACCGTTTGCTTCTGTGCTTAGGAAGGCAGCCAAATCGTTTATCAATTTGTCCTTGTCTGACTGGTCCTTTTTTGCGCCGAGAAAATTCATGGCAGTTTGCACTTGAGCCTCTAGGTTCTCCAGTAAACCTATTAGCGAGATTTGCAGTTCATCAATCTCTGCCATTTTATCCGCTATAAAGGCGTTGCAATCGGTTGCGGTGTCGGGAAACTCAAAAGCTTTATCAATATTGCGGACCTTGTCCTCAAGACCGCTGATTGATGAACAGGCCATAGAAATGCGAGCTTTATATAGAGTTAGCTCAGCCATCGTCTGCCTTGTGCGCATGGACTTGTATCGCTTGCGCTTTCTTCGTCTGCGTGCTTTGGCACTGCAGGTGTCCTCTTTGGTAGAGGTGTTCTGGCTGGGTACTGAGTACGCGCAGCTGTCGAGAACTGTGGAGGTTGGCTGGGCCTGAACCTCTGTGGGATTTTTTTTTGCTGAGTGCAAGAAAATTAGTCACTAGTGAGCTAGCAGTGGAGCGCTTAGCTTCTTCTAGTTGGTTAGCAAGCGTGCCGATGGGCTTGAACGCTGTGCTAACTGGTTAGGTTTGGATCCTGCCCAGTCGAGTTTGAGGAGACCTTGTAGTTTAATAGCTTTCGAGTGAACTATTAAAAACGTACCAACTGTTTTTTTTACTAACCTCTGGCGTCTTACTAGAAGAGATCACAGAAGAGTTCAATCTCAGTGGTAAGGTCTTCAGCTGGAGCTTTTACTACTTTCTGGTCGTCTTACGAAAAGAGAGCTCAGAAAGGTTCAATTAACCAGTGGTTTCCTCAGCTGACGCTTTTACTACCTTCTGGTCGTCTTACGTAAAGAGAGCACAGAAGGGTTCAATTAATCAGTGATTTTCTGCCAACTAACGCTTTTACTACCTTCTGGTCGTCTCAAGAAGAGAGAGCTCAGAAGGGTTCAATTAATTAGTGGAGAAGTATTCAGCTGGGGCTCTTACTACTTTCTGGTCGTCTCACGAAGAGAGAGCTCAGAAGGTTCAATTGACCAGTGAAATTTTCTTCGGTTGACGCTTTTACTACCTTCTGGTCGTCTCACGAAGAGAGAGCTCAGAAGGGTTCAATTAATCAGTGAAGAAGCCTGCCAACTAACGCTTTTACTACCTTCTGGTCGTCTCACGAAGAGAGAGCTCAGAAGGGTTCAATTAATTAGTGGAGTGTCTGCCACGCGGGACTTTATCAGCTTTCTGGGTAGCAAACGCCAGAAAGTGAACCGTAGGCCGAATGCACCAATTTGGTATACACCAAGCTGGTACCACTACGTTGTATAACTGTTTATTCGATAGTAGCGGAGCAGCCGCTGACTATCAACAGTGAATATGCGGAACAGCCGCTGACGATAGTGGTATTAATCGAACCAACACCAGAACTGAGTATTCAGGCCCTTTTATGCCACTATTTTGGGCGTGGATAACCTGAATGCTCACTTCTGGTAAACAATAGTATCATACAGCATGAAGGATTGCCTACATGAAAGTAGGCGCCGCCAAGTAGACTATCAAGCACAGCTGAGGGGTGACCCGGCGGCTTAAGTGGTCAGTGAACAATAGGGTTTGTCAACGACAAGCTAACAGATATGCTAAATATAACATACACGGTAGATCTACAATGCTAAAGGTTGTAGATTATTTGGATAATCTACGACAACCCCCTAGTCGGTCGGTGGACGAATTCGAATTCGAACTGGAGCAGGCAGGTCGGGACAGAGCACGGCACCTTAGCTCTCCGTTCAAATTCACGCATTCACTTTGCGTATTTGTTCGCCATTGCTTAGCAGTTTTTGTTTTGTTACAACGTTTTTGACCTATATTGAGTTTTTGTAATTGCTGAGCGTTGTCTCCTGCCGCGTTCTGCCGTGACAGGCCTGCTCCAATTCAAATTTGAATTCGTCCACCGACCGACTAGTGGGGTGAGGACGACCATAGAATTAAACTTGCCTTGATGAGTCACGTTCACGAATACGGGTCAGTCGCTTCCTGGCATAAAGTTTACCCTCATTTATTTACTCTCAGGGCTCGTTGATGAATACGGGCTAAAGATGAACCTTACCTTGAAGGATTCGTCGATGAAGACGGCCAAATAACCTTGAAGGCAGTGTCCCGGCAGATTTGCGCCCTGGGGATATTGCTATGGTGGGGTTCCTGGTCATTCCACTAACCTCCAGGCGCAGTGCGGCTGGTTGATATTCCCCTTGGGCCGAGAAAATAGTACTTGAAGCGGCGCGCGCAACCCCAGTCGGCGCGCGCTCGGAGGGTGGGGGAACGAAAACCGCCAGGTCCAGCCGCCTCCGCGGACTACTGGTCCTGGAACGACATGCAACAACGCTGCGAAAGGACCAGCTGGTCGCGAAAGGCGGCTGGACCTGGCGGCTTTCGTTCCCCCACCCGCGCTCGGACGACTTCGCTTGCCGTTCGGCGCGGCACCCCACGACCGCTCTCTCGCATTTTGCATGCTATCCAAAGCCGCGCCAGGGCGTCCCAATTTTCCATTGAAATTCTCGTTCGAGCTGCCTTTTGGAAATTGGGTAAACGCCCCGAAAAAGGTCTTTTCACTCGTTTCAAAGCTCAAATTCGGGGTCTACGGGTCAAGGCCCAGAACATGCAAAAAGATGGAAGTGCAAAATTTGCCGGGACACTGCCTTTGAGGGTAAATCGTATCCTTGTAGGGTTGACCCGCAGGGTTCGTTGATGATTACGGCGCTAGTGTATAGGCCAGTAAACATTCCACGATATGCACTCAAAAAGGAACTAATAACAAGGAAATTTCTGCTTTTGGAGTATTTTACAGATCGTAAATCAAATGCAGTGGTTCTACCTTTAAAACGGCTACATTTTTGGCTTGCAGCGTATTACACAGTAGTGAACAATCACCGTGGAATTCCCAAAACTTTCTTACTTTAAGTAGGTCTTTGCGAATGAGTCAAAAGGCAAAGACAGGACCTAGATATGCAGCTTATACTGCAAAGTCTTTCTAAGGACCTGAGCCTCGTCTCGTAATCGGGCAATTCTCCTCCGGACGAGTTGTTCCAACCACGCGTTAAATTTTACAACCAAACGAGGCGCCATCTATGGGGAACGTCCGGAAGGCGACAAATGACCTAGAACAGGCGCAGCTGGGGAACACGCGGAAGGCGACAAATGCCCTGGAACAGGCACGACTAGTGGCCACGCCCTGTCCGAGTTCTCGTCAACACTCGTCCTTCCAATCTTTGTACTGGAGCGCGTCTGCACGCTTTCTACATGTTTCGGTTCTTGTGTGATACATTTTTGTCTCTGTTCTTGTCTATCCTTTACGGTTCTATATTTTTCACCTTTTGTGTGAACATATCTGCTTATAGGGGTATGAGATGTATCATTGAATGCGGGAGTTCCTTCATGTAGTTGCACATATAAGCGAGCAAGAGGAGTCGTCACCTGACTCATCAGAGGTATGACCTTTCTTGTGTTCTGTGCTCTACTTTTCCATTTCATCATTTCCCTATTTAGATATCACCTTACGAATGTCCTCCCCCTATTAGCTAGCGTTTTCGTTATCATCAAAATGTTTGCGCGACTTAATCATTCCATTTTAGTTGAGATATTCGAGGAAGATCGCTTTCAACTTCGTGCGCCATTGCTATGGAATTATGAGGTAAGAGCTCTCACTCATTCGTTCTGCTTGAACTTCGCCGATCGTTTTTTTTTTTTGAAGGATGGATCTCACGCCTAAGTGCAATCGAACAGAGGAGAGCTCAAGGGCCATTGACGTGAGCATTGTGTAAACTCTGCTACTTACACTCGAGTTATCAAAACCAAATTCTACTTAAGTTTAACTTTTGTGTATTCATATGTTTTTTTATTTTAGCTATCCTAACGGTCCTAGGTTCTTGCCTTTTCTTGAAGAAATGGTTAGACTTAACATGACTTCATTGACTTGTAAGCAGTATTTCTGTATACATAATGGTCCCTGATACCGTTGTCGATAATGACTATGTGGAACAAATAGACTTACAAAAGTACTTTGGAAACTTTGTACAGGGATTTCTTGCTTTTGAGGTGAAGTTGTACTCTACATTGCTGAGTGATATTATCATTTTCTCTTTTTGTCCTATATCTGGTGCGATTTTGTTGCGAATAAAGTTGTTTTTCTTTCTGCCGTGTCAAACGAAGAATAGTGAGCAGAAAAAATAAGATGAACTTAAGTATTGACAAAGGCTAAATTCTGAAAGATATCGCGGCTATATTGAGTTCGAGGTCCGGCTGGATACAAATTGAATTTGACATTTTGCCTGAAAATGAGGATTCTTCTTACTTTGAGACTCGAAATAAAACTGCTTGGCAGCATTTGTTCTGTTTGATCTCTATCCGAATGATAGCTACATAACTGCATAGAACTGATGCAATTCCGCTATTCTTATTCAATGCAGAAGCTAATCGAAATGTCATCGGCTTCCAGATTCGTAGAGGTGTGGAGAGGCGGAGTCTTGCCATCTCACAGCGGGGCGGTTTTTGCTAGCGAGATAGTACGAAAAGCAATGCTATAACATGGAGGTTCAACAAGTTTATCCTTGTTACCAAACAAAGTCTGCAACACACCTCCACACGAACCTGGCAACTGATCATATGCGTGAGTTAGATGATGACCGAAATCGAATTTCGCTGCCAAATCTCACACTCAATCAGTTTATCAGCACACAATCTACGAGTCTACAACTTGCGTTACGTAACTTTCCTTATACACTGAGTGATCACATCTACCAATTTTACACAACGAACTCTTATGGACAAAACAGAGTAGTCGAAGAGGGCACCGCCACCATTCAGGTGCCAGCCTATGCGCCACAAGAGCGTCAATCTGACTAATTGACTCGAGGCCAGCACTAAACAGCAGGCAAATGGGAGGCGTGGCCATCGTTCCCTCGCCTCCGCTGTTTTTTGTCGCCTTCCGCACCACACCCCACCCGGCGCAGCTAGTGGCCACGCCCTGTCCGAGTTTCCCGTTGTTAGGATGCTCTGGATATTTGGATTGGGGCGCCTTTACACACATTGCGTATGGCTCTCTCAATCTTTGACTTCGTGTTTTTTCTCACGTGGTTTTGTTAAACTGTTTTTGTTTCGTGTACGTAGATATATTATTGGTCACTGTAGTAATGTGATGATTTGCTTTACTTTGCATTTGCCTATCTGTAAGCATATGCTCTCCAAAACTTCCTTTTGTAAAAAACTTTGTTTCAGGCTGCTATGTATTATCGTCTCCCAGATTCGTGTGGAGGCCGCTTGCGGACTTCCCTGATTTTTAGAATGAACTTGTTAAACCTCCACGTTATAGCATTGTATCTCGTACTCTCTCGTTAAGCTTATTCTTAAAATCAGGGAAGCGTGATCCGCTCCACACGATGGGAGCCGATCCTATAGTGCAATAAAAGATCACTCTAGTAAGGAGGTTAGTAGATATCTGCGTTCTTTAGTGATGTGAACTTTTGTATTTCTTCATAAGTTAGGTATTTAACTGACTTCACAATATTTTTTATATGTTAAATAGTTTTTGTGCAGACCCCGTTCAAGTTGATGAGGTCGAACGGATAGAATGTGAGTGTAATTCCACCCAACAACGTACTGTAAGCCAGTTACATCGAGTGAAGGTGAGTCATCATTCTTTTGCATCTTCTTTATAATACGACTTTTCTTCAGGTTGAAAATAGAAGAAGATTAGGAGCACTTTGAGCAAGGACGCATTCTGCGGTGGGATCTCGATATGAGATTGCTCGAGCATTTCATTTTCTTTTTCTTCTTTATTTTAGCTATGGCTTGCAATACATTGTAATGTTTTAGTGATAATAACCATTCTTTTTTCCTATTGTTAGCATCGCTGCCTTTTTTTTCATTGAGAATAAAGGAGTATCGTTCAAACTCAAGGACAGAACAGTGCAGAAAAGCACGATAACGTCATGAAAGTAATTATGGAAAGAACTGCAGTTTGCTAGGCGGTTCGTGTAACTAGACAATTTCGGGTTCCCGGCAAAAAGATTTTGTGTTTCTTCCACCGAAAGGTAGCTGATTTGCAGCAGTATGATCGTTTTGATTTATCTTGTCTGTTTGAACAATACCACACACTGCCGTTGTCATGTCCTGAATACCGTTCATGACATGCTCAGTCGTCGCGATGGATCTGAATGTGACAAATCGACCTCCGTGAATCAACGGAATGAAAATTGCGGAAACTGCACTCTTAGATCAAAAGAACGCGTTTTTGAAGAAATCGATCTGCTCATAACCCGTCTTTTGGATGGTGGATTGCAATTATGTTTTCTCATTTGTTCCAAAGCTATACAGTCGAGTAGATTTCCTGCTTAATATAGTGTCCCTGCAGATGCGACAACGCTGGGGCGTCAATAATTGCCTGACGAGCTCCCGAGCTAGTGTTTTCCAGTGTTTTCTTTGCTTATTCTATGCTTTTTAGGTGACTCGTTGCTGATAAAGAAGAAAGGGGTAAGTTAGGGAGTGTTCCTGTTTTCTGAGAAGTTCTATCATCGCATATATTCACAGATAGCCACGTGGAAGCAGTTCGCGTCATCTTCTTGTCTACTTTTTTGTCACTTCATGTCTCTTTTTTCTTGTGAGGTACTTCTTTGAACGCTAGTGGGTTTTTACGATTGACTTATTGTCTTTATCACATGAAGTACTTGACTGAAATGCTATTTCTTATGGATGAAAGCCGAAGTTGCTGCAAGACAAGCCAACTAGCGTTCAAAGAAACGCTTCACAAGAAGGAGGAGGTTTGAAAGAAGAAGTGACAGAAGAAAAGGAGATGACAAAAAAAATAGACAAGAAGCTGACGCGAAATGCTTCCACGTGGAGATATCTGTGAATATGCGATGATAGAACTTCTCAGAAAACGGAAACTACTCCTTAACTTACCCTTTTCCTCTTTGTCAGCAACGAATCAACTAAAAAGCATGAAATAAGTAAAGAAAACAATGGAAAACATTAGCTCGTGAACTCGCAAGGCATTTATTGACGCCCCAGCGTTGTCGCGTCTGCAGGGACACTATATTAAGCAGGAAATCTACTCGACTGTAATAACGTATTTCGCAGGTCTGTAAGGCATGACCTTTTTAATCTTGAATTGAGGAAATCAAAAGTTGCATACCAAACTTATGGACAAGTACCAACAAGGAGATAAACAAGTTTCAAGTGACACATTTACTCCGTACACTGTTTAGCCCATATTTGACCAGTAGTTTGACTCTAGGCAACAAGTGAATCAATAGGAACTCGGAAGAATGCCTCCACCATTAGTGCGCCAGCGCGTGTGCCGAAAAAGCGTCAGTCTCTGGCCTGACTGACCTCGCACTCGGTGTCACAGGCGCTCATGAGGGGCGTGGCCTCTATACGCTCGCTCCAACTGGGTTTTGTCGCCTTCCGACCTACACCCGCCATCTATTCCTACCGGGCTGGCTGCGCGGGCGGTTCGCGCGCGGCAGCCGTGAGTAGCGTTGGGGCGCGCATTGGATAGATATGACATTGCCATGTACCGCCTTTCATCGGCTCAAATGTGCAAACAAAGATTTTTGCGCCTATCCCAGGATAACAGGCTGCCATGCGCAAGGCGATGTCGATGAAAACATTGGTTTCTACTTCAGTAGCAGCTACCTGATTTTGTATTGCTTTTTGACTAGCGCAGTCGAGGATACCCTGTGACTCCTAAGTGCGCCTAATCGTTATTTGGAACTTATTGCTTTTCTACATATGAGAAGGGAAAAGGTTTCAAGAGTGTTCGTGGCTTCTTCCTAATATGCGAATCTATTTGTTTTCCGTGATCCGCACATGTAAGCGACAACATCAGTTGTGCGGTGATCCTGTATATAAGAGTATGCATCAAAAAATTAACAAGCTAACATGATCCCATCATGCTGGACTAGATAAATGAGGAGGAGAAGGTATACAAGAACGCTTGCGTCGCCTACATCTCGACATCAACGTTTTGGAATTCCACTAAATTCCCCAACATTACTCAGCAGACTCAGCTTCGGTACTTCTTAGCTGAATTCTTTGTTCCTTTGGACTTATATAGCTGTGTTCGCAGTCAGAACACTAATGCTAACCAATAAGAGGATCATGACTGCTAGAAAATGTACAACTCAGCCGACACTTTGGATACAAGAAATGGCCTCCACGGATTCTACGTTTGTGTGTTCTTCGCACATAAGTATTCTCTAATGTATGTATGCATCCGTAATCGATTCATGAACGTCATGTCAGAAGCGTTCGTAAAAGCAAAGTATTGCTTGATGAATAATTAGCTTCAAAAATCCTACCTCTACTTGGTTGGAATCACTTATGAAACCGTTACACCAATTAGTGTAGATTCGAAAGCTACTGTAACTGACTACATTCCGTGATTTGCAAAACCTTACGCACTCTTCAAATTTCAATGAACAAGTGAGCATTAGATATTAGATTCACTAGAAATTCTGACTGTGGAACATAAGCGAACAATCTCATTACTTATGATTCAACTCGGTACACAATCGTAATGGTCTGACCCGATTAGCGAAAGTGATCTTACTTCCACTACTTTGGAAAGATTTATTTTGTGATCAAGAGACTCAAAGTCAACGAATGAAATAAATAACTAGTTAATAACCTCTTAGCAACGGCAAGGAAATCTTTGAAAAATGATGTATAGGGATAGTTCATGGGCGAACATTATGGCAGACAAGCTAAATGCCTTAATCAACATTGTCTTTTTAGCTGACATCTCATATGTAATGGAGTGAAAGTCCTCCTTAGCACGTTTGGGTTAAGAGGCTAGTCTAACCTGACGTCGCAATCATGGGAGGGATTGCGCGCCCTACGTACAGTCTGCCCCAATCGGGATCAGGCCGAACCGTCGGCTGAATTTGCGCGCTCGCAGCGCTAGGGGATTGCGCTGCATACGCGCGCTGTCGCAGAGAGTGAAGAGATTGAGGAGTGAGCAGACTAACTAGCCGCAGATGTGGCACGAAACCCTCGCGGCGCGGACTCCCGCCATGCCGATTTTGGCCTGGTTAGGATTGGGGCAGACTGTATACGGGTGCCGCGCGCGAATCGCCCGCGCAGCCAGCCCGGTAGGAATAGATGCCATCACCAAACGATCATAGCTCGGCGCCCAGAGACGGCAGATAATGAAGACAGATTTGTAATTACTGTTCAGTGCTCTTCAAGGGGTATGGATCCCATTCAAAAAGGTCATGTCGACTAATAACATTTTCGTATGAGATGCTTTTTTGCACTTCATTACAGAACAATATTGTCGACGTTGGCCACATGGACTGCCTATTAGCTTGTGCGAAGGCAGTGGCTTGCCCAGGCAGTTGCTCCAATCGTTATAGCACGCGCCTCATGGTTAATGACCGTGAACCGCGGATCCAACAGTGGAGCAGATATTCTTTGCTTACATCATCAGGCTCATACAAAGCGTTGCTTGTTAAGCCATAGACTCGAGTTCCCATGCCCACCATAGGCATCAAGAAAACCCTGCTGGATAAGCATCTGGGAAAATGCTACAGTGAGTTGTTGGATTTTGGTATGCGAACTCTGTTATAAATGCGTTTTCAGCGGAGAAGGAGTTTGACGAGCTGTGCTTTGAGTATGGTCTCGAACTGGATGAAATAGTAAGCTATTTCCACCGTATTATTTATTTGTTTTTTGGTTGCGTTTTTTCGTCCAAGAAGAGCTGAACTTTATTGAAGACTTCTGAAAAAGTTGCTGTCGAGAAAGAGCGTGGACAAGCGGCTGCAGGAGATGAACTTTCTGAAGCTGAAGTGTACAAGATCGACATTCCTGCCAACAGATACGACCTTCTTTGTGTAGAGGGATTGTCCAGAGCGCTACGAATATTCAAAAATGAGTAAGTTTTGTTTTCAACCAAATTTTTTGGTATTCCTCTTTCAACATCTTCACTGTAACCCATAAACATACGTCGATAATCTTTATAGTATCAAGCTACTCACAACGGTTCTTGCTTCGATGAGCCCCACTTGATCTTTGCGCTTGTTGGCAGCATAGATTTGGGTGCACGGATATATCCTCTTGTATGCCTGTGGTTCCGATGGTTAATCTTCATTTTGACTGGCAGCAGAGTGTTAGATACATGAATAGCAGTAGCGCAGCAGCTTTACTTTTACTCTACAAAAAACATCGAGTCAGTAACTCGCCGCGATGAAATTCATGCAGTTGTCTCAGTTCAGTTAGTTTTGTTGTATTCAGCCCATTCAGAAGCAGAGGTCATCGTCTTGAAGGGTAAGGCTATACGAGCTTGAAATGTTTTGCAGCTAAATCGATCCCATGAATTGTCTTCAGCTTTCTCATGACTACGAATTTTCTTTTTCAGGATCAAACGCCCCAAGTATGTGCTGAAGCGACCGGACGGTCCACTCGAGCAGATAATCGTTGCCAAAGAGGTATGAAGACAACGCTTTTCTTTCTTCAAAGCACTCTTCGATCAGTTGCTTCATCTATAGACCGCCAACGTCCGTCCTTTTGTTGTGGGTGCTATCCTCCGAGATGTAACCTTCGACTCCGAAAACTATGCATCTTTCATGGACCTACAGGTTCTTTTTGTACCTTTGCGTTGTTCCTGTTTCTGGGCAGAAAAAAGGTCTTACTAACACTGTCTAGTATGAGTTGACTTATATTGGCGATCTTCTTTTCCTTTACTTTCAATTATCCATGCCAATATAGAATGTGCAATGTTTCATAAGCATGTGCAAATTCCAGCACTCTATCACGTTTTCAATTCAGGATAAGTTACATCAGAATATATGTCGGAAGCGTACTCTCGTGGCGATCGGTACCCATGATCTGGATACCATTTCTGGTAGATTCGTTGCTTTTGAGCGTACATATGTTTGTTCTTTATACGCTGTTGTTTAGGCCCTTTCAAATACAACGCTGAAATCCCTAAAGACATCAAATTCAAACCTCTTAATCAAACTAAAGAATTCACTGCGGATGAATTGATGAATTTCTACGCGGTTAGTGATTTCGCTGTTTTGCTTCTCTGATCAGTCCAAATTTTTGGATGCTGCTGGTTTCTTTTTCTAGACAGACAGCCATTTGAAAGCCTATCTGCCAATCATCCGTGACAAGGAGCGTTATCCCGTCATCCGGGATTCAAATGGTGTTTTGTGTTCTCTTCCTCCCATTATCAATGGTAATGTTTATACTTTCTACATTTGCTTGCTCTACTCCATCAAGGTTTCAGGTGAGCACTCAAAAATAACTCTCAATACAAAGAATGTTTTTATCGAGGCAACAGCAACAGATCTGCAGAAGGTCTTTATTTCGTGACTATTTTCGTCAAAAATTCCCACGCTAGTGTTTAGGCCATTGTGGTCCTTGATACCGTCGTGACGTTATTCAGTCAGTATTGCAAGAAGCCATTCAAGTGAGTTCACCACTGCATAAGCCGAAGTTGCGTAACACTTACGTTTAGCATTGAACCAGTTGAAGTGGTGTACGAGCAAGATGGTCGGAAAGAAGTTTATCCGGTCAGTTACATTCACACTATGACTGAGTATAGCTTTGATAATCTTAAAGCTTGTTTTCAATCTTTTGATTGTTTGTGATCGTTTAAGGTCTTGTCATATCGAGAGATAATCGTGCGGGTTTCCGAAATCAACACAAAAATTGGATTCAATCTTGATGCGCAGACTATGGCTACGTTGTTAACTCGAATGTCATTGAAGGCCGAGACTCTTAACGCCAATACTCTAAAAGTAACGTGTGTTCGTGCATCTTGTCAACTCACGCACCGATGTTATCTCTAGGTTACCATTCCCCCTACTCGACACGACATCTTGCATGAATGTGATGTAGCTGAAGACGTTGGAGTAGCTTACGGTTTCAACAAGTTGGAACATCGACTGCCTGAGGTTTGTTTTTTGCTTTGATTAAGGTTTTGTGAAATTTCTAGAAGCGTTGCTGTAGTCAAACACGGTCGCTGAGGCGTTCCCACTGAACAAGCTTTCTGACTTGCTCAGAGGAGAAGTAGCTGCAGCTGGGTGGACAGAAGCTTTGAATTTCGCCCTCTGCTCGCGAGAAGACATCTCAACTCGCTTGCGAGATGACAAAGCGCTCGATCGTGCCGTGCACATCTCTAATCCGAAAACGCTAGAATTTCAGGTATGAGTCTGCTTTTTCGGTCTAGGATATTTTTGAGCATAGACTTTAGGTAGCACGTTCATCACTTTTGCCGGGGCTTATGAAGACTATCTCTTCAAATCGTGACATGCCATTGCCACTGAAGCTTTTTGAGCTGCAGGATGTTGTGTTGAAGGACTCCACATCTGGTGAGTGATTATACCAATACTGATACATTCATGTTCACTTTTCTGTAAACCACCATGTTATGTGCTGTCATTTAGATGTAGGAGCGCGCAACGAGCGACGACTGGCGGCCGTTTACTACAACAAAACCGCGGGCTTTGAAATTGTTCACGGTTTCCTCGACAGAGTGATGCGGTTGCTGGATGTAGATCCTGCCAGAGATGGTTCTGGTTATTTTATCCGGGCCTGCGATAGTATGTTTTAGACACGTTAACAATTGAATGTCATTACAACAAGTTGCAGATCCTACATTCTTTCCTGGACGATGCGCTTCCATAATTGGTCCTGGTAACGTTGTGATAGGTGTGCTAGGTAAGCGTATCAACTACCCCTTGCTTTGGAATCAAATCTCGTCACTTTTCTCCCTTATATACCTACTTCAGGCGTTTTACATCCAGAAGTGATTACTGCGTTTGGCCTGACTTTGCCATGCTGTGCAATCGAAATAAATGTAGAATTTTTCCTATAAGTTATGATTTTCCATTCTGTGCACTTGTTGAAATTTCTGTTTCATTGTTATGATTGTTTTTTCCGGTTGCAAAATTATCTACCTGGGTTATGCTATAAGATAAAATAAGTTGGATATCTATTCCGTGCCTGTAAAGGTCTCGTGCCGCAATATTTGTTCAAATCATGTCTGTTACCTCAGGATGTTTGAGAAGATCATTTTTTCTACCAGTACACCCTTTTTGAGCATCGATGTTATCCGATTGCTTGCTCATAATCGCGATCGCCTTGTGTACGGCTCTGGCGGGAGAAGGCTTGACATACCTACTGGTGTATCGATCTGAACAATACAAACGTCTAAAAGTGAGCGAAAGAAAGATCCTCTCGACATTCGCGAGTACATCACACCTTTTCAGTCTGAAATGGAACGGAAAACAAAGCGTTTGGAAAAGAAGAAACAAGAAGCAGGCGAGGTTGTGGATAAAAACGCTAAAAAGCGGCTAGAACGCGATGAGGAGCGACTGAAGGTATGATCTGCTTATTTTATTGAATTTTTTTATTGTACTCAAACTTCCACTTTGTTGTGGGGCAGTCTTCATTATTTTCACCTTTTCCATGAGCGAAGGTGTTTCAATGTGCGGTCATGCATTTCAGGCTACGAATCGCGATATGTCCATGTTTAAAATGAAGTCTATGTTTGCAATAGGATTAGCATTTACTGCTCTTCTTTCCACGTTCAACTCTATATTCGATGGCAGAGTTGTAGCTCGTCTTCCTTTTGTACCTATAGGCTTTCTCCAGGGCCTTTCACATAGAAATCTTGTGAGTTTGCTTTCTGGTTTTCTTATGAGTCTGACTGGTGTCACGGAAACGCTGTAAGTGAAGAAATACTCTATGCAATGCTCGCCTGATATCATCTTATGATTTTCCTATTTCTGTTCATGTTCTAAACATACAAAAAATCACAAAATTACAGATTTGGACCCATATCACGTAAGCTCCTTCTATTTTGCCTAGAATGAGAAATTGAAATCGAGTTCAAAATTGCACAATGTTCAAAGTTTGCTGCGTTCAGTGCAGTTCTTAGTGCTGCTCCGTTTGAGCTAAGATATTTGTTACAGCTGGAGTTTGACACAATAACGCAAATTTGTTTTTGTTTTGGAGCTAGCGAGTTCTCGCAGGTTTAGCTCAAGAAGTGTTATAGTCGAACTGGCCTTCTCGAGTGAGTCCTATACCGCTATATATCGAACGCGATTTCAAATCTATTTTATTATTTGGCACTCGTTGGTGCAATGAAAATATAAAGACAGTAAAAAATTTTGATTTTAAGGTAAATTGTTATGCCATTAACGCTCAATAAAACAGGGTAATGTATGAGTATATCAACCTTAGGTATCTATTGCATAAAAGTTCTGGTAATATTCCACACTGGACCATTCGAGCATTCCAAACGAATTTGTTCCCATTGCGCGTTCAACTTTTTGGCCCGAAATATGCTCATAAATCAGCGTTCAAGCGAGCTCAACAGATAGTGAAGACAGATTCGGAATTTTAGTTAAATGCTCACCAGCTTGATATAAAGGCTACTCAAACCAGTAACATTTCTTTGTCAGTTTTGGAGGTTCAGGGGGTTATAATTTGAGTGTGACGGTCGACGCGGCTTGGGTCTTGCGAGCCGCGTTCGCTCTTATTTCGTTTTCTTTCTTTGGTCTTCGTTGCTTTTTCTCTTGTTAGATAATACGGTAATCAAGGCCTGAAGCGTGAAAATACGTATTCTTAGGCCCGTATGCACGTACATCCCCGCTGGGGAGGGGAGGGGATCTGAGAGGGGATGCGCCATATCTTGTTACTTTACGTATCTTTCTTCTTCCTTTTCTATCTTGCTTATGAAGGTTCTCATACCCTACTACCTGCGCATAATTGATGCCCGGTTACTGGCATAACTGATTGGATTTGTACTATTTTGTGTGATCCCCTGGGGATCCCCAGGGGATCACACAAAATAGTACAAATCTAATCAGTTATGCCTGTAACCTGGCATCGATTATGCGCAGGTAGTAGGGTATGAGAACCTTTATAAGCAAGATAGAAAAGGAAGAAGAAAGATACGTAAAATAGCGAGATATGACGCATCCCCTCTCAGATCCCCTCCCCTCCCCAGCGGGGATGTACGTGCATACGGGCCTTAGACACTGCTGACGACCTTGGGAAAACGCTCGAGACACGTTCGCGAAGCCGGCGAGTGGCCCAGGCGACGCGGTTCGCGAGAACAGAGTCGCACCGTTCGTGACACTCAGATTGAATGCCCCCGTGTAAATTGCAAGTCAAGTTTAGGCGAAGTAGCGTGAGGATGGAGAAGATTGCAACAGCATCATTCCTCTTTTCAAGAGCTTACCTATTTGCCCTTCGAAAACATTGCAGGAGTATGCTGAGTGCAGAATCATTTGAGCGCTAGAAATGAGTACGCGTTTATTCAAATGGATCTGGTGTTACCAGTTTACATATGACTGCACAGAAAATTTGCGGTGAAAAAAAGAAAGAACATCTTTTTCCCTTCTGGCATCTCAGTCTGCGCTGCGCTCTATGTGTATTTTCATCTGTTTGATAAATCGTAATAGATTGAGCTTGCAAGTCAAAGGAATGTGAATGAGATGACCAAAAGTGAATTGATGTTTAGGTCGGTGATGATATGCGTGACTGCTCTTTTATCTTCCTTTACATTCTGTGCACTATGACGATCCGACAGAATCTGCAGAAGGCGCTCGGCTTTGCTCCATCACGTGCTATGAATCGTCAGCAAGGCAGTGTGTGGGCCCCTGCACAGCAGCAGCAATTCAATTATTTCCGTTGAGCATTAACTAAAAATACGGACCTCGTATGTTCATAATGCAGTGCTCTGTTTTCCTTTTCATGTGTGCTAGTAATTCGTGATAGATCATTGTTGCGAAAGCTTCTCATATCAGTCAGTGCCACAATTGCTTGTCATCGAACTGATATTGTATGCATGACAACACTCGGAACTACTTTTTTTTACCCATGCTTACTACCACTCTTTCGTGTGATCAAAAAGACATCTTTGCTGTATCATAAAAGCTGTACACACATTTCATCACAGTCTCTGATCCAAAACAAACAATCAAACGAGCCTATTCAATAATAATAACCACAGAATATACCTGCCATTTGAGAGTGAGCACGAGATAAAAATGCACAAAAATTTGAATGAAGTATATCACTCGTTTGCATCCGGAAGATAGAGCTTATCTGGGGAAATCTTGAATCCAAATAATCTGAAACCGAACTGTTGACACGTGAATCAGAGTCGTGCTTACAAACCTGGGCTCATAACGCTGCGGTTTAGGGCGTCGGAGTTCGGGATAGACCATGAGAAACATTTCGGGGAAGGATGTTCCAAAATATGCACCATCGATAGCTTGGTGTCGGGTGTGCTTGGGATGGTATATGTCTCTACAGGATGTGCAGAACATCTTTACCTGAAATTCTTTTATTAGAATGTTATCACTATGTGGAAAAACCCTTTGAGGTTTACAAAGCCAAGTTGGAATCTTCAGTTTAGGTAATTTAACAGCTGTTTTATCCTGAAAAATTAGATGCGCGAGATTTTTGACTTTGGCTAAGCGTCAGTCTGCACAAAAGAATAGGAAGAATCAGCAGAATTTGGATGACTGGACGACGCGGCGGTTCCGAGATTTCCGTTCGGGGAGGGGGGGGACAAAACAAAGTTTCAAGTAAAGGTGATGGTACCACGTTTTTTTTTACATGCTTCTCAAAATGCAAAAAAAATTTCAAGGCTGATTTGAATCTAAAAAATCTTTGAGATTTATTCTAGTTACTCATAATTATAAACAAGTCACTGTACACTTCTATGTCTTGTAGAGTAACTTTCGAAATGTTTTTTTGCTCAGACTCATTCTTTCTCCGTCCCTTCGGTTCACCACGACTGGACAAATATAATATTGCAATAGTCTTACAAGAAAGTTACAAATTCTATGTAAGTTGCCAATCACCACATTGTGAATGGAACGGTGAATCCATATCTGCTTTTCATATTTGTAGAGCTTCTGAGAAAGAAGTTAAGAGCATTTTTGTAGCGAAAAAATGAAGTAAGCATTGAGAAAAAATCAAAGGTTACTTCTAGACCTCTCATGTAACACTGGCAGGTGTCAAGTTCACACAATGAATGTGCTTCAGCTTAGTCTTTTAGTAAATTACTCTTGCTCCTGATGACCACAAAGGCTATAATCGTTGAATCAGTACTGGACATTTGTTAATTTTTTTTCGCTTCAGGAAACGCACATGACTTCTTTTCTAGTATAGCTCTGCAAATAAGGAAAGCAGATCTGGAAGCAGCGTTCCAAGCTCTCACTAGCGGTATGCATGTTATTGTGATCAGCCACTTCGACTTGGTGACCCTCCCTTGTTAGCCCAGAATCTAATGTGTGCGCCCGACTAATAGTTATGTACAAATTGCTAGAGGAATACGGTTCCCATTTCTAACCAAACAATGTTTTCATTGCATCGACTGGATTTTCTTTCTTCCACATGCAAGAAGCAGGATTTTTTGATTAGTGTCAAAAACAGTACCTTATCTGTACCGGGAACATCGGAAGTTCCAACGGGCAGGAGCGGATGATCGTAACAAAATACACGAGGGCAAGTGCCAAAATCGCCATCTTGCCATTTCTTGAGCATCAAGGACAGCCCCCTTGATTGAATATTGCCAAGTTTTTGCACCGTTTCAAAGAAAAAAATTGGATTGAGTAATTGAAACCAACCTGTTTGTAAGAATGAACCGTGCGTGTATCAGCCCATAAAGTCTTTCAGCGAAACGTTCAATTTGCTCTTGATCTCCGCTGGTGTCATCTATTGACTCCTCTGAACGTCATGTAAGCGCAACTTCTGGTTGAAAATAGCTTGTAATTTTAACTTATTTGAATCAATGACTAGATGTTATCAATAGTAAGTTTTGAATGCTATCATTGCAAATGTTGTAGGCAAAAAATTTTTCTCCTTGCGTGGTCCCCGTTTATGCAGGATCCGCTCTTTTTTATTTTGTGCAAAAAGTGGCAACGAAAATTTTGCAACGCGGCAATTTATTTTTGGATTATCACTGAAAAGTGAATATTCCTTTGAGCAACCACGCAGCCCCGCACCAAAAAAAATCGGCAGAAAGTTTATCAATAGTAGCGGGTGTGCATTTGAGCTTTGGCATTCTAGAATAAAATAATACACAGCCACCAAATGCACATATTACTTTTCATCTCAATTTTCTCAGATACTGCGAAAGTTGGTAAATGATTCAGGTTTTTGAACTTATCTTGTTTTGTTCTACCTGAGATGATTTCAGTCACTTTGAAGTTAACTTGGGTACAGCAAAAACACCAAGTCCAACTTGCTTTCTGCTTCATCAATATATACATATTTTTGCAAAAGCGCTAGAAGATAGGGTTCCCTGTATACTGTTCGACAGCCAAGGAGATCTTTTCCATGGTGAGCGACTTGTTGGCTATAATCGTTGTTGTACGATTTTGCCAACTGTAGAGGACTCAAGACCATAAGCTCCTCAGCATTCAACATTTCACTATTCAGCAAGTTTTTGTTCTATGGATTTTCGAACTTTCCAAGTGATTATCCGTCACTCCAGGAAAACTGGCGAATCGGTGAAAAAAAATTTCATCTTTCCATATCTTTGTTTCCTAGTCACCAATGGTTTTTAGGTACTATGCAAATTACTTCGAAAATAAGTGCGCAAGGTCCTCTAGTGCGCGATACTAGAATGTGCTACCTTTACTAGGATGTAAGCAAAAGACCGTCTGCTCGAATGAAACTTGAAATCTTTGTAATTTAGCATTGTCATAATGCTTACAAGAACGCAAACCTACCAGGTTCCAAATCGAGAATCTTATCAAGTGCTTCACGAATTTTTGGGACAAAGTCACTCAAACCAGTAAGATTAAAATTATCTCCGATATAGTCCTCATCAATCTACAACGACAATTCGTTTTGTGGATGTGGCCATTTGGAAGCGTACGTGGCCTACCTCACAGAAAAACTCGTTTCCTCTCGTACTGCAGAACCATTCTATCCATGAAACGCCACTTCCCGACGTCGACATGAAGTTCCCAATGATAGCTCAGCTTAATAAGGAAAGAGAATTTGCGGATGTCGCTGCCCGCTACCTCTTCCTCGATCTGAGCTGTTTTCCTGTTTAGAAAAACTTCAAACAGAAGAAGACTGATGGCAAAAGAAAAACAGTTAACATGAGTTTGTTGACAGAATTAATTTTTGACGAAAACGAAAAGCAGTGAAACTTCAAAATATTAGTTCGTTCCAAAAGTAATTTCGCTTTTATCAAACGGGCGCCACATTTGATGGAACAAAGGCTTCTGGGAAGTCCTGGAAGCATTCGATGCAGCATTTCATTCTCTTTCTAATGGCTTTGAAATTGTTGCAAAACAGTCAATGAGCTTTCAGAAAATAATAAAAATCTGTGACCTATGCTTTTTGAGATGATCAAGTTTCATGATTTTTTAAAACTTTCATATCAATCCTCAGAAGGAGTTCAAGAAACGCGATAGAGTAAATCTTATAAAATACTGTACTATTTTTTCTCTTTCTCGTAGCTAGCCGTAATTTTTTGAAAGATTTTTTTAACAGAATCATCGGGTCTTGGCAGGCCCACCTCAGCCACAATCGCATCAAACATCATAATTTTTCGGAATTTGAGACTACCAAGATGGTACTATGAATTATTATTAATTTTATAAAGCAATTGAGAGTTTACGGGTTCGAAATATCTAATTTCGATTTTTCCGGGTCCAGTCCGGAACGCGTTCGAAAATATGAATTATGATGATTTTGTACGCGAAAACTCCACAAAGGGCAAACAAAAAACATCCATTAGAAAGAGGAGAACAAGCCGCATCGAATAGTGCGCGAGCTGCTCTACTTTTGATGTTCTACGAGTATTTAGCTGCCCAAGTATGGAAATCGATAGCATCAGTTAAAATTTTGTTAAAAATGTATGACAAGCGATGGAAAGGAGAGAAAAGTAGTTTTGCATTTTGTAGAATTTGCTCTATAAAGGCATTACTTGCACTTTTTCGGAGGGCTGATGTAAAAGTTTTAAAAAATTGTGGAACTTGACTGTCTCAAAAGCATAGGTCACAGATTGTGGTTTTTTGCAACAATTTTATAGCCATTAGAAAGACAATGAAATTCTGCATCCAAGAGATCTTGGAACAAAATGTTCCATCACATGTGGTGCCCCTTTGAAAAAAAGCGAAATTACTTTTGAAACGACGTAATACTAATTCAATAGTCTAACAACATAATGGTATATAGAAACAAAACGATTGGGGTGAGGTGAGACAATGAGCAAACATTCTAAGAAAAACCTGTAGGTGTTTGTAGCGCTCAGTCAGAAGATCAGGAGACTAAATTTGATGGTCGCTGCATAATTTCTTTTACAGCACCCATTATTGCTAATGCATGCAGGGCGAAAATCGTTAAAATCTTATATACTCTCGGACGGAACATGCAAATAATAAATAACGCCATTTCGGCTGAAAGGGGAGATGTTTGGTACCAAAATGGATGCGCCAGAAGCATTGTATAATTCTGCGATGAGAGAACATCATTGTGAATCAGTTAGTCCAAATATTGGAGGGACATCGATGAAAAACAATGCAAAACCTCTGTTTGATCGAGTGTTGATGTCTACTGTGTTGTCGCAATAGTCTGGTGCATCAGTGATCCAACAATAAGATTAGATATCAGCCTGTTCGAAAACATATCTATCAAAGCTGTGAAAAAAGTAACAATCTAATCCATACGAAAACGCTGATGTGTTGTAAGTGTAGTGGAAGAGCTGTCAAAATCAGGCAAAAACAAATGAATGCATGCACGTGCTTGTTCAGTCTTTTTCTAGCCAGACAGACAGAGGCAAAAGAATCAGAATCTACCTCGTCTTTGTCTCCGATCCTTGCTGTTTTGATATAAACCGGATATGAGCAATAAACCGCATTATCTAGCAGACAGTAGTTTATTCAGATTAGGGTGGCTGTCCCAAAATTCTCTAAGAAACTTCCTAATTATGAATTTATGCATATGACTTATTTTTATCTCTCGAAATCAAAATGCTTCGTTGAATTCTGAAGCTTGGACTGACTATTTCGAAAAATTCAGGTAAAGACGCGATTTTTTCTGAAATCAGGAGTTGTAAGGCGCAGAAGAATTGGAGAGCATCCCAATAAGAGTAAGGAGTATCTGATATGAATGTTTTTGTTTTGACTGAAGATGGAGCCTTTGTCTAGAAAGATGTCTGTCCGTAATCCAACTTGAGCAGATGAGACCCTGTCATGCAATGCCGTCTGTGACAACGAAAATGCAAAGACATTAACGACGAGAACAAAGATGGTAGGAAGGATAATGTGACATTGAAAAACCTGGAATCCATATTTCTTTGGGCTGATCAAACGTGGGCTAGTGAAAAAAGAGCTGCAAGTTGTCATGGTAGCCCGCAAACGCATATGCAAAAAGTTCAAGCTTCAAAGAGCTTCAAGTCACATAATCATTTAAAATTCTATTCGATATCAATAAAGCATGTTGTGTGTTTCATGGATTGCAAAGGCTCTACATGTCCGGTTAGAAAGAGATTCAAGAGATTGAGAAATAAATACAAGGACTATTTTGCTTGAATACAACCAGAGTCACGGCATACGATCTAGAATCAAACGAAATGACTCTAGACCGCAATTCGAAATTGTGTGAAATTTGAGAAAATGTTTCTAGGGGTACGACGTGTGTTTGGCTCTCATCGTTTTGTGTTTCAAATGAGGAGATAGTCCACCCGAGTGAAGAGGCGGTCAACCGGCGCAATTTCTTTTTAGGTCATCAACCCAAAAGTTTAGTCCTGAGTTATGCGAGCCTCCAAAAATCACCAAACAGATAGCCCCGTCTGACCTTGCCACTTGCTGTTCTGACGGAATTTGATGGACAACAGAGTGAAAGGTACACGAATTCGATATTGGTTGTAATCAAGTGTTTTTGACCTTCAGAATTTATATTTTGAATTTTTTGTGGTAATGAGGCTGAACATGCCATGCGGCCATCCAGTAAACCTCCTTACAATTTGAAATGTATTTAGAGCGTTGTTTAGAGCGCCAGATTCTCCGCCGTCTGGCTTCTTCTGGTCGCTAGGCGGTCCCTCCCCGCTCCAAGCCCGGGGTCAGCGATCACCCCGTGGAAATCAAGAGTAGGCCTAGTAAGCCACCTCTTGTAGGGGAACAAATTTTATTACTCAGACAGCAAGAAGATTTAGAAAAAACCCTGTTCATCGGATCCCGCCTACGGCGCCGGGTGGTAGCAAGAACGATGTCAGGGTACTCAGGGCGCCTTTCGGATTGGACAAAAACGACACGTCTGCCCGGACGACACGCCATGGAGACTGCCTCATGCTCTGCACTTACAACGCCAGGACAGTCTCCACAAACGCCGACCTCCACGCTCTTCTCGACGCTGCAGAGCACATCAACTACCACATCATTGCTCTGCAGGAAACGAAGTCCAGGAAGAAGGACGTGCGACAGATGAGTGATGGGACCCTCATCATTCGTGGTGAAAAGGTTCCATCACGAAACGTGGGAGGCGTCGGCTTTGTCGTCCACCCATCTATCGTCCATCTTGTCGATTCGCACGAGATCCTATCACCTCGACTAGGCATCCTACGACTACGACCTCCACATCAGAAGACCATCAGCATCATCAACTGCTATTCTCCAACATCAGCAGCTGACGAATCAGAACTAGATGCTTTCTACGAAGATGTGGAGGAGGTCGTCCGCAACGAGAAGTCCTTTTACAAGTTTGTTGTGGGCGACTTCAACGCGAAAATCGGGATGCCACTGGAAAGGGAATATAGGATCGGGAAGTTTGGATATGGGCTCCGGAACGAAAACGGCAACCGTCTTGTTGGGCTTCTCTCCGCCGCACGACTTTTCCATGGAAATTCCATCTTTATGAAGAAGGAACATCGCCGGTGGACATGGGAATCGCCCAACGGAACGACCCACGCGGAGATCGACCACATTCTCACCAACCGAAGGTGGAGCTTACTCGATGTCTCTGTAGTTCCATCCTTCTGTAGTGGCTCCGATCACCGCCTCCTTCGAGCGAAGATACGACTCAGCCGAAGGCTGGAAAAGAAAGTCTGTCATAGTGCCGCGAGAAGGAAGGAAGTCGTTTATGACGGTAACAGGCTGGAAGAGCTCATATCAAGTTGTGACTGGCCCATCGAGGAGGACCCAACGTACGACTACGACCGGCTTCTGAAAGGATTGCGAGCCTGCGGAGAATGCGCCTCAGTGACTTCTGAGAAGAACTTGGACCGCATCTCGAAGACCACCAAGGAATTGCTCGAAAGAAGAAGATCATTGAGGCAGGATCCGAATGCAACTCATCTCGAGCGACTGATTGCCAACACCAGTTGCAGAACAGCTTTGCAAGAGGATCTCAGGAAGTACAGGCAAGCCAAGATACTGGAAGCAGCAGAAAGAAGACGAAGTCTCAAGAAGTGCCGAAGGGACCTCTGCGAATATCACGTACCGCTGGCTGCACTACTGAACGAAGACGGGACTCCGACTTCTTCCCGATACAAGATGGAATCTATCGCGAAGAACTTCTACACCAACCTCTTCCGCTCATCAACACCCGTGCAGATGCCCGTTGTTCCCACTGGAGAAGTACCACCACGAATTCTACCTGCTGAAGTGCGTATCGCGATACAGACCATGAAGACGTCCACGGCTCCAGGACCAGATCATCTTTCCGTCGAACTTCTGCGAGCCGGAGGACACCGTCTACACGAGATTCTAGCGTCGCATTTGACATCTTACCTTCAGAAGGAGAAGATTCCCGACCAGTGGAGAACGTCAAGAACCGTCCTTCTCTTCAAGAAGGGTGAACGGGAGGATCTTCGGAACTATCGTCCAATATGCTTGCTGAGTGTGCTGTACAAGCTTTTCACGAAGATTATCCTCGCTCGCATATCAAGGACACTGGATGAAGCCCAACCCCAAGAACAAGCTGGATTTCGCAAAGGATTCAGCTGCATGGACCACATCCAGACCGTTTCGAGGGTCATAGAAGTCTGCCGGGAGTACCGACTGCCTCTCGTCCTAACCTTTGTCGACTACGAGAAAGCCTTCGACAGCGTCGAAACCAACGCCATCCTGTCTGCGCTAGTCGATCAAGGAGTGGACCCAGCTTACGTGAGGACGTTAGCCGACTGCTACAAGGACTGTACAACGACGATGCAGCTATTCCATCGCCCCCTGACCATACCAATCGGGAAGGGGGTCCGACAAGGCGACACAATCTCGCCGAAGCTGTTCACCGCGGCCTTGCAGTGGGTGATGAAGTCACTGGACTGGGACGAGAGAGGCATACGAGTTGATGGGAGATTCCTGTCCAACCTTCGTTTTGCGGATGACATCGTCCTTTTCTCGAGCAGTATCACCGAAGCAGAGACGATGCTGAAGGAACTAAACGAAGTAGGGAAGAAGATCGGACTGCGAATAAATCGGAAGAAGACTCAGTTCATGAAGAACGCCCTTTGCGAAGGTGCAGAAATGGAATTGGAAGACACCCCGATTATGGAGACGTCTTCCTACGTGTACCTCGGACGTTCGATGAACATGGAGAACGACTTGAGGGAAGAACTCAACAGGAGAAGAAGAGCAGCCTGGGCCGCCTTCGGGCCCCTGAAGGAAGCCACCGACCAACTGACGGACCCGGAGCTTCGTGCCCACCTGTTCGACTCAACCGTTCTCCCGGCGCTCTGTTACGCAGCTGAGACTTGGGCCGACACTGTAGCCACGTCGAAAGCTCTACGGACCACCCACAGAGCGCTCGAGCGCAGTCTTCTGAAGATGACCCGACGCAAGCAACATCTAGTCGGACTTCGCAGCACGGATATGAGAAGAATGTCCCGTCTTCGTGACCCAGCGGAATACGTCGCGAAAGCCAAACACCGATGGGCCGGTCACATAATGAGAAGAACAGACGACAGATGGACACTAAGAACATCGGAGTGGATTCCTCGCGAAGCCAAACGTCCCCGAGGAAGACCTCCAACGAGATGGGCAGACGTGTTCGTGGAACGGATGGACCAGCTGAGAAATCAGCTGGATACGATTTTCGCACCTGGAACTCGTGGACGCAGCCACCGACGTCAGCCAAGAAGATCGTGGATGTCAGAAGCGAGGGACAGGGAAAAATGGAAACTTCTGAGCTGGGGCCCGCACGTCACGTGAAGCCGGGCCATCTAAGTATCTAAGTAAGTTAGAGCGTTGTAAAACACAATTCATGTACGAAATGTTGTCTGGCTGGTGATAAAAATCGAAAAATCGCACCTTTTCACATAAATCCCATAGAGAGGTTGCCACCAAATTTGCAAGCTCGATATCAACTATGGAGGGCGATCAAAAATCTGTAGGCGCAAATCGGTCTACCGTCGATTTTCTAGTTTATTGGGCTGCTACAAAAGTTCTATCCTTTTCAAGGTTCAAGTATGATTGTTTCACCATGACTTTTTTGGAAGAGGTCTCTGTGTATTGCGACAAAGGTTATCTTCCACACTATGGCAATTCCAAGCATAATCAAAAATTATTGCAGCAACAGAGAAAATATCCTGGGCGCAAACTGCCACATTTTCTTCTAGGAACCTCTACTTTGAGAAACAACAACTTGACTTAATCTAGTAGAATTGCATCAGCACTATTCATTGTGTATTCAATAGCCGGCTGAGCAGTAGAGCTAGCCTCTTGAAATAGCCGAAAAGGCCCATCCATTTCGCCTTATCTGAAGAGCGCTTTGTTTTGGTTTTGGGAATGCTACTGACAAGACAAAAAAAAAGTTTTTCTAGTAAAAAAGGTTCTAGCCCTGATTACACTATAGAGAGCGGAAATACCACGATTGCATTGGACTTATGATTTTTACGCAACTTACAAGGACCACAACAGCAGGTCATGTTTATGATCAATTTTCATGTTCAAAATTTTTCTGGAAAAATATTCCCATAATTTTAAATTATACCTCTCTTTCAGCTTAGAATTTGAAGGAATAGAGCAAAAGGAAACTTCCAAAACTTGTTTTGACTTTTAAGGTATGGAACCACTGTATGAACAAAACACTTGAGAACAAGACCATGTATTAGAAAAATAGAAGGGAAAGGCTTTCAAACGACATGAGCAGAACTCATAAAGATGGATTTCCTTCAAATAACCAGCTCAAAAAGAGGCATAGAAATTGGGTAGAACCGACAATGTATGGATAAATCTGACGCTCCATATGGTGTCGCTGCGGCGCCGAGACTTGCCGACAAAATTCGCATGTAAACAGTTATGCCTATAAGTCTGTGATGCCGATATTTTGCGCACAAAGTGCTGGTATTACATTTGTGGTTACCTATCATTTATCCTGTGACTGAGACTTAAGTGCGCATTGCACATATTGTTAAAACAACGACCTTATGGTTAACAACTTTATACTTGTGATCTAACCCTTCTAGGATTACTTACTACTTGTACCAGGTAAGCATAAGTTCAACCTTGCTTGGACAAAGTAGTGTTTGGACTTGTTTAGACATGCGAAGTGTTTTCTAGTCTCCCAGTAAAATAAATGGTACAGGCTGTATGAAACTTTCCTTGCGTTTTGAGACCTCGCGGAGTTACGGTACCGTGGTAGGAGGTCCAGATAAGGTACCCGTCTAAAACTCTGTGCAAGGAGGTTATCTGATGTGCAGACCACGGATACATCTTGAACAATATAAAGCATAAATTTTGAATCTTTTCGTGAATTTTGATATGCATCGGCCAAGAAAAAAAAAGGGGGGGGGGGGGAATGTCTATATACGCTGCAAATTGCCGTAATTACACAATGAAGCGTTACTGCAGCGATCAAGCTTGGTATTCGTAATCACCATGCTCGGAAACCCTTCTAGACAAGTTTTGGGAATATTTAGAACTTCGACCAATCTGTTACACCCTAACAGGAGAGAATGGCGTTATGTTGCAATTCTATGTGACTTCATGCTCATCACGCCAGATAATGCCAAGTTTAGGGCAAATCCGATTTTGACCGCAAACCGTATGCCTACGGTTGTTGTGTTGTATGAGAAGGCCTCACCATACGAAAAGATTATGGTATTCGTGGTTAGCACGAAAGAAAACAATCCTAGCCCAAATCTCAGCCAAATCCATTTTGACCCCCAGCTACATCTACCTTAACCATGCGTGGTGACGTTCTCGTGCGGAGAAAGTGTGACATCTGTGGTCAGCTGCTTGTCAGACAACCCCCGCAGACGAATTTAAAGCAAAATCTACGACAAGAATTTCAGGACCAGGATAGCCGAATAGCACTGGAATAAGCTTCCTCATTCTCGACTGTAGCTGACTCATGGAGTTACACGGCGTGTCAAGATGCGACTGGAAAGAGGAGACAAGGACCGAAAGTGACCACAGCTGGCGTTGACTCCGGATAGATGTCTAACATCTGCCACCAATCCCCATGTGCCTCGCTTCTCCTCGCTCAACACATAGTCTTACAGATTATTTGCTTACCCACATTCTTATACTGCATTCTGGTTAATATCTAAAATCATTGATAATCTGGACCTATTAGACAGTAGATCGATCATTTACTATGATAAAAGGAGGATTTAAGCCTCAAACAAGCATCAACAGGCGGAAATTGTCAAAACTCTCGCTCTTAATAAATAAATATAGCCCACAAAGGTGGCGCAGGGGAACCGCGGTGCGGCTTGAAAATTCACGCCTGCAGAAAGGAAGCACGCCACTGAGACAGCCTGTAGTTATTTGTGCACCCGCAGATTGAAAAATTCTGCACCGCAGCGGCATCGTATTCAACGTCATATTCTGTCTCTACAAGTCGTGCCTTAGCAACGTTGTGAAGCGCATAACGAGCTGCACAATGTCGACGTGCCATCGACGAGTTATTTCAATTGCAGGATGTAGGCTGCTTCAACAGCAACAAGTGGGAGATTTGAGAAGTAAAAGAGAAAGGTGAAGCCAGACCCTGAGCTATTCCTCAGTTCTAAGTTCTACTCAGGCATTGGTCCGCTAAGATCGCTCCGACATGGATTTGTAGGTAATTCAATAGGCTTTGAAAGTTACAATACAACGAGAGAGAAAAGATGAGAGAGTAACGTGGAAAGATACACTGACCGCTTAAAAAAAGGCTTTTCGATTTAAACATTTACCTAATGTGACGTGTAAAATTACACGGCAGTGCAGTTGCGTACGTCGAAATGCCGCGGACGTCTGATCGGCAATTTTTTCGAATCGAACTTTAACTGCTTTTTTACGTCGTTTAATCGGCTCATTCTTCTTTTGATTCTTTCGAATGTTTTAGAGATGGATTCAATACTGGAAAATCAGAGGAAACTCCATGAGGAACGCGAGCGCACTGTTGAGACAATCGTCAAAGAAATTATGAGCGACAAGAAAACACATAAGGCCAATATCAACTCGCAGCAGCGAGTCAAGCAGCTCGTAGATGTAAGTTCAATTCTGCATATCTATGCGTTTTCTTTGCCTTATCTGTACCTCTATGGGCGTTATTCTACGTAGGTCGAATAACGCCCAGAATTCATAACCGTAGTTTCGCTAAAACTTTTCCTAGGAGTTATCTTGTACGCTGATCAGAGATATTATATCGGCATGTGCTTTTCAGAGATACCATGCATGCACGGAGAGTTTGGAACGCATGTACACGGACACAGAAGGTATACGAAGGCGTGAAATGGAAGCCATCGCCGGACCAAACGAGTTTGCTGAGTTCTATGCTCGAGTAAAGATACTCAAAGATGCCCATCGTCGAAATCCTGATGAGGTATGTTTTTGCTGAATGAGCTCCTCGTATCTCTTGTGAGGATTTCCGTGGTCTATTGTGTTGTGTGTGCCATATTGTATAGGGCTGACAGAAGCCATCTTGAAATATTTAGCTTGCTGAACCTCTCTCTATGGAATTCCAAAAAATGCACGAAGAAATCGCAGATCCTGAGCGTGAAGAAACTGATATGGTCCAGTTCACAGATGAGGAGGGATATGGCAGGTAAATTATAAGGAGCTTTTAGTGATATTCACTATTGCTGTTCATTCCTTCTTTCATTCATCATTCATCATCCAACTTTATCTCTCTTTTTTCAGATTTTTGGACATGCACGCTCTGCATGCTTTGTATATGAATCTGAAACATATCACGGTGCGTCCATTCATGGAGACAATGACAGATGTCAACTTTGTCTCTGAAATTACATTCTTCCAGAAAATCGATTACATATCATACCTTGGCCAGTTCGACAAGTTTACGGATATTCCAAAGAACACGACGAAAAAGACTGGAGCTTACAAAGAATATCTACACGCTCTGAAGGTATGAAATCTGACATTTGTTTTTGGTACTTGCAAGCGCTCAGGCTCTTTACCATTACCGAACTTTGTGTGGCGCATAGGTCAAGGTCGCTTTTCTTAGAAGTGTCCTCACCTTCCATTGATAAGTTTGAATCACATTTTTCAAAAAAGGCATTGGGCGTGCTGAAAAGATTCCGGTATTAGCGAAGTACATAGTACGGAGCGCATGCTGTGCCGCAGATTACTTTTATCGCTATATATACAATTACTTACTAAGAGCTGATTCAGGACTACCTCGTCTACTTCATGGAACGAACACGACCGCTTCACAACTTGGAGGAAGATTTCAAGAAGGTAATTTCTAGAAGTTGTTTGTGTGTCACATTGTACGTTCATCAAACGAATTCTTGTTCTGTAACCCAGTTCTACTTGATTTTGTACGCATAGTTTAGAGAAAGCAGTCTCTCATATAATTGTAGCTGAGGCCAGTGGTCATATACATCGAGGATTTGAGGAAAACTCACCTTTGAGACTACTTTACTGTAGAGTCTTTTCCTCTGCGTAGCTTTAACGCGTGATAAATTTTTGTGGTGTATACGGGTATACAGTGATAACTCTAAGTCATAGTAGTTGTGAACCTGAAGGTTCTTTGAATAGTAGGACCTCAGATCTTACCCTCTTTGTCAACCCACCCATGGATGGGGGGGGGGGGGAGCAGGGAGTTCGACATAGAGGAAATAAACTGACTTTTTTATGTCACATATACTGGCGAGTGAAAATGCTGCTAGTTTCTGAAACTTTCTTCCACGTTGTTGATGCTTTGTGACTGAGAGTGAAAAGGCTTTGTTTCTCCCCGTTCCAGTCTTTGCCTTAGTAGCCAGCTGGTATATAGTGTGGATTCTGCTTGATACCATGAAATTTGTGATAGCTTCCGTAAGTTTGCATTCTCTAGAGTGATGCTGAGATTGATCGAATGATCGCAAATGGGACACTTCCTGGTTGGCCATCACATACCGTCAACACCAAGCAGGTGTGTAATTTTTCGACTGCCAGAATCTTCTCACTCACTCTCCGATTTATTCGAAGTTCAGGCCACAATCGATATTTCGGCTTATAGCAACCCAAAAGAGCTAGAAAGTTTGGGCCTTGACCGGCTAAAGGCTGCTCTCATGGCTCTGGGACTGAAGTGTGGAGGGTAATTTTTGTTTTTCTTTATGCAATTTTTATTTCCAATATCAACAGTGAATTCGAAATTTAGCACCTTGAAAGAAAGAGCAGAACGATTGTTTGCCTCGAAAGGTGTGGGAGCTGGAGAATTGGGCAGGGATGCTTTAGCGAAAAAGGCTGACGATGCCAAAGAGCATGCAAGAATTTCTGCGTTGGCAAAACTGGAGGGGCATATCCGATGGTAAGTCTTACGTCCGATATACTACGAACGAAGGTGGCGTTTAGATTCAGGATAGTTAAAGCTTTGGATCTCTGAAAGTATCTGACATTTTACAGCATTGGCAATCTTTTGGGTGAAGAACGGGATGCAACACGAGAGAATGTGGAAAGAAAGCAAGCAAGAGCTGCTGGCGAGAACGAGGATGACGAGGAAGAACCACAGGCATGTGGATAAATGGTTTCATCTCATTTTCACTATGACCCGGAGGTTTCAGGTAGAGAGCGACGAGGAAGAGGATGATGGTGTACCTTACAACCCCAAAAATCTTCCTCTTGGGTACGTTGTGATTACAGTGTCAACGGGTCTAATAAGAGAAAGCATCTCATCACATAACAAAGCTGTTTATACTTTGGAGAGGCCACATGTGCTCTGCTTAACACGCGCAATTTCTGTGATTATGCGAGCGGTTTCATACCAGTGTCAAATGGACACAGTGTGCAGTAGATCGTACACTAGAAACACTAGGAAGTGGGGACCTTCATCATACCTAATACGAAAAGTTTTTTTTGATCGCAGTCTCCTTTCCAAATGAATTCTGCATCTTTAGAGCTTCGAACGCTGATTATGAATCTGCTTTTATTATTTGCCGAACCTCTCTGAACCGCTGAATGAGCATTTTTAATTGAAAATGTAAATGCGCAAGAAAAAAGTCCATTGCTTGAATAGTCCAATGGGAAGATATAAGGGTACTTCAGGAAATGATCACCTTTTGTCCAATATACTTGTACACAATCCTCTATTTGAGCGCTGAAGCGACCGTAATAACTGATTGTTTAGAATCTCGCACACTTTTTGCTCCAAAAAACAGCCATAACTCGAGTTGTTCGGTGAGTTGTTCGGCAGATAATGAAAGCAGATTTGAAATCGGCTTTAGTGTCTTTTATAGTGGTTCATTGGGAAGAGCCACTGCGAAAGAAAACACTTTCCTTTAAGGTTCATTTTTGTCAATTGCCCGATAGAACCCTGAACATGCGACATAGAAAAGACTCCAGTGAGCAGGGGTAGAGTTGCGTTTCTGTAATTATTTAGTTTGAGAGCGAAGTCAAATTGCAAATGTTGCAAATTTTGTCGCACTTTCTCATAACTCTACATGTATGTAATAATCTGATGAAAATTTTTGCAAACAGCACATCGTATCCGAGCAGGCGAAGTTCTGCACTTACATATTGTTTCTACTGCACTTTCTACCTTCCATACCCCAGCAGACCACCTGCCCAAGCTGCAGCGTATTAGAAGATGTAACAGCGAATAGTGGAATGAATTTCTTTCAAATAGAAGTTTACTTATAAATATAAACGGTGCGAAGATGCAAACGCAAGCGGAAATGGCGTCCCTTCGGCGGAGTACGGCAAATATCTTACTTCTTGCGCCTTTATTTGGTTGTAAAGCAAAAGCCTGCCCGAAGTCAATATGGGAGTCTTTCCTTAGTTTTTTATCCCTCTACCCTCACTTATCATAATCCCTTGATCTCATATAAAGTAAAGCGGTTTTATCAAAAGAAAACATTAGCTCGTTGTGATAAAATTGTTATGAACAAATTATTCCTACGAGCCATCCGTGGTTGTCTCAGTAGCCGTCTATACAATTAAATTTTTTCAATGTCTAGATGTCATCCAGTTTCCTTACTATTTTAGCTGGGACGGAAAGCCAATTCCATATTGGTTGTATAAGCTGCATGGACTCAACATCTCGTACTCATGTGAGATATGTGGCAATCAAATTTATAAAGGACCTAAAGCATTCCAGAAGCACTTTAATGTATGTTTTCTGACGTAATGAAGATAAGGTACAAAGCAAATACTGACATGTTTTAGGAATGGCGGCACTCGCATGGCATGCGTTGTCTGGGAATACCAAACACTGCCCATTTCGCCAACATCACACACATTAAAGATGCTCTAGATTTGTGGACTAAAATCAAGGGAGAAAAGGTAAGGAAAAGCTCACATTCCCATTTCGATGCAATTTGAACAAAAATTTCTTTTCTCAACATAGAGCGAATGGGGTTAGGTTTCTCCGTGAAATAAGATCACAAGATCTTGGCGAGGAAAGCTCGGCTCATCCGGGTACATGAGGTTTGGTTATAAAATTGATCTCGAGGCTTTTGTCGGGTCAATTACATTAATGGAAGATGGTACGATCGTGGGGAGACCTAAAGTAGGAGACAGTTAAGAGGCGCGATTTTTCTTTCTGTCACCTACTGAAAAGTCCACTTCAGTACTTTGTGAGTCTTCGAAAAATACCAGATAAAGTGCTTCGGCGTGGACTCGGCACAGCTGGCATCTGTCAAACTGGTTATCGTTTTGGGACAAAAAGGAAGGGAATATTGTCTTTGTGGGCGAAAAGACACAAAATTTGCTATTTTTTAGTCGACGTTTTGTTTTTCTGAAGGTTTTTTACGTTTAGGGTCAAAGGGGACTTCCTACGAAATTTTCAAGATCAAAGAGGACTTCGTTTAGAAATTTCCCTGATGCCAGGCGTTGACTTATACTTATGTGAAGTTATTACTTGCTGAATTAGGTGCCTTTGGCTGCATAATCGACCGAAAATTCAACGAATCTGCTTTCGGTTGTTGAAAAGGTTCTTGACCTTCCAACATTCAGGCTTCAAATCCATATTGAGATGATAGGACTGAAGTGCGAGTCTCTTTAGAAAATGTAGACGCTTTCAGAAAGTTATTACACCCTAGCCGCATGCATTAACATCCCCGTTAAGGAAGGGGATCGCAGCTCAGAAGAAAGTTTCTTATTCTGAAGATATAAGATAAGATATATCTAGATATAAGATATAAGATATCTAGATCTAACGCTATCTACCTGCCCGCAAGTGCTCCCACCATCCTTCGTTATGAACACATTGCACAGCAGCGAGAAGCTTACAATACGCATTTTTTAGCGTTTGTATGATCCCTCATAATCCCCGGCGCTTCTCTTCAAAGTCATTTTTCTTTCTTTGAAGTCAAAGAAAACCCTCTAAAGTTGTATTGATTATGTAACCAACAGTGCTAGACATGTCGATGATGAGAATAATTGAGTTTTTGAAAAATTGAATTTTTTTGGTAAACTCCAACTTTCGACTTGTGGATCACCGAAAATTCCATGACTCCAAAACATCATTTGTTCTTATCAGCAGCATGCTTAGCACTGTTGGGTTATATTAGCAGAACAACTTCAAACGTTTTTATTAACTTTGAAAAAAGGAAAGTGATATGAAGAAATGACGGTCGGCCGCCGGGGCTGGGGCCATACGAAAAGCTGGAAAATGCGGCTTGTACAGTTTCTTGCTTTTCAATGTATTCATAGTGAAGGATGGTGGGGATACTTACATAGGTAGACAGCGTGAAATCCAGATATCTGGTTCAGGATGTGAAGTTTTCATTTTGAGCTGCCATCCCCTCCGCGGCGGGGATGTTAATGCATGCGGCCCTAAATGTCTGCTATCTGATATTCATCTGGTAACAAAGATAGCATTTTTTGCCAGACATTCCTAAAGTTATACCTGGAGCCAAACGCTGACGTTCTCTTGCAATTAAGGAGTAAACAGATATCGAATACTCGAACTCGAGTTTTTATAGGAGCGGCAGAGATGGAATCCGGATCTCGACGAAGAATTTGAGGATTCTGCTGGCAATGTAGTTACTCGGAAGATGTACGAAGATCTCAAAAGACAAGGGCTTCTGTAAAGAGTTCATTGTACTTGTTTGTACCAGTCTTGTAATCCACCTCATGTTGTTGAATTTATGGCTTATGTATCTCTTCATTCTCCATAAACAGTCGTCTATTATGTCTGCTGAGATTCGTTTATGATTACTTTATGAAACTCTATAAATAACTGAGTTGAGAAAAGTTCTTGAAGCCGAAGTGAGAAATGCACCCGCAAACAATAAATAGCAGAACAAAGATCATATGCAACAATTCACAAATCAGCTTTGGAGCAAGTACACTGAACATGAACAAATGTCCGGAAAGAGTGACCATACCACTAAGAGCAGAGAATAAAATCACAGAACGCAGTTGAAGAGCAGCTCCAATGAGGCGAACGTAGTCCTCGGAATTAAACGTTTGGGACCCCTTGCTGAAAGTTCAGGTTTCTTTCTACATACCACAAATGAGATGCTAATGACTAACAAGTAGCCGACAGTGAGAGCGATGGGTGCAGCGTAAAAATTGGCAATGATCTGGAGTCCTACCAATGGTGCGCTATATGATGAAAGCCCTTTGTAGCCTATGGCGATATCAATTGAGGATATGTTGCTAGATTGACCCTGAAAGGCATTCTATTGATAAGTGCTGGCAAAAAAAATACTGGTACCTGATAGAAAAACACAGCTTGACATAGAAGAGCATAAAGATGAGGAGAAGAGGAAAATCGTTTAGTGAAGGAACCCATTTCGAAGGAGATCAGTAGTAAAGGAATAGTTTCTGGTCGGACTAGATAACAGAGGTAGAGCATAACTCCCATTGGAAACGACATGACCGAGTTGACAATGATCGCGAAAATCGTCAGGTAGACTATCCATCTGCAAATGATAATGTTTATACTACCCTGTTCGATTACGATTCTTCTAGTATTTTCTGAACCGGAGATATGCACGAAGCTATTGTGGGTGATAGAGTCACAAAAATTTTGTCGTTCATTTTCAAAAAAATTTCCACTCAGCGGATTTGCTACATTTCAATTTTTCTAGTGGAAGATAGTTTTCGGCTTCACATTGAGGTCTTGACAGCAGTGAGATTTTCTTCACAGAGATTTCCATTCGGGGGGGGGGGGGGGAGTGGAGGGGAGGGCTACAATGTGGATTTTCAAAATCACAAGACCAATTGACCAGACAGAGCATCCGAGCTGATGTTTGTCAGGAAATCACACTTTCTTGTCTATGTTATCAAGGTCAGTGTTTATGGTCTCCAAAAAGACAACGTAAAACAAAATTGTTTTTTTTTTCGATTTTTTTGATGAAAATCCGCAACTCTATGCAGACTATGCTTCATCTGCACGAACTTTGCCCATTCAAAAGAGCAGGTCGTCCTTCATTATATGTGTTTTAGTAAGGTGATGCTTCACGAGTTGTCACACTTTGTATCAGATCGAACATACATAAACGTACCCATGATCAGCTTGTATCAATACTCTCCAACAAATAAGCAATGAAAGACAGTGTGATAGCAAATTCTGCACTGAAGAATTCGAACATGGTTGAAGACGTCGCAAGATATAGCATACACACAAAGTTGTCGTCAAAAAAGGGCCCCTGGAAGATACTATGAGATCTAGCTATAAACGATTTGATTTGGAGGAAGCTTGTCAAAAAAGTAGTTTCCCATTTGCGAGCGACCATATAGTATAACCAAAACAAGTAAAAAAATAATTAGATAGGCACAAGGGTAATTCCAAAGCGCTCTTTTTTTTACAGAATCAGCATTATATTAGGTCGTTCCAAAATAAATGTCGCTTTTTTCAAACGGGCGCCATATTCGATGGAACAAAAGTTTCTAAGAGATCTTGGAAGTATTCGATGCAGCATTTTATTCTTTTTTCAATTGTTATAGTATCATGGCATCATATTCAATGAGGTTTTAAAAAATTACCAAAATCTGCGACCCATGCTTTTTAAGAAGGTCAAGTTTCACAATTTTTCTAAGTTTTTATAACAATCCTCGGAAGGAGTTCAAGTAATGGATGGCTAGAGCAAACCCCACAGGAAAAGCACAACTTTTTTCTACTTTCCATAGCTCGTACAATTTTTGTATTGAATTTTTGATGGAACCACCGAGTTTCAGCAAGCTCGTCTCAAACACAAGTGCATCAAACAGCAATAAATATTCGGATTTTAATACTTACAAAGATGGATTATGGTTTGATACTAATTTTACAAACCAAATGAGCATTCATCGCTTCAGATTAGCAACTTTAGAAAAATCCGGGTACAGCTCGGGGCGCCCTGGAAAACCTGCATTATGATGATTATATCCCGGAAAACCTGATGAATCGGAAACAAAAAACAACTGGCAGAAAGAGGAGAAAAAGCTGCGTCGAATGGCACCCGAGTTGCTTGCCGGTTGTTGTTCTGTGAGGTTTGAGTTGACCAAATATGGACTTTGATGGACTTGAAAAATTAACTCCAGAAACTCAAAAAAGCAAGCTAAGGAAAAGCAAAAAATTGTTTTGTGTCCTATAGGGTCTGCTCTATTTATATGTTACTTGTACATTTTCAGGGAATCAGTACAAAAATTTGGAAAATTAGCCGAACTTGACCATGACAAAAAGCATGAGTCGCAGGTTTTGGTAACTTTTGAGAGCTCATTGAATACTATGCAATAAAATTAGAACCATTAGAAAGAAGGCGAAATGCTGCATCGAATGATCCCAAGAGCTTTTGAAAATCTTGATTCTGTGAAATGTGGCCTTCGATTGAAAAAAGCGACATTACTTTCGGAACGACCTAATACGTCGGTGTAATTTCATCTCGCGACATTTCAGACCAACGATTAATAAGTTTTGAGCTACGGATAAATTTCCACAATGCAAAATATTCCAACTGGGGGGGGGGGAGACGGATTCGCATGAAGAGTAAAGAGCAAATTCTTTTACATTCTTGGTTTGTTCCAGCAAGTAATTTTATTATAGGTTTTTTTCACTAGTATGTGATTTAATCCTTTCGGAATCCAACAAAATTACTCCCGTTTTAGGTTCATGATTTTTCTTCGTTCCAGAAAACGATGGACCTGGAATGCACCTAAACCGAGTGAATGTTCTGCTTTTATAACTAGTTCTTAGAGATTATAATCCTTGACGCTACAGAGAGACAATTGTTTTGGGACAAAATCACAAATAATTTCTAAATACAAATTGTGTAGATGTTGCACTTACCATTTATATAAAGTTACAAGATTGAGATCGTTGATGATATAGTCGATAGACGATATATACAACCGAAATTCAGGAAAAAACGGAGGTGGTAAGAGATCTGGAACAATGCCATGAATTTCGCTCTAGATGTGCCTATCTGATTACCGGGCCTCATCGACCATCGCCTCCTTCGATGAGCCATAAAAGCCATACCCAAGCGATGCAATAGCAATGATAAAATAGCTGCTCGGAATTTCCCATCAGAAATCTGCAATCTGTTTTTATAGGCATAAAAAAGGAAAATCACCTAAAAATGGCGCTCGTAGTTACCATTTCTGCAACATCTCTGTGATTTCTGACAATAATGAAAATATGAACAAGAATTACCGTAGAAAGAATATAGTACCTGAATAGAAAATTCGTAGAAGTATGAAGAACTACCGAGAACCCACTTACCAAACTTCATGCTCTTCCTCAATAAAACTAGTTGAATAAGATGAAAGATGGTAGAGTGCGAAGACACCAAAACTGATGAAGCCATGAGGTTCTGAGATTGTTCGATTCTGCAAAGGCTGGAGTGTTTGCAGAAATGCGGTGGATGTGATAAAGTGGAAAAAAACACAACCACAGTTTCATTTTCATAAGTGTTTGTTGCGGTGGAACATCGGATTCCAGAAAACAAGCATACCAGTCTGTTTAAGCTATATTACAGATCAAAAGTTGTCTAAAGTGACATTTTAGCGGGTTCCAGAAAGCATACAAATCTGATGAGCTAAAGTTCCAAGAGTGAAGCGTGTCCATTTGATAGAGAGGATATCGATGGTAGGAAGGTGGTTAGATAAAGCCATGAAGATAACGTGAGAAGTTCAACCCAAGGGACCTTTGCAATGTGATGTCGAGAAGGATCGACCAAAGATCAACTCCAATATTCGATTCAAACAAGACAAGCAAAACTCTTCCTCGTTACCATTAAATATAGACAAGTTTAAGCTTATTTCCAAGTCAAATACGCCGTAACTGTTGTAAAAGATTTTTGCTGACTGTGCTCTTATGACACCCGTCCATAATCATATAGAACACAAAACCCATCAGCGAAACTTCGACGAGATTCCTACATTTCAAACAAAAGCGCAAGCGGTGCTGAGTATTAAATCTGTTCAGATTGCAGCCTAAGCCAATAACTGCCTCTACCCTTGGAATTACAGAAACATTGGGGCTCTCAGCTTTCATGAAGGGAGGTAGTACGTGAAGCGAACGAAGTAAAGCAAGCAGACGAGTTTTCGGATACTGTACAGCGCTAGGCGCAGGTGGCTTATAAGCAAGCTGGATATCGTTTTTGGGACAAACAGCAAAGGGGGTTTCGTTTTGGCTGAAAAGACACAAAATTTATTTGCAACGTTTTTTTGCTCGACGTTTCGGTTTTTGGGGATTTTTTAAGGGATTATGGTATGGGGTCAAAGGAGACTTCGCAAAATTTCGCAAAAGTCAAGGGAGACTTCGTTTTTTACATTTTCAACTAGCCACCTCGTGCGAGCCCTGATACTGTAACTTTGTAATACAGAGCCATGAGAGGAGAAACTCTGCTAGAAATGAAGCAGGATCACTGGAGGAAAGCAAGAGCAGTGTTTTTTGCAACGATGCCCGAAGCTCATGTTGTGTCAGCAGCTTATAAGTACCCATTCTTGCTCTAAAATCCCAACCGGAATGCCAAACCGGTCATACTGTCAGTATGAAAAGACATGAACGCTAAACTCACCACAGTCAATGATAGATCACAGAGAACGAGAAAGCCCTAAAAACATTTTACTCTTTATATCATCACAGTAGTGTAAGTCCTCTCACCATTATGAGGAGCAACATGCCAGCATAAGCCAGGTGTCCTAAGGTTGGTTCAAGCGACTTTATAATTTCATTCTGTGCTTGCTGAGTGATCTGCGCAGCTTGGCTGCTCTGTACATAAGCTGCATAAGCTCTTATTTCTTGACAACGAAGTTTCTCTTCAACGGTGTAGAGACGTTGAAGAGCACGATCTGAATGAAAAAAAAGATTATGGAATTACGGAACTGGTTGCACAGCTTTACGATGGGTCATACTCTCATTCAAATTCTTGTGTTTGCAATGGTTATCTACTGTGAATCTCCGACAGCGTGTTTGGATGCTGCATGATAACGCGGGTATATCTCCGAGGAAATCGAAATATAATTTTTTGTGAAACTAGTCTCCTTTCTCATAACGCGTGTCGGCAGCAATATGCGGACTGCTAAAGTGCTATACAGAATATTATTTGAGAAGAGGGAGGGTGTAATTGGAGTAGAACAAAATAAGTAACTAGTATTACCATAGATGGTGACAGGCGCATCACCCACAGTTAGAAATTCTATCGATTTTGGGGGTTGGAGCAGCAAAGTTTTCCAAAAGGAAAAAAAAGCATGACGTTAGTTTCTCTTTCCAAACGATTTCTAACGTTTTTCAAGTGTTGTTGTGTTTGGATGCTGCCTAATAACGCGGGTATATCTCCGAGGAAATCGAAATATAATTTTTGGTGAAACCAGTCCCCTTTCTCATAACGCATGCTTAGCCCGAACTGAAGAAATGTGGTAAAAGCCAACACCTACGAGGCAATTATTTAGCTTCAAACATCATAGCTGACCTCATATTTTGACAGAGTAATTCTTCGAAACCCGATAAACTCAATCAATCAACTTACCTTCCATGAACTTGGAAAAATGTTTAGCCGACTGAATTGAAGCGGACAGTATTGTATGCTCAGTCAATTTCCAGTATTCAGCTAATCTCGGCACAAGCGACAAACCAACACTGCCTAATGGGATCCCAGTCTTCAGAAAATAAGGCAGGGTACTTGCCAGATCAACTTGCTGCCCTTTTGCAAATTCTATGCACGAATTTTGAGCATCGAAAGCATATTGCGAGTTTAACACACCTGTGAGATTTCCACCATGTTTTACACCAATTTTTGAATGCAGAAACACTATCGGAACCCATGACTCCGACTCACTTCCACCACCATGTGAACCACCAGGAGTCATTCCATGATCAGCCAACACAACTAACAAAACAGGTGAATGCCCCTGGAAGAATCTAGTCAAGCCCCAATAATTCATATTTCGCTTATGTGAAATATTAGGTTGATTCATGATTAATGCACGTTTTTTATATTTCAACTTCAAACCAAGATAAATCTTTTCCGAAAACACCTTTCCGAACGTAGTAAAGACTACAATAAACAGCAACCTTTGGTTACAAAAAAGATACTTTGTTGTCACCGCAGCCATCACAAGAAAAATTCCCAAAAATTGCTTTATGCTCACTGTATAGCCGATTCTCTATTAAGCAGTGCAGTTCGGATTTTACGGATTTTTTTTTGCGAGAAGATGTTGCAAAAATTCAGGAGACTCACTTTCTCCGGCAATCTGAAGTAAACAAAAATTTGGCTTTTTTGATATTTTTTATTTTTCTTCGCTGGAAACGAGAAAACTCTACCATTTTCATACCACTGTTTGTATTTATATTGCAAAGCTTTATAATAGCTTGTTGCCTAAGTTTTTAAACGGCGCGGAAGGTCCCGATGGCCACCCAAGTTAGCGAGTAAATTTCTCCATTCCAGATTTTTTGAAAATTTTGTTCAAAAAACATTTTGTAGCACAAAACTTCTCCATCGTAATGAATATTTTTTAACACATTGACGACCGAAGCCCTTCTTAGACCTGCCAGCATTTTCACATAAAATCACGCACAATTCCATCTACAGTACATCTATAGTAGCGCCGGAATGCTGACAAAAACAGTAGAGGTTGTATCTAAGTCCAGCAAAAGAAAACTCCCGGAGTTGGTTTAACACAAATTAGTAGCCATTTCAATGATAGTCATGATATGTCAAGCTTTGACACACCATGTGTATCAAGCGGTCGTCAATGTGTTAAAAATGATTCCGCTATTCTTCATGGATTTAGGGCAAATGAGTGAAAGGTAAGACTTCTAATCTATTTTGTTTTATTTGAAGGCGTAAAATTTTCAAATGAACAGACTTCTAAAAGGGGAGGCATAAATAAGAAACTAAAAAAAGCTGAATAGATACCACAAAAGATCTTCGAGAAAATTGGTTCTACTTCGAAAACTGGCGCTTGGAAGAAGAGGTAAGAAAATGTGCATTAATTATGAATCAAGCTAATAATTACTCCCTATTCCATGCACTAAGAGAATCACACTATTATATAAAAGTCGGCTAACCGACACAGTTGCAAAGATTTGCTCCGCGATCTTGTCCATTTCGCGTAGCTTACTATATAATATCGGTGATTCTCCACCCAAAGAGTGGCCTCAAAGAAAGCATGAAGTATGTTCGAAAACTTTGTGAAGTCACGATTACCTATGTGATCCAAACCCAGATAATGAAGGATGAGTATGTCCCATCCCGAATCACCGAGTTTAGCACCAAGATGGCGAGTGACATTGTTATCAACCTGAAATTTCTGATTTCTAAAAAGATCTTACTTGTCTTCTTAAAGTACGGTAAACCTCAGTGTAGTCGTTAACATAGAAAGATGTAACACCTTCGAATTCGATAAAGGCGTTAGGGAACAGCCTTAGCCAAGTGTCGTCTCCATAGAAAAGAATCCTAAAAACGAGTTGATATCCTTCCTCCTACTACTCAGAAATGAATGATTAGGTGTCAGAATGCTGATGGTGATTAACTCAAAAATACGAGAGGCTGCTGGAGCAGTTCGGGCAGCAAGAAAATTTTTTCGCATTTCTTTGCTTTATATTAAAAAAATAATTTTACCGATTCAAATGAAAACATGATTTTGTGAAGAAATATCTCTCTATTTCTGATTGGAATCTTGCATTCTAAGAAACAAAACCAACTTTTTCCCTGCAGCTGCAGCTAAAGTTATCCAGTTTTCTTCTGTGTTCACAGTAGCAAAGAAGTTTGTGACTAGAGATATGAATGAGGGTATAGTTCCGCTCGTTAAAGCCTGCAATGGTTACAGATAGCTCTAAAAGGATTAAGGAAGATTTGCATTCAACAAAACGCAGAGCTGTTAAGATGACGCCTGCTGCTTGGACTCTTCATACGTCTGAAGACGTAGGACATACCATGATTCGAGGCATCGTGACCGTAGGTGTCTGTACTCTTGCAACAAAGCCTACTCCGCGTCCAGATGTGATCGAGCTCCGCAAAAATGACATTGGCGAATCGGAGTCCACAAGGAAAGATAACCTCCATGCATCTATCACCATAACAACAACTTTCGTGTTGTTGTCGACGAGGTGGTCGTCAACATCTTCTTCGAAACATCCTTTAAGTAACTGCTTAGGAAAACAACCCAAAAGCGGGATTGTGATTTCAGCAAAGTTCTTACCCTTGAAATCCAAGTCACTTTGCAGTGATGACGTCGTCCGTATTTCTCTCTTGGCTGCGAGACCAAAGCATATGAGCAGCACAGCGACTGAGAAACAACCAAAGGCTAACTAGAAATCAGAATAGGAGGATAAGAACATTAGGTCTTCTATTGCGACACTCACCACTAGGCGAAAAGAAGTGGAGTTAGGTGACAGCATACGAGAAGTGAGGGCTGATTCCATCTATTTCTCCATGTCATTTATTTCTTAAAAAGAGTACCCTGCAATCTGTAACTAAAAAGGCATGGCAAATTGACGTTTTCGCCAAATAGAAAGAAGAAAAAATAAAATTAACAAAAAGTCTATTACAAGCTAATCAAAGGTAAAGTTGAACGATGTGTAGATTATGATATAATAAGTGAGCTTCCGGATGGAACACTGCACGATAAAGACAGCAACGGATCTCACATATTTAGAGTGCAAGCCCGGCATTTCCGGGGAGGGGGGGGGGGGGAGTGACAAGAATGCTTTCGAATGTGGTTAGCGGAGAAAATTTCTCACAAAGCTAATTTAACTTTTAAAAAGTTTTGAAGTTATTATAAATATCTACAAGTATAAACAAGTCACTTCCCTCCTTGGACCGCCACTGCTAGGTTGGTAACAAACAGACATATGCTGTGATATGTATCCAGTTTCCTACTTCTACCTCAAACCAACAGCAAAAGCAAGTGATAAGTGATTTCCACATTACTTCTATCGTTCTCGCCACTCTCCAAATCTCTACACTTTTTCTTACGACTTTCCAGACTAGAAGTCCCAAACTCTAGACTATTCGTAGTTGCTACAGAAATGTTGCAGGTTATACTGTTTTCCAGTGGGCCGGTCCTCAAAAATCTGCTCTTGCGAATAAGTAAACTATCTAAAAGCTCACTTTATGCTGTTGTAATGTATTTGCTTCTTATGATAGCTCCCACTTGTTGATTTTCCAAAACTACGCAAAATGAGAATTTCCCTTGCACAGTGACTTGCACTAATTCTGAAGCACCACCACAAAGCTAAAAAGATCTACGAAATACATGAGCTTTCTTCTACCAATCAGTTGAGCATCCGACACTGAGTTCGGAATAGCAGATTCCGAGTTTCAAAAAAAAATCGTCGTGCCACTTTACTGCCCCAAGATTTTTCTTGAAAACAATCGCAAAGTTTCTCGATACTGCAAGAGCGAGATGTTTTCAAAATTGCTTTTGCTGAGTTATTTGGAACTTATTATCGGGAAGCTGGAAGCTTGTTTAGATTCTTATTGAAGCGAAAAAAAGACGGCCAGAATATTTGTGACTGATCCTGCACCTTCCCATTTTGCGAAAAGAAAAAAAATATATGAACGCCTTGTGTAGCTGCTCGTAAACAACTGAGTTGTGGCTAGATGATACTCAGCTACCCACCCATCTGCAGAAGACGTTACGATCGGTCAGAGTGGATGATTTTATGAAAAAAATTTGCCCCGGTTCACAATGATTCGATGGTTGCGCACTGATACAAAGTATTGGCGCGATTTACTACGGTGACTCTCATGTTTGTAAATTTCATTGAACCATAAAAGAGAAGAACGCAGAGGGACTTTGCAATATTCGCATCAAATATGATACCCCCCCCCCCTACCATCTTTATCCTGAATTTTGCGTGTATCCTGTTCGCTAACATATCACGCTCATCAAAAGCGACAAGACCTGGCTGTCGAGCGAATGGTCCTTGAATGTGGTAACAAATAAATTCATACGATTATGCACTTTGTCAACGCAACAACAAAATGCCAACCTGTTTTTGTCCAGTTCGCAATTCATAAGATAACAGCATACACCAGCCAAATTTGATATATGAATCAGATGAGAGGGCAATGTGTTAAATAATTTCTATATATGATAGGCAAGTTTATGTTTAACTCAATAAGCTGATGTGACAACAATAAAGCAATGATCAAGCATCATCTCTTTCCCAAAGTCTGAAAATTCTACAATTTTCTTCATTGATGATCAATTATCTTTTGGAAATATCGCAAACAGCATATCCTAGATGTCGATCAGGTATAATTCGGTTAGTAATGGGTATGGCACCCTATTTCCGAGTGGGATATTTTGTTGCCGACACTTTCATAACATGACCCGCACTTTCCCGTTCAATGCATCATTTTCCTACACTGGATAATTAGCGGATCTGATACTTTATCGCACTGTTTCAAAGATAAACAATGATCTTGATATCTAACAAGAGGAAAAGTGGAAAAAATTAGCCTTTGCATCTCCTACATTTGCAGTTACGTACCAAGTCACATAATGACATCAAACATGAAAACGTTGGAACTTTTCAGGACTACCATGCTCTAACCTTTGCTCTCAAAAAAAAACAAAAAATTAAAAAAAAAACAAAGAAAACTTGGATTAAGGCCATATACGACGTGTGTAAAAAGTCTGGGAGCCTAGTACTTTTCAGACAAAATCAGAAGTCAGTTCGAACCTTTACAAATATAGCGCAGTTTTCAAATTTTGAGATTGCTTCTTTTGGCTTGCCCTAAGCAATCCATCAAATTCGCAACGAGCCCACCTGTCGTGACATGCAGATAATTCTAATAAGATTCGTCCAATGCTTTCAATGCTTCTTTCACTAAGCAAATGTGCAGATAGAGCAAACTTTTGTCTACAATATAACTCCAAGAAAATTTTTTCCAGTATTTAGAAATAGAAGTTTTGGAATTTTAAGTGAAGGCAGGTGTATTCGCAAACTGGAAATTCGGATGCCATTGCGCGAAGGAAAGCAGAAAATCATAACGTAAGAAGTATTAAAATTGCCCCATTGACGGAATTCAACTGGATGCTTATGTATAACAATTATAGAAGGAAATTCAACCTAAAATTCAGTGCCTTCTGCGCTTCTACAGCGTTCATTTGTTTTGAAGACAGATGACCAATTGCACGCAGGTAACATTTGCAAACCTTTATTTTTTGTCTTTGAAAGAACAACTTTTGGTAAACGCAGATACTACGGTGTGATAGCGCAAAGCCTCCTCTACAATGCGTGCATCAAAAGAACATTCAAAGTATCTCTAACTACAAGATAAAATGTTGATACTAAAAATTTTGATTTTCTCGCTCCGCAAAGGCACGTTTGATGACTCCATCCTTACAAGAGCGTATAGCAAGCATTTCCAGCTAGGTAAATTGTGATTCGCGGGGGGGGGGGGGATGATCACAGCAATATGCGGCACAAAACTGGAATCAAAATCATGGGTAGTTCTGTAATTTACAGCATGGTTAAGTTGGCTCCCAGACTTTTGACAGACCCCGTAGCTGAGCCATGTATGCGAACCACCTACAAACATCCGACTTCTTTAGCATCGTGGAGAATCACGAAATGGGAACAGATCCGGATTTGCATCAGCGCGAACACATACACATCCAGATGACGCGCAGCATGTTTTCTTTAGCTTCTTGAAATCGGACAATAGGAAACGAAGGAAGAAAATTGATCCGACAGCGAATAACTGTACCTTTGTGTCAATGATTTTGGTGGCTTCAAATATAGAACATTTTTGATATATAATGCCTAGCTAAAACCATTCCAATTTTGTAGAGCTCAAATAGCTTTTTCTAATTTAGCTTCGAAAGTAGCATCTAGCAAACCTTTTACGAATAGACTCAAACCGAACAATCAATACTATGGATCAGAAAAGCGTAGAATGATTAGGCTTTAGCCCCAAACAGCTCTCAATCAAGCGCTATCCCGTTGCGTCTCTCGATAAAACCCGATTTCGTCCCTTTATACCCAGGTCGTCCACTTCAACATGCCCACCATTGTCTGTTCGTTTACTCGCGGCTTCTGCTTAACTATATCCTCTTAATGATTTATACATTTTAGATGTGGTTCGTATTACTAAACTCAGTAGCTATCGTTTCGTCAGCACCAGTACAATCTCCTATGCTGGTTGGCAACGATGCATTCCTCACAAAAGAATATATAAACGCAATCACGGCTTATGGGCCCGGCCTGGGAGTTTTCAGTGAGTTTTGCCTAGACTTAACCGTAAGCTACAAATCGCTCAGGATCCTGGTTCATTTACGAAGTTTTCGCTATCTCAGAGAACCTGAGTTGAATTCAACCTAATGCGAGAAACAGCTGATCTTTCCTATTTGCACAGTACAAGTAAGATTTAAAAGTGTCACTTTCAAATAACACGCCCTTTCAAAAAACAAAAAAAATGCAAATTTCGTCAACCATTTCCCTCCTTGATAATTTGGATGTCAACTCCTCGGCAGGCAATTATGATTTTCTACTTTTGAAGCACAGTGATTTCTCGTAGCGACGTCAACATTCTCAAGTATCTTCGCTGGAATCTGACAAGAAATAATATTTCGATTATGGATACTGTATCAAACTCAACACCCAAAAAAAGCTAATACCTTACTTAACCGTAAAGTAGTAAACTTCATAGCATGGGCGTTAAAAAAACCAGCTTATGTAAATTTCAACAAACCATAAAATCAAGCTCAGACGGGAGTCTTATACTAGCTCTGAAAACAGTGTCTGCAGACAAATCCAGTCTAATAAATCCAATTTTTTTATCGCGTCGAAGGAATGATGCATTGTCGATCTAAGCTAAAAACCCATGTCGTTTCGCTCTCGTTAAGTTGCCGTTGAGTTCAATAACTCGTTCTATAATAGATAAGATGGATAAAACAAGTTCAGTGTGAGACACCTACATAGGATGTGGTCACAACTTAGTTACTTGATGAGACGCAATTTATTAGAAAAGGAATCCGTGAGAAAATAAGTTCGAGATTCTTATATCATCGGAAGTGAAAGATGCTAGCTTGTGGCAAGTACTGCAAAGAGACTTGAAAGGAGTTAATAGTCTTTTTTGAAGAAAAATGACTGGATCTGCTGGAAATTACTTGCGTCTCAATCAGATTCACTAGAGCAAAAAACAAAAAACATCAGACCAGCGGTCAAACTCTCCTTTTTTTTGTATTTGTCATCAGCCGGCAGTAGCTCGTAGATCTGCGGTTTCACAATATTATTATACTTCTTATCTAAATATGCTGGGCCAGAAACTTTTTTTTTCAGGAACTTGATGCGTAAAACTTAGTTCATAAAAAATTGAAGCCGGCTTTTTGAAAAGCAATTGGATGGTAAAGCCCAAAAAAGCAGCAGCCGGTCGCTCCTCAGAAAACCAGCTGCTAGTTTTCTGAAGATCTTCCTTTCCCAAGCATAAGTTTTCACGCCGAGTAGAGAAACATTTGTCTCCTTCAGGAGCTGTAAGGTGCAGCTTTGGGCTCAGCTCATCCAGGAATTCAAATGCTGAAGACTTCAGAGTAAGAGACCCAGAAAACCTCAAAGCCGCAAATACGAGCAATGCCCTGGCAAGGCTGATCGACATTTTGCATTCAAAGAGCAGTAGTATCAATCCTCACTATAAAAATAAAATAACATTGATAGAATCGTCGTGTTACGAAAAACTTGAATATATCCTTCATGAGCCACTTTTTTCAGCGCCATACTCATACGTTGACTTGTCGTACGACAATATCCCATTCGTTGGAAAAATTCCAACGCTTGGCAAAGAGGGGACTTCTTCAAAGCTGGGGATATCGCCCTTCTATCCTCCGCAAGGAAATCCTAGCAACCCATTTCCACCGCTCTACAGGTGAACAAGCACTGCTCTTGAAGATTAACAACGAACTGTTTCTGGTCGAAGTGGTCTCGGGTGGCCATCATTGCATTCTGCGGAGAGTCGAAGCGCTGAATTCAAGTCTGACTTCGGTATCTGCTATGCGCTTCTAGCCGCGGCCGCGAGTTATAGTGTTTTTTAAGGTGAAAAAAACAAATCGTTCAACCCGAAAAACATTCAGAACTCGGCATCCAGGGACGCGCAGCAGACATCGAAAACAGATATAAATATATATATTTGAAAATAGCACTTCGCCTAAAAACACTTTCCTTATGAGATACTAATCCATTAGTTCAGGGCACGTCCGCTTCCACTGCATGTGCCTGAGCCGCAAGATGTCGTGGCCGTACCGCTGGATGAAGAAGCTCTCCATGGCGAACCACTGTTCCCACCGGGTAAGGGTGTCGGGGAATGAACCTTTAATCCCTTGAGCACAACATATAATTTAGAACTTGTGTTGCCATCAGAACAAGATGCAGCAAAAGCCGAAGAAACAAAGAAACCTATAGATCCTTTCGCATCCGATGACAGCAACGTAAGTACTTTTTGTGTAACGGTAATCATCTACGCAATTTTTGTGTCAGGTCGAAAAATCAATTGCAAATTGTAAGAATACCATGACGATTCGCAATATCAAAAAGACAGAGTTTGAACTTTTGTGAAGAAGATGATGCTTTTAGAACAGCATGTTGCGCAGGCCAAAGCAAGTTCCAGAGGCAGCGTGCAGGCAAATATGGATATCAATTTTCTTTGACATTGCCTGGGTTCAAAATGTAGTGGTTGAACAGAGTCCAAATGAGCTTTGAGTTGCGCAGCCTAAATTTTGCAACACAGTCAACTATGAAATATCCCTGCAAAAAAAAACTTCACACATAGCATGAGCCTTACAAATTTGTCTTTCATTTCGACTCATAAAATTGCAATACAGAAACACATAAGCGGGAAAGAAAAAATCCTTTTACTTCTTTCAGGTTTACCCTAACGGCTACTGTCATATCTTTTGAGATGTCGCTTTACGTAAGCAGCACAAAGAAAAAGCTTTCCTGCGAAACGATGTAATCACTGATTTTTGTTCTTGTGATCGAAGCGAGTCTGAATTTTCATGCACTGATGGCTTACTACCATTCGCAAAATTTTGGGGTTTTCAGTCACAGCTAGCAATTTTCACCAAGTTTTGCGATGCACCACAATTTAGCAAAATATGCTCAAACGTGAAAAACTTTAATTTGGGAGCCTACTTTAAAAAAAAGAACTAGTAAGTATTTTTCGTTACTAGCTTATTACTTCGATTTCACAAAAAGACCTTGCGCTGCTACGGGAAAGAATGTACGCTCACACTGAGACTCTACTCTAGAGTCCAATTTTTCCCAAGCAAGAATTGCTCACGATTAATAACTGTATACGAAAGCTACTTATGATCTATTGTGCGCTGCAAAAAAAAAACCAGTAACCCTCAGGGCTCGGCATGAGGTGGCTTTTTAAGAATGAAAGAACGAAATCCTCCTCGACTCTCGCGGATTTTTACGAAGTCCCCTATGACCCTAAACTCTGGACGTGAAAACCTCAAAAACAAAAAGTCGACTAAAAAAATTTCACAATTTTTGTGTCTTTTCGGCCCCAGAAACGGTAATCCTTTGCTTTTTGTCCCAGAAACGATATCCGGCTTGCTTACAAGCCACTTGTGCCGAGTCCTGGTAGCACTGTTTTTGAGCGAAATCAGAGTCCGAAAATCGTTAGAGAGAATCTGAGAAATGTCCAAAAATGCCTTCTATCTACACACAGCATCTTGTTCAAGCTCAAAAATTTTCTATTACTACACTAAATGTTCGTAAATGTAGGTATTTGGTCGTTCCAAAATGCCGATGTTCTGAACGATCATAAAACCTCATAGATTATGACCAAAAAACATTCAAACATGCAATCGACATAGTTTTCCTTCTCGTTCTTATGTTTACAATCACGCAAGCATATCTAAGTGCCTCCAGAAAAATGAAAACAATCTTCACTCGTCATTTCTAGCTGTCCAAATTTCAAGAACCTATCTTATTCAAAGAAGGATGAATAGAGAAAGGAGCTAAACCAAAAAATTTGAAAGCAAAACTGCTTTCAAATTCTTTGGATTAGCTTTCTGAACTCTTCCAAAATTATTCATTGAAGAAAGATTATCAATGAAGATTTGAGGAGCTTGATTCAATTCCAAGTAATCTAAAATGATTAATGGAAATTAATCCGCATACCATCTAAAAGCGCTTTTGAAAATTCTAGAGCGATTTTCTTTCAATTTTGGGGAAGTTTGACGTTGATGCAGGGTTTCTCGAAAAAGCATGGACATAACATCGCCAAGACTTCATCGAAAAAAATGTAACTATCAGAAAGAGGAGAAAGTGTTGACTGGATGATGCCTAGCGCTCGCCGATCACTTTTTACAAATTTTGACAATCGTAAAAAAATTCGCCAGACTTTCGCGACATCTGAACCATCGCCTGAGCGTGGTAAGAAATGCATCAAGGAAAAAATTACACGGGTTGCTAGCGTCTATCAAAATCTGTCAGGAGAGCAGCAGTACCATATTCGGAAAAAGTGTACAGCTTATGTTTTCGCTTTCCGTTGAAAGAGGACTGAGGGGAAACATGATTATAAACGGAGGAGTAGCTAGACCAAGAATGTAATCCCTAGGCGCTGAAAAGACTATACATGAGAGTTTCACATAAAGAATAACGATGTTGTCCAATCTTCAGCAAAAGATGATATTAGACATGAAACAGTCCATTTTCTTCCACAGGGGCCAACTAAAGCGTGAACGTGATAGATTTTGATGTACAAAGTTGAGCTCCGTATTGATTAGCTATGTTTGCTCTGTAACGAAATTTTAGAAAGATGTTTTGGATTGGCCGGCAGAAGGCGAAACATCTCACAAACAAGGGGACCTCGAAGGAGACAGTTCGGGTAAGTTGAATATCTTCGTGCAATACCACTATAACTGCGTACACTTTGGTCAGAGGACCAAAGTGTGCTGCACCTATTCTGTCTAAAATGAGGGGTTAGAATTATTTCGTAGAGGGGTTTCGATGGGTTCACTGACAAAACACATAATTTCGACGTACCGCCCCTATCTAACTGAATTTTCTACTCACACTGAACCTACACAAATCGCAAAATTTACTTGATTCGGAATAAACACATAAACATAATACCGGACATAAGAGGTGACTGAAGACTTACACTTCTTTTGCTTAGAACGCCCAGGGTATGATGTCACGTTCGGAATAGGAATCCCCATTTACAGGCATTTTTTTGGAGACTGATGAGTCATTTTCAGAGGTCATCACAAGAGTGGACAAGGTGATGGAGAGGAACATAAAAGAAGGAGACATGATGAAGTTGAAACCATCGATGGAAGGAAGGCCAAAAAATCCATTCAGAACCAAGAGAGTGAAGCGAGCACTTCCCCAGCGAAATTAGACATGCAAAATCAAGGATCTCATTAATTATCGCATTCCAAATTTTATAATTTATGATGAATACAGCTGTAGCACCACTATACTTTGATAAGAATCAGAAAGAAGTTTTGCGTGAATAGCATAAGAGATATATAAAAGTAGTAAACTGTCAAAAAAACCAGGAGATGGTTTCTGTAGCTTTATGCAGAAAGCACACTCTGGAAACAAAAGAAGATTGCCTTTGAGGCTGCATCTTGAAGATCCTGAAGTGGAGTTGAAGCACTAAATCTATCCAATCAAACATAAATGACCTGAAGAAAGTGAAACAACAAATTAAAAAACAAGATCCACAAAAAACAAATATATTCATATTAAAAAATCTTTAATAGCTAGATCCTTTCCGAAACCAGAATCGTGCTCGAAAATCGTCACTACCCGTCAAAAAGGCAGGTACAGTGGGAGAATGGACAAAAACTCGGGTTGCAGCAGTGTGACCTAACAAAATACGATTGCCGATCACTACAATACTCGAAAATGAAGACACAACTACTATTTTACCTAGAGCTAGCAACCGCTTCCTGTCAGAATTCCTTGCATCCCATGAACATAAACTGCCGGACTTTTCATCGGGGAATAAAACTAAAGAGCGATTATAGAGGTAAGACAATGGAAGATACCGAAGCGCTTAAGCAGCAGACCCTACCGTAATCCTCATTATGATTGAAAGTTGCCTTCACCGGGAATTCTTGCCTTCCAGTAGCACCTGCACCAGTATAAGCGATCAGACAGCGATTCGTTGATAACTCCCACAGTTTGACAATACTGTCCATGCCGCTTGTTAGTATATACTTCAAAGATAGGAGAATTGTCAAAGTTTGAAAAAAACTCAAATTTTACCTTTCCATTCCTCGTGAATTTGGCAGAGCAGATTGCAGCACCATCATGAGCGCGGCTAAATGTTTCCACACATCGATTTGAAATGCCATCCCATACCTTCACATCACCATCTTTCGATCCGGTCACGTAAAGTCTAGCATTGTCAGAATAATTCACCTGAACGATTCCAAGGTGAAATATCAAAGACAACTTGCGCACAAGAGCGAGAGATTCTCACATCCATAACGACATCCTTATGCTGGTCTCCAGGAGCCGAACAGACGAAACATTGTGCAGTTTCAACATTGTAAAGACGAATTGTGGGATGGTCCGTAGTCACAAGAAGAAATTCACCACCAGGATGGAATGACAGCGCACGTACAGGGAACACTTCCTGAAAACCTTATGATAAAGTCTGCCATCAGTAAAAACAGAACTCTCTAGCAAACATAATTATGGAACAGACTGTTTTGAAGTCTATCTTCACTAACGAAAGATCGAGCACAAGGGTAAAAAAGGACAAGATTATCGAAGCCACAGCAAAGGAAAATCATAAAAAGATATGGAAGCTCTAGGGAGCAGGCAAAGAAAAAAATAAGGATAGCTGTTAAACGTGTGTGATACAAATGCTAGTATACTGCAAAGTCATTCGCTCAAATGCAAAACTTTGATTTGCTGGGGAGACGTCGGACAGTCTGTGTCAATGGAGTGCTCCCTTCCCAATCAGCTCAAGCTCCACTCAAAAGTCCTGTCTTGCGTTCGCGGGCGCACCGCTTAAACGTTCAAGTCTGCCGCATCGATCGTGGATCGCTGCGCAATGCCCACGCGCTGCATCCATAGCTGTTACGGAAGGGAGCACGCGGTTGACACAGATTGTAGGAGCAGTAGAAGAAGTTGGTTAAAGCAAATAATAAAAATGCCAAATGTGGAAGAAACTGTTGAGGCAAATGGAATCTGTGTAAACTCCAACATACCGATAACGTTTTCATGGCTCTTTTCACAGCAGTTTTGGAGAAGTCGAACAACTTGACCGTTTTATCCGTAGAGCCAGAAACAAGGATCTGCTCACGTGGATGGAAGGCAACAACGGTCACTTCCTTAATAATAATATACTATGGGGTTTTAGAAAGCTTTCATGAAGCTCACATCGAGATGGTCATAGAGAGTCCTGATGACAGGGTGATTCGCATCCGGTCCGTTTTCGCTTATTTCTCCTCTAACTTCTCGGGCGATCATTCTTTCAACATCCAAAATCTTAATTGAGCAATCAGCTGAGCCAGTAGCAACAAGCGTTCCTATAAAAGAAATCACTTATAATCGAGTAGCAACAATCTTGTGTGTCTAATAATTGTTTGAAATCTATTAAATACCGTCATTATTGAACGCTGCTGTTCGACATGCAGCCTTGTGAGAGGTCAGGTAAATCGTCTCATAGTTGCAAGGCTCTGCTGACGTTGGGATAACGTCGGCGTCAAATTCAAGATCCAGGCCAGCAGAAAGCACATCAAACTGAAATCTGCAGTAACATGTTGAGGGACAGATCATTTTTCAGCCCATACCTGCATCGCTTGCTTCTCCTTGGATTCTGGATCATCTACAAATTGCTTTGCGATGGATACCAAGCGGAAGAGCTTGTCTGACGGAGGAGGTGGTTGAGCAGCACATCCGATCGCTTGCGCCAGTGAAAGAGCTAACTGCTGATGACCATCATAAAACAGTTGCCTGAATTCACATGAACACAAGCATGACTTTCGACAATGCTAAGACTAACGTATTCCTTTGATGGAAATTACTATCTAGCTCAGCAAAAAACCTACCCGATAATGAGCCTGTACATATAATCACGGTCCTTGATATCCGGCTTCATCTTGGAGATGTGTGGCGCTTATTAACGTACTAAAAACGCAGATAATTCTTTTCTGTTAATGGACTATTATTACTGTGTGTAAGGGAAAGCAGTTTACAAGTTTACAAGGTTTACGAGACATGAGCTAGATGAAGTTGCCGCATTTTGTTCTGCTTTTACCTGTATGAAAAGAGTAAACTGTTGCCTTTGCCACCAGACTATATTTCGCAAGCGGATTATTCACCAAAAAAGAACTCGTCATTTCAAAAATTCCATAAGCGAAAGTAAATCCCCATCTGTAATTTTCTTGCACATCTTACAGCAAAGCATGTAAGATCTGCTAAAGAAACTGTATCCCACTTTTCGAAAAGTCCGAACAACTTCTTCTACAGGCCCATACAACGAAGCGGATTGAAGTTAAAAGAAAAAAATTATCTGAGGTATAGGTTGCTTGCAGCTTGGTGCTTAGAGTCCTGCGCAGAAGCAGGCGGCTACAGTAAGCTGAGTTTTCCGATTTGCATTTTTGTCGGTTCACAATTTTAATCTTGGTTTTCTTCTTCTAAAGGTGCTCAAGTTGTTTTCTCTAAGAGATTCATTCAAAGACGACGTTTCATCAAATTTAGCAATGTAGTCGATGGTAATCTGGGTTTAAGTGCGTTCACATGGGGAAACTAGAGAAATTTCCCTACTTCGTTGTTTCGTGAGTTTGGTCATACGTCAGCAACTATGTCATTCATGTTTTCAGGGTCCCACCATGAAGTTCAACCCTGCCGTGTCCAGCGATTCAGGCAAAAACCGAAAGCAGCACTTCAATGCTCCCTCTCACGAGCGAAGGCGCATCATGTCAGCTCCACTCACAAAGGAGCTTCGTGTGAAACATGGAATTCGATCCATTCCCATCCGGTGAGTTTTCGCATGCCACTAACATAAGCTTTATTATAGTTCCCTTTCTCTTTCTTATAGATCCTTGAAATAGATAATCACATAAATCGGGTTGTACAGCACGCCTAAGTTCCCCCCATTGGTTGGAATCCTTGGCCTTTAGCTTTGCATCCAATGGGGTATCTACAGATGGGTCAAGCTAAGGAAAAACCTTGAATCTTTGTCAAAAATGAAGATGAGCTGACGGTATGTATGCAGTAATTCATAGGACTAGGGACATGGAATGGATATCTAACCACAATCTAGCGTGATTTGCCGTTTGGCCTCACTATAAAAGTCTTTTATCGTAGTCGTGGTGCGGTATCAAGTAATTATAGGGCTACTTATTCAAATGTTCGGTATGACCCATCTACCTAGCGCATGTATGATCGGCTCCCAGATTCGTGTGAAACGGGTTGCGGACTTCCCTGATTTCAAGGATAAGCTTGACGGAGAGTACGAAATACAATGCTCAAACGTGGGGTAAACAGTTTATCCTGAAAATCAGGGAAGCTCGCAACCCGCCCGCCTCCACACGAATCTTGGAGTCGATGATAACTCCGCATACCGCCTCTATGACGCAAAAGTGGATGTTAATGATAAGTTGCAACTATGACCGATGTTAATGAAAGTTACAAGTTTGAGGGAGTTTCGCTAGTATTGACGGGTCCTTGTGCAGATTTTGGAACACTTTTTTATGTTCTAGTGTTGATGATGAAGTAATCGTCATGCGAGGACGTCACCGCGGAAATACTGGCCGTGTGATCCGATGCTATCGCAAGAAGTTCGTCATTCACATCGACAAAATTACGCGCGAGAAAGGCAACGGATCCACTGTGCACATCGGAATCCACCCTTCGAAGGTGAGGTTTGATTAAACTAGTTCCGGTGCACGAAGAAACCGTCGGGTGAGTGCTTTGTACTCATTTGATTCCTTTCTGTCATAGCTACGGTGGAGTGAGTCGGTGAATTGATTCTGAACCTCATCATTTTTTTTACACGAGTTGTTTCTGTGCATTCATTGTCTTGAACAATAATGAATCAACAAAGAATTTAAGGTCGCACTCACAAAGCTGAAGCTTGATAAGGATCGCCGTGACCTTGTTGAAAGGAAAGCCGCTGGACGCGCAAAGGCTCTCGGAGTGCTCAAGGGAAAGCACACTGAGGAGAGCGTTGCTTAAATGCTTTTATTTGTTGTTGTTTGTTGTTAAATAAAGATATGAAATCAGTTCAATTCATGATCTTCATGTTATTATCACGTCATACAAAGTTTTGATGTCACGCTCGAAGACGATCTGATTAGTATCAGTAGTACTGTCGAGCATTAATCAACTATGCGCAAGCAATGCCAAATTTTAGACTTACAGCCGCTATAACCGTTTGTTAATATACAAGGACATCATGCAAGCTTCACTGATAAGATTTTTTTGAAAGGAAGTATGGGTGTAGATCGAAAGGCGGCTTTCGGCAGTTTTCATTGCTGCGCTAGATTCGTACTTCATTGAAGCAAGGCAGACTCCATAAGTTTGTTCATACATTAGAAAGGGAGGATCACATAGATGAAATCCGAAAGAAACGAAATAGATTTGGGCTCTCTCCTGTTTCTGTCAGTAACGTCCACGGGTCTTTCGTTCTTCTCCCGAAAGGCACAAGATTGCTGTAGTCTCGGAATACGCTGGAACATTACGGTTGCGCGACATAATATCACGAATACCACACAGTTGCCTAAAACCTTGTGGTTCTGGGAAGTACCTTGCTTAATTTACATAACTGCATCTACGGCAATCCAAGAAGAGCGCTAACAGATATTTCGACCCTTTTGCCCATCGAAAATTTTTCATAACTGCCAACTCATTGATAATATACTGTACTCAGCTACTAGAGCTATTATCTTAACAATCTTCTTCTGCTTTCAAGAGATTCGGAATCCTGAAGGCATGGGTCATATGGACGTCTTCTCATTTTCAGGTGCGAGTGAAAGAGAACGAAAGACTGTCTTCGTAATTGAAATTTGCTAACCATTAACAGGAATACGGCATTATGGATAGGTGCCAAGCCCATCCGGTTCTGGACCGGCTATACTATCCCAGGAGGTGATTTCTGTAATTCCTGCAATTTCTGTGATTCCTCCACTTCCGATGTGCCGCACTAGGAGCGCTTTACGAATATTAGTATACATTGTTTTTTTTTTTTTGAAATATGCATTGTTGCGGGACCCAGAGATCACAGGAATCGCGGGAAATGCAGGAGTCACAGGTAGTATGGCTGGTCCCTTCAACCGATTCGTGGGTCCACCCACTCGCTGTTGGTCAAACCAGTGAACTGACCAATAACGAATGGGGTTAACAGGACGAATCGGTTGTACCGGGTAAGTCTGGCACCTGTGATGAACATTACCTAAGTCGATGACTTAATGCGCTCTACTGCAATAAGCTGACTGCGCGATATATTAATTCTGATTAATATATGAAACCTATTGTATTGTCATGGGGCACTACACGAGTAGTTAGATTCCCTTGCAACCTATATTTGTGGTTATGACGCCTTTCAACAAATCTGTATTAATGTGTTTTGATAGGGTTCGATTGTGTCACATGTATAGATTGTGGGGCACTTCGCAGGCTGCACTTTTTGTTCGGAAATCGACCTTGTATATGCACACATTTATGAAAGCTTTATTGGCAGTCTGAGATTCAAGATTAAACCTCTTCTCCTCACTTCCACTTCAAGCGTAGCAATTGTACGCTGCCTTGTTGAATTCAGTACACATTCCCTTTATACTCGCAACCACTTCTAATTGATGTTTGTAGAATGTTAGCCGCTTCATAGCATGTTTATGCTCTGCTTGAGGTTGTAAACAATGTTCGGACTCGCAGTGGTAAGCTTCATCATAAATTTTCCTTAGGTAATTCACTGGTAGTGCAGCATGGCTAGTTCCTCAATTCTAACGCCTGAAAGGCGTATCGAGCTGAATCCGTTTGACATTGATGCTTGGAACTTGATTCTGAGAGAATCACAGGTGAGATCAGTAGATCACACAATTTCCGATGGAGCTTCAGCTGCATACCTAGGCAAGGCCGATCGACCAAGCGCGAAATTTTTACGAAAAGTTGGTTACGCAGTTCCCCAACGCAGGACGGTACTGGAAAGCGTACATCGAACATGAGGTAAGAGTCTCAATCATTGCAAACCATGCACTTGGTCAATTGCTGTAGGAAATCATCTACGATGGTGATCTGATCATGTTGCAGTTCACTATCTTGCGGCAATTCATGTCACCCCGGCTATCCGATAACCGGCGACACTTCTTCTTTTGTTTCTTACCGTACCCTTTATCTGACCCCATGAACAATAAATATTTACTCAGAGCAGAAGTCCCATCCCCAGTGGTTTCGCTTTTCTTTTGCCGAAATTGTTTGCAAATAAATATTCTTAGCCGGCCTGGTTTGAGTGTTCAGAAACTGATAATACACATGAAATAAGGAATCTTACTAGTAACTGCCACGGGAACTGGCTCTAATTCAAACTGTGCATGCACGAGTGCATAGAAGTTCATTGCTGAATGTAAAATGAATCAGCAACTACCATCTTAGCAGTTTTCGGTTTGCTTAATGGATGCTGGAGCTTAGTTCTCTTACAGGTAGTTCTAGTATTGCTATGTGTGTCTTACTTACATGTGAATATATTGCTAAAGACGACATTTCAGCTTCGAGGAAAGAACTTCGAGAATGTGGAGAATGTAGGTTCAGCTGAGTCCTATGTTTTCAATGACTTTTTGTTATGCATTTTTTCTTTATTTAGTTATTCAATCGTTGTTTGGTGAAAGTACTAAACATCGATCTCTGGAAGTGCTACGTCTTTTATGTCAGGGAGACCAAAGGGCACTTGAGTTCCTTCAGGTAGTGAACTTTGTTCGCAGTAATAATCTAACGATGCGCTTCAGAGAGAAAATGGCAAAGGCTTATGATTTTGCACTCGACAAAGTTGGACTCGATATGAACTCATATTCGATCTATGCTGACTATATCTCGTTTCTCAAAACAGTGTATGTTGCAAATTTTGGTTGTCTTTTATGTCAGAGGTTTCAAAGCATCGTTTTTTTTGGGCTTACAGATTTTACTATCTTAGTTTCTATCCACGTGCCGTTGATTTTCGCTAGTGTACCTTCACATAGAATAGACGTTTCTCACAATCGCATTGCAGTCCAGCAATCGGCCAGTATGCGGAAAATCAGCGTATTTCCGCGGTTCGAAAAATTTATCAAAGAGGGATCTCAACGCCAATGGTTAACATAGAGTCGCTGTGGTCGGACTACTGCAATTACGAGAAAAATATCAACCCTACTCTTGCTGAAAAGCTCATATCAGAAAGGAACAAAGAGTATCAAGTGAGCGTGTCTATAATATCACTCTCGTGATCATTCATAGTCAACCTTGAAGGTGTCGAAAAAGATAGCCAAGCAGCTCGAAACTGTTACTCGGGGAGTAAACAGACAAGCAGTGTCGGTACCTCCTCGAGGCACTGCGCCGGAGATGAAGCAGGTAATCTTCCGTGGATGGTAAACATCAGCAAGATCTTGACAAAAATCGTATCTAGGTGGAAATGTGGAAGAAGTACATACAATGGGAAAAGAGCAATCCCATGGAAACTGAAGAATACGGGCAGTTTGCAAAGCGAGGTTAGCGTTAAAAATAGTGTTAGCGGTGCATAGGTACACTTACATCAGCTTATAGTATGTAAGACAGGTTTAAAGTTTTGTGCCTTAATTTTGGCAGCATAATTCGGCTGCCCATGCGCTTACATTTTCGTGGCGATCTGATTTGGGATCGAAATAATTGTGGAAATGAACCTAAGAAGTTTCGTTATTGTTTGATCTAACAGTGTACCCAAAATCTATGCGAATGTGTGCGCATACGACCACAATTGTTTCTTCTGTAATCCAGGTTCCACAAAGGTCTTTGAGTACCCATTTAGTGGTCTACGCCTATGAGCAGTCTCTACTTTGCCTCGGCTATTATCCTGACATGTGGTACGAAGCAGCATTGTTCCTTCAACAGGCAGGGAAACAGCTAGAAGAGAAAGGAGATGTTAAGCTAGCACAGCAGATGACCGCTGAAGCAATGCGTAAGCTCAGTTTTAGAGTTTGCTGCATTATGGTTACTGTTTAATTACAGAGCTCTTCGACAGAGCAATTTCTGGTCTTATGAAACACTCCCAGCTGCTGTATTTTGCTTATGCAGATTTTGAAGAGGAAAGGATGAAGTTTGATAATGTGAAAAAGATCTATGACAATCTGCTCACGATAGATCACATTGATCCTACATTAGTCAGTATCCTCATGTTCAATCAACTGCAGCCAATAATTGCTAATAATTACCATTCAGACTTATATCCAGTTAATGAAATTCACAAGACGCACAGAAGGTGTTAGAGCCGCTCGGGCAGTATTTAAAAGGGCTCGCGAGGATAACCGCTGCAGACATCATGTCTTCATAGCAGCTGCTCTCATGGAGTTTTATTGCAGTAAGGTACGCATATGTTTACTGAACAACTTGAACTACAGAGTGTCCCAAAAAGATGTGCACACTGTTTGATCGTTAATAACTTCCTTGCTTTCATGTCTTTTGCCGAGCCTGAGGTACCATTCTGTGAAGCGAGGATAAACTTAGATTTACAGTATGGAGCGAACCACCAATCACTCTTCATTACTGTAGGATCACGGTATGAACTTTCAGCATACAGCGTCACTGTGGAATAAGCCCTTTGATGAGATAATCTCAAAAAAATCTAAAATTTCGTGTAGCAAGCTTTTCAGGCGTGGTGATTTCACTACAAAACTTTCCACCGGTTTTTCAAGCTTTCTTGATGGCGTATTCATGTTTCTGACGAACATTGGGAAATTAGTTGTTACCCTAAATCTGAAATAACTCATGAAAGAAACAGTGTACTGACGTGCAATTTTCATATTTAGAATCAGCAACTTCTATTAACCTCGTTCAAGAGTTTCCGGCTTGTTTGGCTTTTTTCTGAGGCAAAATGCCGCTTAATGGCTTAAAATTCTCCTCGAAATTCCTACCGTAATCCTACAGTAATGAAGAGCTGCTGATAAGTCGCTCCATGTCAATCTAAGTTGAACCTCGCTCTAAAGAATGGTACCTCAGGCTTGGCAAAAGACATGAAGGCAAGAGAGTCAAACAGTGTGCACATCTTTTTGGGACACCCTGTATATTCGGGTGTCTATATCGATGCCATATGTGTGGTTTTTAGGACAAGGACGTTGCGATGCGTGTTTTCGACTTAGGTTTGAAGAAGTACGGTGACGAACCTGAGTATGCTTGCGCATATGTGGATTTTCTTACTCATCTGAACGGTCAGATTTGAATCGACATGGATATCTTGTGATTTCTCATCTGATAACTTTGCAGAAGATAATAACACCCGAGTAGTCTTCGAACGCATTCTTACATCCGAGTCGTTGCCACCGGAGAAATCATCGTGAGTCTACCAACACAACGAAGGTAATTGGTAATCGCCAAGCTAAAATTTTTCTAGCGACATCTGGGATCGGTACCTGGAATTTGAAAGTTTGGTGGGTGATCTTGCTAGCACTCTCAAAGTGGATGAAAGGCGAAAGGCCGCTGTCACTGGTGGAAATGACGAAGGCACAACATTGATGTTAATTGACAGGTTCGTTTGGAATGCTGTTTACGAGTACAGCCCTTCGAGCTTTATCTCTTTTCAGATATCGCTTCCTTAATTTGGTACCTTGCACTCTTGATCAGTTGAAACTCATGGGATATAACGTGAGTCATTCTAGATGGTATTTAGTAGCTCTGAAGTATCGTGTTGTGTTCTTCTTTTGTTGCTAGAATGCTAGCTTTTTCTGAATTTGTTTTATGCTTCTTCTTGCGCTTCTTCTCTTCTTCTCGTCTCTCTCAGAGCAATTGAAGTCAGTTCAAGGCAGATCTGGTGCGTGCGGCTTACGTGGAAACTGTTAATGAATGCACATCTAAGCGTCCGCGCAAATGATCCATTTGCGATCGAGAAATTCATCTCCAGTCTGTCCCCAGTACCGTGTCGGACGACTTGCATCGCCTTGCATACTTTGCGGTTGGATCCACCGTTCTTGTGTTACGTTTTCGCGCAAAAGCATTCAAGCCGATGCAATTGGTTCACCAGATACGGTACTCTGGACACCTTTGGAGACAAATTTATTCGTGGGATCCATTTATGCTGCCGTTTGGATAGTTCCTTGGTGAAGCCCCACATTCAGTCTCCACGCGAAAGCCCGACGTACCGGGTTTGCCTGGACGCTGTCTTCAAGTAGTTATTAGACGATACAACTAAAATGCGTAAGCATTGACGCCTCGATATGTTGATTACAGAAGTCGAATACGGGTATGCTTGGTGGTATGACCGGCGTTTCGACTGGTTCTTTAATGACTCCTCAGAGGACATTACCAGCACCACAAGCTGCTAGTGTTGTTATGGGTGGTGTGCCTAGTGTTCAGCTTGAAATCGGCGGGTTAGCCATTTGATCTTGCTCTTGTATATCAAATGCCATCTTCAATATGCTTCCAGTTACCCTCGGCCTGACATTGACCAGATGATTCCTTTCAAGCCGAAAGCGAACAGCGCCGCATCATTTCATCCTGTGCCCGGTGGTAAGTTCCATCTTAAAGGCACCGTACCCAAAATCTCGAATTCAATGTTTTTGTCGCCTTCGGGCCTTCTGAAAGCCCTGATTCCGAATATGGAGTCGAAAATCGCAAAACCCCCAAAAATCCCTGTTTCGAGAACCCTCTGCTACAAGCGCAGGCGAGGTAAAGCATGCAAGTGGGCGGGGCGACCATGGTCGTCCCGCCTACTTTGCTACTTCCGGAGCGGATTTGTCGCTCCAGAAGCAGTCTTTTGCAGCGAAGCTTGAGGGTTTGCTTAGTGTGGCGGCCCACACTAGTATGCCATCATAATCTCGCCAACCCCATTTTGGGTGGACAGCGCCTTTAAAGGCAGTGGCTCGGCAAATCTCAACCTAGTCAAATTTGCGCTTACCTGGGGTTTTTCAATACGCTGATCCCGAAAATCCACTTTTGAAAGCTTGAAAACGGCGAAAATGAGCGTTTTTCAATGCCCTTCCCTTTGATATTGGACGAGTGGAGCAAGGCCGATGACGCTAAATCGTGGCAGGACCCAATGGTTATAGCATTGCGGCGGGCAGCCTCCATTGGTGAGAAGGAAATTGCCAACTCGTCCAGGTGCGTGTAAGATTGGCCTGCGCGTGTAAGTTCGAGAGCGATTTTCTCGGCAGGCATGCTGTGCAACCGGGATTGCACTGTTTTCATAGTTGGGCGATAAGGAACCTACCGCGTTAAAATCCCGAGTTGTTGGATTTTACCGATCCACTGCCTTTAAGCACGATGTCGTTTTGGTAGACCTTGTGCGAATGATTTCTTTGCAGGCGTATTCCCTCCTCCGCCAGCCATTGCGGAACTAATCTCGATGCTTCCCCCTCCTTGGACATTTCAGGGACCTTTTGTTTCTGTCGACATGTTTATCGAACACATCAGCAAAACACAATTAACCGTAGGTGAGAACATCCCGGAACTTCAGATCTAGAGACGGTGCAACCTTGACGCATCTCTCGCTTCACTTTCGCAGGTCCAATTATCGACAAGAAAGTGAAGGTGGAGAATGGAACCATGGTTGGGCCCATGAGAGTGGACGATGTTCGAAAGGAGATGTACCAGTTGCTTGCCACAACTCCTGATCCACGATTTGTAAGTGTTCTTCGTTTTTTTTTGGCAAAACAGAGAGCGAGTTTCTTTGTGAGACCTGGTTTTTTGGTGTTTTTCGAATTCAAAATTATATAGTTTACGAAATTGCTAGAAGATAAGGCTTGTTGACATCCGATGAAAGCTCTTGAAAAGCTTCTTATATGTGCGTCCGGATAGCAAAATGCGCCAACCCCATTGCAGAAAAGAGGTGAAGACGCTTTTATTGCTATGAAGTATTGAAACTAAGATCAAAATCGGAAGAGGAAACATCTGGCCAGACGGCTGTACATCATTGAGAGCTCAAGATGTTCCTCAGCGAAATTTGTGAGCTATTTTGGTAAATTCCATTTCAGCATATTTTTGCATTTTCAGGGTCAAAGCTTATTTTTTTATGGCAAAGCCGCGTAAAATCGCTCTAAGCTTTGATCACATCGCAGTGACTTTTACGACACGTTACGGCAACCCCTATGTTTGCAGTTTATTGCAAATAATTGTGATATTGCATGAGTCTTGCACCAGAGAAAGTAAAAATTCTCTCCAGAAATACAAAAAATCCTAAATTATATTGTAAGCTTTCACCCAAAAAATATATGCCGTATCTTATTATTTATACACATCAAAGACTTTATTTGAAGTTGAAAAAAAAACGGATAAATTTAGAAGTCGTAGCTATCTGCAGAGTCATCCGATCAACATGATCAAATATAAAGAGCAAGTTTTAGAAACAAAATGGAGACCAAATAGAATTCATCAGACATTCCAGCAGTTTTGGAGACCGAGATTAAAACTGTTTATCTAAGCACTCTCAATCAAATTGCATTGTTTGTGCTAGCGAATTTTCTCGATATCCAACACTTTTAGAAAAGCGCAAAATTTCTTTCTCTGATATGTATCGAATCGAAGGATTTTCTTTGTGTTGGTTATGACTCAAAAATTTTGGTAGCACTCTGTACACTTAGTACACAATTTTCTGGTAGGGCCCTAGCTTTTGGATGAGCGTATTTATCATACTAGAACTGCGTAAGTAGTTAGTATATAACATCAAAAAATACAAAAGATCACAACAACTTTTATGTTTATTCCCGACTATCCAGTTTCGAAAAGAACAATACGGTAGTGCAACCTCCTTTTTCCTCTCATCAGGTTTCCAAGAAAGCCTCAAAAAAGCCTTTGAGAAGTTTTGGTGTTTGTAGTTTTGTTTGTCGAAAGACCAAGTATTGGCAAAACTTATACGCTAAGACTTAATCAAATGTTCACACTTCAGATGTTTACGCTGTAATCATTCATAACTGTTTGACGCTTTTGGTTCCGCTCACCTAGGTGTCGGCGGCATTGATATCTAAATTAAAATGTCGGTGACAAGAACGACGGCGATGTGATAATTACGAGCAAGCATCGATGATTTGTTACATCGGTCTTCCCGTGACCCGGCCGTTCGCAGCTGATCTGACAAGGGAACCGTGTCGAGTCGAAGTGGCCTTTCCAAATGAGACCCATACTGCTTTAAAGAGTATTAAGCCGTGATTCCAAATCTGCTTTCCAAATCTGCCAAGCGCCTCTGGACGCCGAGTTATGACCGTTTTTCGGAACGAAAAATGAATGCAGAATTTAGGTAAAATTGATTGTTACAATCTTTCCAACGCTCAGATAAAGCAGTGTTAAGTATTAGCATATAAAATAAAATGTACCCATTGCATAAGCAGATCTGATACTCGACACTGGACCATTTGAGCAAATTTGGGCGATTTTGCTTCAGTTTTGCGTTCAATTTTTTGACCTGAAAAACGAGCATAACTCGGCGTCTAGAGGTGCTTGGCAGATTTGGAAAGCAGATTTGGAATCACCGCTTAATACTCTTTAAAGCAGTATTGGTCTTATTTGGAAAGGCCACTTCGACTCGACACGGTTTCCTTGTGAGAAGTGAAGAACCTCAAAATATGTAAAGAAAGTCCACTTTTCCAGGTGTCAACTCATCTCATAGATCACTCTTCATCTGCGCTTTCTACCACCATCGGTGCAAAACGAAAGCGAGGAGATTCAGGAAGTGATGACGAATCCAGGGGCATTCCAACGGATATTTACAAACGTCGCATGGATATGAAGGCACTGCAGCATTGATGATAATTATGGAAAAATTACCCGTCTTTTGTCACAGCACGTCATTTGTGCCAGATCAGCCTCTCAAAGAGTAGTCATGGAACGCGCACTTTTTCCTTGTAAATTGGTTTGTCTAAGAAATTTGGTAGTTTTATTTGTCATATGGAAATAGTATATATGGTAGAGAGTTCCACGTCATGTTCTTTGGAAGAGAAGTTGTTATGAACAGATTTGGAAATTTTTTTGTTTTCATTTTGTTGTCTTTTTGTTTCACCTTTGTGGCTGCATAGTGCATTTGGTGTATATAAAAAATGTTCAAGCAATTTTTGTGTCACAGAGGCAGATTCCACTATTGGAATATGACGATGAACATCTAGAGCAGAAAAGTGAAAGCGTTTCTCACGCAACACAGAAGTTTTTCCTCGTGGGTAGAGAACCATCCTAGGCTTAGCTACAATTTACTGGAGGGGCAGTAAACTAGTTCTTTGCTTCCTCAAACTTTTTCTACTATAACCCTCGAATAGTCTGGATGGCCGCTTTCACTTTCTATTTTTACTTAACATGCGTATACAGTGTCTCCCGAAAGTATGTACACACTGTTTGATCGTTGATATCACTTTTCCTACAAGGACTTTTGACTTTGGGTACCATTTTGTAGAGTTGGCTTCAACAATTGCAGTATGGAGCAAAATATCGGTCCTATTACTGCAGATTACGATAGGAGCGGAAGAGGGTTTTGAGCAATCAAGGTTCACAACTTGCCTCAGGAAGAAAACCAAACAGTGTAAAAACACACCATTTAACGGAGTTCCTGACCTCAACTGTGGAAACTGCACTTTTACCTTGATGCTTCTTTGAATGTTACACAAGTTATACGGTTAGGTTAAGTAAGGCCTTTAGAACAGTTTTTTAAACTTTTTATCTCGAAGTGTCGCTACTGCTGGAGAATTTATACCAATCCTACAATGATGAAGGGCGATTGGTGGTTTGCCTCATACTGGAACTAAGTTGACGCTAGTTCTACAGAATCGTATCTGGCCTAAAGACTTCGTGGGAAGAGTGGATTGGCGAGCAAACAGTGTGCACATACTTCTAGGACATCTTGTTTAGTAAAGGGCTAAAATACCTTATTTGTAAATGCTAGAAAACTTGCTGTTTTGGGGGAAGTTTCACAGCGTGATAGCTCTCTTGCCATTCAATCACAGTAGCAAAGCCTCCAAGAAATCCAGCCTTGTTAGAACCTTACCACCTGTCAGAATAAGAGCAACTCGATTAGAACATCAATCGTGTCCCGCTTTACAGTTCTTGCTTATGGCGCGTCTATTTTGTTGTTACGCAAAAGCAGGCTTTGGGGTGTTTCACTTCTTCCCACATATCGTAATCTACGCTATTGCAAAAAAGCCCCGGCAGATAACGAACGAACGCCGGCTTTAGCAAGTTGTCAGCGCCTCGGAACTGGATGCTCGTCGCACCTCTGGCGCCGCCCACTCCTCATTTCGGTAATCCACTTAGCAGCACTTCCTCCTCTTTTTTTTGTGTCCCTGTGGGTATATCTACCGGATGCTAGAACTGTCAGTTTTCTATCGTTTGTCATTGTACAAAAGTTTTTTTTAGGCTGCAGCTTACATTTGCGTAGATTTTGAAAAATTTGAGATACTTGGAAGACTTTTCTTTTAAATCACCTGCGATTATTTGATGACCATGACCATCCGTAGATGGACGTATGTCATTCAGATGTATTTTGGAACGCTGATTCAATAGCTTCAAATCTGCTGAATGATCCTCCGAAAAAGTATGAACGTTTTTCTCCATCAACATTTCAATGCTTGATCAGCAAAACTTGGAACATTGATCGAATTCTTGTTTTGCTTCCTAGAATAAAATCCACAAAAGGGTGTTACACTAAGCCTGTGTAGCCTGTTTCAATTGTGTTTATGCTCGTAAAGCTCAGATATCAGTGGTTCTTGCAAATCTCCATCATCCACAAGTGGGGAAGAGCTCATAAATTATTTTGGACATTGCTCATCTTATAGGGAAAGCAGGTTCGAAATCAGCGTTTCAGTGTTGAAATCTACTTACATGGATTATAAAAATGTGCAAGTGACTTGCTTATTCTTGTAAATGATTAAAATGATTTTTGAAAATTTTTAAAAATTCAAATTATCCTTGTCAAAAATTTTTTTGGGGCGTGGCTGCTACCACGCTCCCTTTTTCTGGAGTTTAGAGGTTATGGGCCGCAAAAATCTTAAGAAGCACCCCAAAAATTTTTTGGAGTGCGTGGCTCATGCCACGCACCTTGATTTAAAATTTTTTTCAGCCCCTCCCCCCCCCCCCCCCTACGGAAATCCTGCGACCGCCACTAGTGTGTACATATATTATACCTGTATTCTCTATTATGAAAGGCCACAATTACAGTATCCAACCCTTGAAATAACGCCCTTTTCAAATTAGATATTATCCACTGAATCAGATAAGACGTACGAAGTCAAAATCGCCGTGCCATGATGTGATTTTTTTATGCATTGTGCACAAGAGCTTTGTTAGGATTTTTCTTTTATTCGGTTCTCCACGGAAACTGTACCACATTCTCATCAAATGGTAGTTTCGATGAAGCTTTCTACTCGCAGGGTGTAGCACACAGATAACCAGCTTATAGGGAAATCTCCGTTGCCCTATTTAAATTATATGAACAATTTGCCATCAGGTCGTAAAAGTGCTCTAAGGCTTTCATTAGACAGGCAAGCAAGTTTCATACTTCAGCTTACTAGCGAAAGTGGAAAATATTCGTTTTCACACACCAACTCGTAAGTTTCCAAGGATGGAGTAGCTTTCGCTAGTTGCGAAAACTGGTAAATCTCCAAAAAAACGACGCTGGATTTCCTCAAACTTTCCCATGCAATTTCCTTTACCCACTGGCAGGTTTCTATCCTAACTTGCTCTGAAAACTGTGGTCTATCTCAATCAAAAGCATTTATCATGTCAGTTTTCTGCGATTAGTCCGACTTCGCAATTTTGAGAAAAAGGTTTATAGCTTGTTTCTTGCAAATGTCAATCAAAATCGCTTCGCAAAGCTTTGCACGGAATATCTCATCTGATTGAAATGATTCTTCCAATTCTTTTACTTTTAAAGTCTTGCTTACTCTTCTGACATTAATTCCCAACTTGCTTTTATTCTGCAAAAGAAATTAATAAGTTGGCAGTTACTAAAGAAATATCAGACATCCAGTAAACCAAGCCGAACATAGCAAGCAACATGTCTCGGAACAGATTGAGAATGTTGGTCAGATCAAATTTCTCCAGCTCAAATTCGTATTGTTCAGCATTCTGATCGCACATAAGTGCCAGATTCTCCGCAGCAAAACGAGTAACAAATACCTGAATTTTTCTTACAGGCCCACGTTTTTCTTCCTTGCCTATTAGATTGTGCAATGCACTCGACAGAAAGCTTCTCTTTGTTGTCCAACCTATTAGCAGGTCTCGAGCGAGTAGTCAAACTAGGCAAAAATATTTTCCTAAGTGCTGTGCTCAACATATGTAGTGCCTACAACAACACGGCGGTTGTAAACATCACATTCAGCTCCGAACGTCTGCCCTTTACTCCGTTGAAGTCAAGACGAACCCAAAGTTGCGAGAAAACTTGAAAGCTGCGAGAAGCGGAACGCGACGATTGTCGCCAAGGTCATGGTGCTTACGCACTTCCTTTTTTGGGACATTCACTCAGTTTTGTTTTCGATCACAGTATTGTTTCGTAGTTCCTTTTCCACTATACGACTTAGCGTCAATTTGTCAATGCTGATGAACGCTTACTTCTTCTCGAGGTGTATTCCCTTACTCACCGTAGGTTGTTCAGCTGCCGTGGTTTCGCTGTCCCTAACTGGAGCAGATTCCAAAATCCAAATAAATTCACTGCTTCATCCTCACTGCGCCCTGGGAAGTAAGAATATACGAGTATGCGGCTGCTGTTCTGTGTAGCAGCGATCACTTCCTTTGCTAGGTAAGCTCTCACATCCTTCCTTTTCCAACCATGAGTTCAAATATAAGAATTTAGGTGCACTATCGACGAAAGACCCGAAGATAAGAGTAGGTTTGCATCTTTTTCAATAGTTTCATTACAATATTCGCCGTTTTAATTATGCTCTTTATACATGGTAGTGGTAAAGAGAACCCAGTGGATTCTGTTTCTATAACAGACACATTTTGAGCATCTTGGAAAGTCTCACAATTATCCTCACTGTTCCGGATATAGAATGTGCCAAATTGCCGAACTATTCAAATTGATTCGAAACCACCTGAAGTGCGGCTTCAAATTGACAATCACCGCTCTCAAGGAACGGTTCTTTCCCTGACCTTCATGTGCGCTTTCGTGTTGTCCTTTTCTACAATCAAAACAACTTTAAAATGTTTTTAAAGTAAGACCTCCAAAGCAAGTACATGGGGATGAGAAGATTGGGATGATTGCGCCTTTCGGCATGTCACTCATTTGTATGAATTTATGCTGAAGCAGCCTTTTTAGGTTCGCTATCGTTAGAAATTACCGTGAAGGTGCATAAGCCGCTGTCTCAATGGCAAATCTTGCACTTGCTTACCTGGCCCTAGCGTCGCGAATATAGACATAACTTTACTTCTGCTGAAGCACAGAAACTAGATGCATCTAATACGAGGTTGAGAATTGTTCTGACGGCGTTCTCTGACACCTGATCAAGAGCATTCAAACTTCACAGCTTGCGCTCTTTGCGCTGAGATTATCGCCATGTGACGCCGCTTTATTGCACTCATTCTCACGGTTGGACGAAAAGCCTTGAAAAATGGCACGAAAGTGAATCTCAGCCACACTAGCCCCACAGCATGCAGAATAGATTCGATTGGTTCTGCCTAGGGTTTGCCATTTCCTAAATGGAATTTCCTTGATCTGGTTGGAAATGAATGAAATTGGTTTCGGCGATTAACTTGAGCTTTCCGCTCCCTTTTTACACTTATAGAATATAGTGTGAAAACCTGACGTTTAGCAGGTTACAATCCTATCATGCGTCATGTAAAAAGGCATATTGTTCTGACATTGGAAATAGTTTACCACACCCTTACCCACCTTTCACTAGTTTTCAGTTCAATCTCTGTTGCGCTCCTCGGCTCAATGGTCTCAAGAATGTTGAAGCATTCTCTTACCAGAAGGATGTAATTCTGCTAAAAAAAACCGAAAAATCTCTGCTCATTCCATTCATATTGCCATTCTGTCGTTTTGCACAGCTAAGGATCTGTTCTTCTTGCTGATTTACGAATTCAAGGGTGTTGCAGGACGTGAGCAATAGGATAGGAAAGGAAAATATGGAGCTGGTGAAGTTAATAATTGACAGCCACTTCTGTCAGATAAATTTTACGAGAAAAATGGCTTAGTTTTAGATATTGAATGGCTGCAAAAATCAGCATAAGGCCCCCAATCCCAACACATCCCATTCCCTTTTGTGGTAAACTCTCGAAAAGAAACTAATCTCCTTCGTAACCCTTGGTTCCGTCCATACTGGGATTCACTTAAGCGGATTCGAGCAATCTTCTCTTTTCAGAAAGATAAAGTCATGCCATCACAGAAAATCATACAAGTTTGGTAATTTGAAAATAGTAAAGTCTTGAATCGACTTAAACTGCATTCTCTGCTTTCATTATGAGGCAATTTTGACGCAACACTGAGTTTTGATACCGCTAAAAAGAGGACAAGAGGATAGATTCGACCTTGAGAACACAGAATGATGATCACTGCCGTGCAATCTGAAAGTGCTCCAGTTATGTAACTTCTCACATTAACTGTAAAAACGACGCTGCAACGGTTCTAGGTTGTAACGAAGTTTCCCACGCGTCCTCGAGAATATCATCTTCTGGTTTAACTTTATTTTCCAAAGATTTCCTGTAAGATCTTATAGAAAAAATCTAAAAAGGGAAAAATCGTTGAAACGGCCATTCCAGACAAGCCATATATCGCTTATAAAGCTGACTCTAAATCCGTCTACCATGTCTGCTGAGTGCCTTTGTGGAAGAAGATATGCGTATTCATTGCACACTGCGAATTGCAAAATCATACATTAATGCCTCAATACCTCTCAAGTTCACCCTTAGAGGTTTTTTTTAAACAAGGAGCCATACTTGGTGACCCCGGCCATTCATAATGGTTTGTACATCAAAAAAATGCGCCTTCTAATGCTGGTTCGAATACTGCTTTCCATATCTGCGAAACGAGAACCTGGATGGAGTTATATTTATTTTTTCAAAAATGAATTGCGCTACTGCGGAGAGTGAAAATCATTAATAAAAATTTTGCTTTCCTCTTCAAATGCTAAATATGATTAAGATAGATATAAATACAACGTTACACCTTCCAAGATCCTCTTTAATAGCTTCGAACGGTAAAATATAATAGATCAAGTTGGGTGATTTTAACCACCTAAAAATACGCAAATTTTTTACGGAAGAAAGTTCATAGCTGCCTTCATATGATCGTTTCGTAGATACCGAGCACAGATTTAAAATTAGCGTTTCGAGGTGCACCTTATGGTATACATCGCATTCCAAATGGCCTGAGCCACCAAGTATCCTTTCCTTGTAAGCAAATTTCACGCTTGTTTTGACCCAGCATTGAGCCACACCTGGATCTATCTGTACTTCCAGGTTTTCACCACGATTTTTTATCGTATATGAGCATATGAGTCTGCTGCAGGGATGTTCCGATAACAAGCATGTTTGGAATATTATTGTGCAGCTTAATGGAAATTACCACTCCGACTGACCATCTCCTTGTGAGCTTAATAAGTCATTGGTCAAGGCATGTTTTACACACGCCATAGAGAAGTACTTCTTTAAGAGCGAAAATTTCACAATTTTGCAGTCTGCTGCCAATTTTCCGCATTGAGCAAAGAAAAACTCTTTTATCCCAAAAAGTCTGGGTGAAGAGCTTGGTAACTTCCACAGCTCGGGTGCACAAATACCTTGCTACATCAGCACAAACATCAAAGGCATTTGAATTTGGCCTTGATATCAACTCTTCCAGCTGCAGGCATCGTCTTTGAGAATCTCCAATGAGAACTAATTTTCAATCTTTTGAAGAGAAATCCTCAAAGGTTACTCGAAGTAGCTTAACCGAAGAAGCTCAATTATTTGCCGAATTGACAAGAACTAAAACATTGCTGTCTACCAGTACCCTCCAAATTGAAAAATGTCGTTTGTTCGAACTTGCTTGGAAAACGATGCGGCTTCCGACAGTGCAAGTGGGAGTTTTGGTTGCCACCTAAGAAGCTTCAGTTTTTATTGCGCTCAGTAAGAGTAGTAGGCAGGAGCTGCGCGTTTACTTTTGTCTTTATCTCTTCGAAAATCTAGAACAGAACGACAAGTTCTGTTTCTAAAGAGCTTAAGACGCACCGATCTTTCTCTCAGCTAATCGATTAAAATGATTCCACTGCATTGCTCCAAAGAAGACTGCAGCAGGTAGCTATCTATCATGTTTAGACTTCAAAAAGCTGCAGACTAAGTTCAATCAGGATCGATGACGTAACGCGCAAACGGCCCTGCGTCGTACGAGATCGTGAAAAAAGAAATGAGAACGTTGCAAACTGTGCTAGACTTCTGTGACAGAAACGGTTACAACGAAAGGGTGATTCACAACTGAACAAGTGGCTATGGGAATATAGAATTTGGAAAAGAGTATTTTGAACATTTTTGATGATGTCTAATGTTTCAAAACTATAAGAAGTTATCATTATTATTAATATTATTAAAATTGGGACATCCACCTTTTTCTCCGACAAAACAAGAAATCCTTGAAGTAGATGTTCATACAGTCGGTGTCAACGATGTTCTCCCTTGCCGACCAGCTCAAGTGCAACGCTAGGACCACGTGTCGCGTTCGCGGGCGTACTGTTTGAGCGTTCAAATCTGCCGCATTGATCGCAGATCGCTGCGCAATGCCCACGCGCTGCAAATGCGTAGACACTACGGAAAGGTGAGCACGTGGTTGACATCGATTGTATGTGCTTAGGCGTCAAAAATGTAACTCAGGTCCTTTCAATTTCCGACTGATAATCTTACACCGCTAATGCACGGTTATCCGAGCTATTGTTATATAATAATGACTTGCACACGTATAATATTCCTCCATCTGAAGGAATAATGACTGTCGAGAGTGAGAACTTAAGAGTTCTAGATGCTAGTCTTGATCTTTGAAAAGCTTGCTCGCTTACAAAATACGATCGCTAATGTCACTGCTGCAATGCAGCAAAGAGTAGTGCCACCTTTATTGATACCTCCCATGGAGGAGACGAAAGGGTGGTACGAACGCCTCAATTAGGCGCCGCTTCTGCGGGCTGCTGGTCCCTTCGTCTTACTGTTGTACATCGTGTTGGGACCAGTAGTCCGCGGAGGTGGTGCCAAATTGAGGCGTTCGTTCCTCCACCCGAGACGAAAAGATCTTCACCCAGAGCGTACGCAGGAGAAACCATAACATTTCAGTCAGCACGAAAAAGAGTAAAAGAGGAGAGAAAGCGAAGTGGGAATCTTGGAAACGGATTGCTTTAAAGCTACAGTTTTGTTATTTTGATTAGTCTCGTACCAGTGGTGGTCCCAGGACTTCTGTTCTGGAAGGCTGCATGTGGGATGCTTCTCAATTTTTTTTGGCATATAATCGCGAAATCTAGAAAAAGGGGGCGCGGATAGTTTTAGATTTCAAAATTTTCTTATGTATAGTTTCAGTTATTTACATGTAAGAAAGTCACTTGTACATATTCATAACTTATGTATATAATTTCACAATTATAGCGAGCCTTCATTTCCAAATGATTTTTTCTGATTACGTTCTTTCAGACTACGTCGACGAAATTGTGGAGGAGCATGGCTTCGATGATCTGACTATTGAAGAAGAGCCTATTGATAGGGAAGACTCTTTCGAAGTCCCACTTCTTCTACCCTCGCCAAGTTTCACACCCACATCTACGGCTGCTTCCACTTGGCAGTCAGAATCTCCACTGATGCCTTCTGTATCGAGTCAACTCCTGATGTCTCCTCCCGACATAAGCTTTCCCACATTGCCTCCCTTGCTTCAGCCTCCAGCAACCTCAACTATGGGCCCCGATTCCTCCGTTACTATTCCACCAAGTATGCACTTTATGCCCGATCACCCTGTGACCAATTCTCCGCTAGTGAGTCTATCCGATCCATCCCCTCAAGTTCTTATACCTCCACCAGATGAGTTGCCGGAAGACGTCATTGAGACAACTCCACCTACTCAAAGTACCACAGTGATGACGACGACAAGTCGACCTTCGTACACCATTCTGACAGTTGCGATTGTTCCACCTATAGAGGGCATGTCCATGTCCATCATGGACACCCAGAGAGAAAGGGCGAACTACACTTTTGATGGAATGACTACGCAACAGCCCGCCATGACCACAATGACCCCTAAGCCCAGGTTCAGGACAACTTTGATAGACGAAGTGGTCACTTTCAAACCTCCGAGCGATCCACCCGTCTTTGCCACGCTTTTGCACAGCATGCCCACCAGCACTCGGCGTCCAAGAATAGTTAAACTCAATGATGGAGAGGTGAAGCACAGGTCAAGTAGCAAGGTGAAGAAAACCAACTTCTCTTCCCCGAAGAAGACAAGAGGACAGTTCAAAAGGAAGTTCTATGTGGAAAAAGCTGTCAAGCGACTTAGAGGCAATCGCAAAGTGGTATCGCGCGATGTCGGGCCTGTCGGAAGGAGTGTGCCTATCCCGCGTGGATGGAGAGTGACAAATATACGAAGAGCTTGAAGAAGGTGAAAAAATTCTTCGTACAATTTGATGCAGAAAGGGTACAATTTCATTCGCCATGATTTTGGGATCTAAAGCATTTTCGGGTTTTCGATTGTCCAATCATCCGCCCAAGCTTGATTTTTTCCATCTGAGTCAGTGAAACTCAAAATGTCCAATAAGTACTTGAGACTTTTTGAAAAAAAGAACTTTCAATACAGCTCTAGGTGTGCCTCACAATCAGTCTTGAACCATCTATACTTTGCATGGAGTTCGTCAAAGCAAGCTTTTTTGTCTAAGTATCTTTCCTATAAAGTTACTCGGCTTCTTTTCACTCTAATGATCGGTAAGGGTGCATAAATTTGGAGGTTATAAGGGAACGTAAAATGGCTGTAAACATAGATTGCGAATGGATGTCATTATTCGCAACTTCCAAACAGTAACGCACTATGCAAAAACTCCTGAAGGCATTGCATTGTAAAGGTTTAGAGACTAACGAACAAAGCATAAAAACGAGACTTTAGGATAAGATCTGCAAAGTGCATAAGGAGAGAAATAGGAAAAATGCGCCTTTTTATTTTTAATTCTCCCTATCATATTTGTATTTTCTTTCGCCAGAAGGAAAAGAATCTTTAGAATTCCCTACCATTGGTATTGTCACACTTTCGGATTGGCTCAGATCTCAACTGAATACAACATAAACGTTTCAAAAAACTTACAAGATCAAAAGTATTGTAATATTTCATTTTCAGGTACCTAGCACACCGATGCTGAGAAAGATCAGCAGTTCAAGCATGTTATGCGCTTTATAGCACATTAGCCATATGAGATCTACCTGTTTTTAGCACCATGACTGTTTGTAAAAAATTTATCATATATAGGCTTTTCTCTCCTCTTCTGTGATTTTACCACACATTTTCATTTCTTTATTTTTCTAATAAATAAGCCTTTATTTTCACATCTTGCTTTTTGTCTTTCCAGTTTTCTGTCGAATAGTGCTTTCAATTTGCTCCCAGTCCTCCGCTTTCATTTCGTGTAGATGCGCACCAAATGAAGAATTATGATTCAAATATTGTTGTCCACCGTCGAAATCGATAATCTGAATCAAACAATGGCTGAATTCTTCAAAGACCTGTTAATAAAGGGCATACCGCTCCGTTTAACCAGCTTGCATAGTCCGAGCACATATATGCGGCGAGATTAGCAAGTTCTTCCGGTTTTCCTATTCTGCCGACAGGAACCGTCTTCGCACCTGCAGCTTCCATATCTTCTGGTGCCGCAGTCGACAAACGAGAAAACGCTCCCTGAATTATTTCACCTAATTTTGCTCCAGGATATCGCACTACTGTACATATGAGGACCCATCTTTCGGACAATTCCGAAGAGGACATTTTCTGAGTTGTGATTAAAGGACAAGTTAAAAACTTTTTTTACCTAAATGTTTACCCAGACCAAAGACTACCGAAACAGCCTTTCTAAATTCTTTGAGGCTAACAGATGAAATCGATTCATATTGCTATATCTGACGTTGTTGATGTGCAAAACACTAACAAAATAAAAAACGACCGGCATTTGTTATTTTTGATTTCAGATTTTTTGCATATATTCCAAATGAAACCTAATTCTTTCCAGTTTTATTTCAACATTTTCAATAAGTATTTTTCTTCCATGTTTTAAAGCCTTAGCAAGAATGTCTTTGTACTTACAATCTGTAGAGGCGCTATGTCGCTGCAGGCTCTCGCGTATATCTGCCGCAAACCATGCATCTTAACGCATTACAATATCACCTGCTTGGAGACAATGCCCTTCGACGTTCCCCTACCCACTCTTCATCAATAATACCTCTTTAGGTGCAAAAGCCTTCTTAGTATGGGTTACCAAATCTTGTTTTTTAAGTCTTATTGTATTAGGATATCTCATAAGTTTTTATACGATTTTTTTACCGAAATAAGTCAGTTCCTCTTATGCTCATGATAGGAAGCGAGGTAGTATTCGACAAGAAAAGCAAGCTCTACACGATGCCATTCAGAAATTAGCATCAAGCTTGATCCGCATCATGTTTTGAGCCAAATTAGAAAAAAATTCCGAATAAAAAAACGAAAATGATTGTATCTCGGTTTCTGTACGATTCTGCGAACTTGCCATTCGCTCACGCTATACTCTCACCATCAGATATTTATACATGAACTTGCTGCATTCTTCCGCTGGTTAAAAATCAAGAAAAATCAATGCGCCAGACAGCCCGACAGACCTCAAACCTTCGCCTATAGCGGTTGTTTGTCCCTCGTAAATATGTGATTATACAGCTTATTCACTCACAATTATCGCCACAAATTTGCAACCTTTTAGGTGCTCTAGTCCTCAAGAAAAATCAGTTTAAAATTCAAATATGAAAAGACTTAAGGAACAACTTAATAGTACGCTTACAATGAAGAAGGAATGATACCTCCGTTTTGATGGGTCCCGGAGCAATTACATTGAAACGCATGCCATATTTAGCCCACTCGGAAGCAAGCGATCTTGTCATGTTCTCTACTCCTGCTTTTGAGATTGCAGACGGAACAACGAAAGCAGCGCCATGCCTGAACATCAAGACTATTCGGTTCACTTTAGATTCAATTTCAGCCACATGCAGCTCACCTAGCATACGGAGTCGTAATGCTCAACACAGTGCAACCCTGGTTGATCTTCATTGCTCTTCGACATACTTCTGTCGTCACATTCATGCTGCCAATCAACACAATTTCGACGACTGCCTTCACAGCGTTTGGTGACAGCTGCAAACATCAAAAACATTTTGACCCATTAATTCAGAACACTCGTACCCTTTCTGTTGCCATGATGAAGTTACCTGCTGCGTTGTTCACAACAATATTGGGTAGCTTGCCAAACCTTAATGTCACCGAATTCTTGATACCGCTTCTTTATCTACTTAGCAAGCACATTTTGTAAATTACTTCTTTGTGATCTCATCAATGGACTGTGACACAACAGCTGGATCCTTGACATCCATGCGAAATCCCTCACATTTGCCGCCAGTTTTGGAACGAATTTCTGCAGCTGTAGCGGCCAAGACATCAGTTCTTCTATATTTGTGAATTTTTACTTGGGTAAATGCAACAAATATAGAAAAATAGACGTCTATTTATTTTGCATATTTGAGTAAGCAATCAGGGCTCGGAACAGATGGCTTGTAAGCAAGCTGGATATCGTTTTTGAGACAAAAAGCAAAGTGGTATCGTTTTTGAGGCCGAAAAGACACAAAAATTGCGAAGTTATTTTTGGTCAACGTTTCGTTTTTTTTTTTTGTTTTTTTTTTAAGTTTAGGGTTCAAGGTCAAAGGGGACTCCGTGAAAATTCGCAAAAGTCAAGGAATATTTCGTTTTTAGCGTTTTCAAAAGCCACTTAGCGCCGAGCTCTGTAAGCAACTCCCAATAGAATTTCTTAGCTAACATCAAACTATCTTCCCCACTAGATGATTTCTCACTATGCACGACATTTATTAGGCAAAAAAATTGAAGAAGTTTGAAGCGTAATCGCCATTTTTTTGAATCCATTTGTGAGATGTGGAAAAATAAAACTTGCTTTTGATTTCTCAACGCTTAGTTACTTCTACACGTGTACAAGTTTAGGCATCTATGCCATAGGAATCGCTACCTACAATGGAGCGTTCGAGAAGACGAATTCTTAGCTTAGCGAAGCTGATGCCGCGTTTCTCGTTTTAGAAAAAGAGCTAGATACTACCATTCTGTTGCTAAAGTTTCACTGCACTACAGTAATCGAGAGTATACCTTTCACCCAAATCCAATTTTCACTTTCTCTAGCTTTGACGAATAGAAAGTCAGAGAAGACCATTCACCTGGCAGCAATTGCAACATCGGCACCCAATTGAGAAAACATGGTGGCGATAGCTTTTCCCAGTCCTGTGCCACCTCCTGTCACCAAAGCTAGCGCACCCTAATCATACTTTCATTATCCTCCACTCAACTAAATTTCTATGTCAATGTGAAAATCAGAAATACTTGCTTTGAATGTGCCCGCTGGTAAAACTGGTGACGTAAGGACTTTGAAAAACTTCTCAGGTGTTGGGCAAGCCATCGTTCTAGGTGTGAGTTGCTGAAGAAATAAAATTGGCAGAAAAAGGAATCTGTCCTTTTACCTAACACACAGCATTAGACAAGAATGCAGATCAAATAACTTTAGAAATGTTGGCCCCACAAACGGTAACGGAAGGAAGAAAACGACTGGGTTGATGCAGAAACTGCAAAGTGAAATCAGAAAAAAAGAGTACAAAGAAACAACATGAGATTTTTTTTCAATATACGACCTAATAACACATTATTTGCTAGTAAAAATACATCAACTTTGTAACTTGGCTTTCTGCTATAGAAACTTCGTACAACCAAGCAATTCTATGCATCTTTGAAATGATGAAACGTTATCAAAGGCAGCTCAAAATCATAAACTCAAAGAAGTTGGGAACCTTGCTGGCAGGCGATAGTCAACTGATAGCAGGAATTGCTACACTATAGCATCCAAAGATCACGCAATCTTTGCACATTGGAGCGTTGCATTGAACTGCTAATCGACCTCTCTATCCAATCAGCCAAGAACATGGCAATGTGCATTAATTTGGCATTGTGCTTGAGCATTCAGTATTTTTTCGCTCTTGTTCGTCTTTTTTATGGCAATCCATCTTTCATATTTGCTTTTGTAATCATGCTGATCTATCTAGAGATTGCTCGAGATAATAACTAGCTCAACTTTTCAGAACTAAAGCTTTCCTACCACCGAATGTTCGACCACTTACAACTTTTTTGTCTGAACAGCTTTCGCCTGATTTTCGGGTTCCATATTGTAGGGCTGAATTCAACTTACAAGGAAAGGATACTAACTTAGATTCGCCTTTTGAGATGAGACACATATATTGGAATCAGCTTTGTAAGCTTATTCCAAATAAGCTGTTCCTAGCTGCTTAGCGTTATTCCGGAGCGAGTTATGGGCTTGCTGTTTTGAATAATCAACAAACTTCTGAATGTCGTAAGACGGAGTGTAGACAGAAATCTGCTCGAAAAAAGTGCTAGAGTGTTGAACTAGTATCAGATCAATTCTTACGATCGTGAAGAGCACTATGCAATTGCAAAACCACCTAGACTTCGACATCATAGCATCAGTAGGTCGAGGAGCACGCAAACTTTGCATAGAAAAGAGACCATAGCTCGCTTCAGAATAAAGCTAAGCAGCTAGGAACAGCATATTTGGAATCAGCATTCCAAGCTGATTCCAAATATAAATGTGTCATCACAGAAAGCGAATCTAAGTTAGTATCCTTCCTTTGTTAGATTCATAGTACAGGACTACTTACAAATTATCCTCCATCCATGTAAGATTAACTTCCACCATAATGTTGTCTTTGCAAATCATCTGCCATCAGAAAGATGAACGTTTGAAAATTTTTGTGATGAGATAATTACGTTTGTAGAGCACTTTTGGTGGTATAATGATTTTTGATGATTAATAGAAATAAAGCTCTAGCTCAGAAGTTCTGCAGGTATAATAAAGCAAAAAACCCATTTATGAAATCAGCAATGATTAATGTGGCAGTTCAGTTTCCAGTTCTTTCGAACAACTTTTCGGAGCTGTATATGCTTTCATTGACGTAAAATCCTTTTTATAGTAATTAAGAGGGATCAGTGATCCATTCAAGTTAGGCCAGCCCTACCGTTTGATACCTAAAAGTCCGCGAAAGCTATCCGAAGATTATTTGCGATCAAATCTACGTCACATTTCTTGAAAAATCCTGTGTAAAAGAAGAAAATGCAGCAATACCAATTCAATAACGCTGTATGGCCTTCTGAAGATTGGTAGAGATTGCCTCTAACAACATTTTCAACAAGGCTTGCCGACATCAGCAATTTTTGTGGCTATGAAGCTCACCGAAATCTCGAAAGTTCGAAAAGGCAAGAAATCTTGGGTAACTGGGAGTGCTTTCTGTAGTTTTGGCCACGGATAGTAGGTCTATGGATGAGTCTCTTCGGTGTTCATCCAATTATGCACTGTCTTCAAATAGCCGTAATTTGGTTGATAAACACAGAGTCTACAACCATTCTAGAATCAAATGTCGTAACCGTTGAGGCATTTTGAAAACTTGAACATGTCGAAAACTCAGATATTGATTGCTTCGATTTGATTGAATGTCTTATTCGGGATTGCTTAATCAATTATTTGATTTGATCGGAAGTACGGTACTCACTAACAAAAGCCTACGCTGAAGTGCAATACCGCTCATAATTTGTGAAAAAGCAATTGCCCCAGATTTGACCGGAATCTTCTCCCATCGCCATATTTCGATTCAGTGCAGACGAATTCTGAATCCAAGGGAACCGTTCGACTCAGCCCGGAGAGGTGCCATTTCCTCATATATCAACTCCTCAACCTTGGCTAGGGTCTCATACGGAAGGTTGTCAGTTTTCTGCCTTTTTACTACTTTCCTGATTTTTGCTTACAATAGATTCCTCGGTGTGCTGAACAGAACACGTATAGATCAGCTGCTGCTATGTGACTGCCTGCTTTACAAATTAGAAGGTGCGCGACGTCGATTTGGTTTGAATTCAGATTCGTACCCTCTGACCCGATGTAGATGAGGATCGGGAGGCCGTCGCGGCTTTATTCATGAACTAGAGGTGGGTATCGCAAATCTTTTTTGATTTCTAAAGTACACAAAGACTGTTCGTTTAGGTCCATGAAACAGGTTTCCTTTTGATTTCCATTTGAATAATTCTTCTTATCCCCTACATAGAGTCGATATCACAACTGCAAGCGTTAGACATCCGAACTTTTCACATTATAACAACTCTTGGAAGCAGCTCGAGTTTTTTTTATTTAGAATTCACCTTCCAATATCTAACTACTTACTCCCCAAATATAATTACTCCATATCACATACTACACACAGCACAAAAGTCATGTCGATTTATATAAGACCTAAAAAAATCCTTTTCTTCCTACTAATTCTATTTATTACGGTTCAGTCAATTCTGGGCCACCACCACCACTAAGAGCTATACATAATAAGCTCAAAGATTACACAAATGGTCCGGAGGTTTCCATTAGATCACCATGGATACGTCACTGTGCGAAAGACACCCATTGGAGGGTCAAATGGATGCGTCGCGGCTAATCCCAAAAGCAAATAATCACAGACTTTGTGATTGATGAGTTGTTTGATTTGAGTGGATGCTTGTGCTTCCATGACCTCATAGAGCATGTGTTTGTACAAACGAACTTCGGCAGCTCTCGGAAGCAAACGGCAGAAGCACAGCAACACAACATTCAAACCTTCTACTTTTGTGATCCACTTATTTCAGCGGCTCCATTATTTATTCTGCTGATTCGTTGCATAGTTTGGTAACGAAATGTCAATGAAACCACTTTCGATCATCTTCGTTGACGGCAGAGCGTCTTGAGCGTATTCCATGAATATCAATGGCGACGACTATGGAAATGGCGTTCCAGAATGCGAAATAAACTCGCCGTCCATCACTCATTCAACTCCCAAAGTCAAACACAATCGGAATTGGGACAACCGCAGCGGAAATTATTCTGCACTCAATTATAAAGAGAGTATAATGGAATCGCATAGAATATTTTACAATGCGTACCTTTGTGCTGGGTTCAGCGGCATGATTGATGCCCTCGTTTACGCTGACGGCTACTCTTTGACTGCCATTCGCTGGTAATTATAGTAATGAGACCAGATCAGTATCACGATTTTATACTTTTGAATGGCTTCATGACAGTATATTTATGTTTACTCTTGTGTTTACTACAAATTGGATGACTTGAAATTTACTGCCGCATACCTAGCAAATCGTAACTTCGTTCTGTCTGGAGAAATCGCTGAAATCAGTTCTGTCAAATCAGATAATATCATTGTCAGGGCTCTCACAGGTGCATAGGCAAGCTGGATATCGTTTTTGGGACAAAGCAAAGGGGATATTGTTCTTGTGGGTGGAAAAACACAAGTAAGATTAGGATTTTAATCGATGTTGCGGTTTTTTCGATTTTTCGGTCGGTAAGAGGGTTCAGCGGGTACTTCGTAGAATTTTACGAAAGTCCGGGGGTACTTGGTTTTTTGCATATTCGGAGAGCCACCTTGTGCCAAACCCTGATCATTGTCTCTGTTATAGCATTTAAATGATTTTCAAGGAAAAAACTACCAAAGGTGGAAACAAAACAAACAAACAAAATAAGATAGCTCAAAGTTTGACTTTCTATGTTGAATCTCCAAATCGTTAAAGGCAGTGTCCCGGCAGATTTTGCACCACCTTTTTGCATGTTTTAGACCTCTTCGCCACGTAGAATCCGAATTTTAGCTTTGAACGGGCTGAAAAGGCCGATTTTGGGGCGTTTTTCTAGTCCCAGAAAAGCAGCTTGGACGAGATTTTTGATGGAAAATTGGGGGAGGTCCTCAGACGAAGATCCTGCCGCCTGTAATTCTTGCTTTGGATAGCAATGGGGGAGAGCGCTCGTGGGGTCCCGCGCCGAACAGGCGGGGAAGGCCGTCCAGGCGCGCGCCAGTTGGGGTTGCGCGCGCCGGTTCAAGGGCCATTTTCTCGGCCCAGGGGGAACATCACCCAGCCGGAGTGCGCCTGGAGGGCGATGGGGTGACCAGGAGCCGCACCTCACGTATATCCCCCAGGACCCGAATCTGCCGGGACACTGCCTTTAACGAATCAATCGTTAATCGTTAACAGATCTATCCACGATCGACTGTCAATTAATCTCGGCATCGTACAAGTGTATATATCTTTCACTGATTTGTTCAGCTTGCACAAGATTGGTATATCTCTTTATTCGACCGACGTTTCGGCAATATCGCCTTCTTCGGGGTCTGAAAAAGTCGTTAACAGATCGTTTATAAATCGTTAACGCCAAGTGAATTCCAAAAGAGGCGGTGTTATGAATTTCAAAATCTGCTCTTTTATGTTCGTACTGACAGAAAATTCCTTCAATTACTGTGATGCTGAGAAAAAAGAAGGAATTATTAATGTGCCGTTTTCAGTGTAAGCTCTGAAATCATAACCAGGGTCAAGCAAGGGATGTGGCACACGATCGCTGGTTACGACCTCCCCCCCCCCTGAACTATATACCTAAGACAGCATTACCAGAGTTGAGAAAGAGGTCAGGCACAAGTCTTTCGAAAACCCCTCTCCCCTCCCATGAAAGCCCTCAAACGACCCCTTCTTCCTCCACTTAACCTCTGAACCTCAAAGTGTGACATTCTGGAGGGCACCATCTTTTTCTAGAGAGTTTTCAGATTTCTGAGAGCTGTACGCCCGATTTTGTGTGACTGCACTTTACAATCACACTTAATTTGACGGCTGATTTTGATCTGAATGGGCATATTGAAAGGGCCATGATTCTCTTATGGGTGGAGCGTTCGGCTCCAAATTTCCAATGTAGCCAGAAGAAGCTATGTGCTCAATACTCATACCAGCAATGGAGCGCTTTCTGGATTTTGAAGGCAAGTTAAGGCTGCGGCAGCCGCAGCTTCTAAAGGGGTGTGCCGCACCCCATTAACTACATCAAAAAAACATTTTTAGCGGACAGTATTTATATGAATCGATAGCCTAAACCTTGTAGATTCCACAGGACTGTTTGGAGCCTGATTTGTCTTCTTAGCTCTGAGTACTATTTGGTGAAAACACAGCGATCAAAAGCGAAAATGGGAAAAACGAGATTTTGGTTGGCTTCTAATTCCACAGTTTGCAGGTCTTCTGAAGCGGGATTCCTGAGGTGGACAAAGAAGGAGTAGTGCTTTGTCTTGAGTGCAAAAACGGATAGCTAATCCACTTTTGAAACAAAGTTGACCATGTTGGAATTTGACCATTTCGTTTAGGTAGCCTAGTATCTTGAATCTTCAGAATTCGCTCACACTTTGTCTACACGGGTTAATTGACATGTTAATTATGAATTTGATACGAATATCATGTTATCACTATTATCAGATTACCCAACTACGACCCCCCCCCCTTTTGACTCCTCAATACGACCCTCTAGGTGTGGCGTGCCGCACCCCACGCTTGACCCTGATCATAACTATTCGCAGGCGTAACCCAGCACAATTTGTGCTCCTCTAGATAGAGCAGATTATACACTTCAACACTCACCGTTCCAGATTTCATCAAAAAGTTTCCGATTGAAAGTGATGTGACGAAAAATCATTTGAGTGACCTCCATTAATCGCTTTTTTTTCTGGAACCTTCTTATCTAGATGGCCCGTTAGGACTTTACAGAGGCAATGTTTTCTTCTGCTGTCAGAACAAGTAGATTTATCAAGTAAAGTAGGGTCATAATTTTGAAAAGGTTGCGACAAAACGTGCGCTTCCACCTAGTATAAAGTTTGCGAACATTTCAGTAGCATTCGATGCCACTCTTGAAAGTTGTCGGGAATTTTGAGAGTGAGTATTGAAGTTGTGTGAGGGCTATAATTTGCATGAAATCTCTTGCAATTTAGCCAAATTTTCACCAACATTCTAGTTCGCTTGTTTTGCACACGAGTTAATAACACACGTTGGCCTCGTGCCATTCAACAATCTCACTGTATTCGCGCCCGATCCACTCATACTCCATGATTAGACATAGTAAACAATGGCCGAATTACTTGGTAATCCTTCGCGATGAACAATGCGCACTGAGGATGAGACCGAGTTGTTGTCGCAGTGTCCACGAGCAGATTACGGTAGTGGGACGAAATTCGCAGTGCTGACCGCCGAGGAATTTACAATGCATCATTTGAATTGACTCGTCGTCCTTGCGCTATCATTCATTCATCAGTCCTTATGTTAACGCAGCGGATGTCCGATGGCACCTGCAGACACTGCAGAAAAACTAGGTCTTTCGAACGGGTTCATTGCAAAGCGACGAACAAAATCAAAGTCAATTATCAGCAGCCAGATTCGGCGCAGAACAATCTGTGTTGTGGGAAGTCAAAAAATGTTTTTTGGGAAAGAACGCACAAACATGCAACATATAAATAGAATGCCTCGTAAACTGTCCTATTTAGCATCATTACAGTACTCGCGACTTTTCGCAAGACGGTGCTCGTGAAAATATGGAGAGCTTGGTTGCGAAACTGACTTTACAGAAGTGCCATCCAGTGCAAAAAACCTGCAGTTGTTGTACTTTGCTTTTTTTCATCTAGAATTAACTACTTTTTACAGAACAAAGCATTTTGAATATTGAGGGAATCATATCGAATTTGTAGTTGCAAACAAGCCACATTCCGCAGCAACACTGCTCATACTGTGGTCTTTCACTGCCTAGCGCGATTTATCTTAGTTAGGAATTTCCGTCTTTTATATAACGGAGGTACAGTGTGGGCCTTACTGTTTTCTTCCATCTAATTTTGTACATTTGAGCGCAAAAGAGGACTCATTTTAGTAAAACCTAAAATTTGCAAAAATTTGCACGCTGTTTTGAAATGCCTCCACTCTCTAAAGATTCATTCTGCAATCAAGGTGTTCTTTGCATAGTATACAAAGAAAACATTTCTATATTATTGGTCACAGGGAAACGTTTTTGTGGGTGAGTAAGTCTTTTTGTGGTTCCTACCATTCAATTGATCATTACATTACTTATGCCTAATGTGCCATCAGGCAGAAAAATTTATTACTTAATTAGATAGCTGTATAGCAGATATAAACATACCTCAAAAAAGGATCATTTTACATTGCCAAACCAATCACATCATACAATCAGCAAAGGAAGTATAGTGCTCAAAATAATAAAGTGGGATGAAGGACTATTTAATCGGTACTTCCGAGCGGTATGTGATGCATTCAACAACTTATCTTTTGAAGAAGAAACATCTCGCAAATAAGTAAAAGAGATGGTGACGAATCGTGACTTCGTGCTATTCTGATCTGTGCAAAAGAAAAATACTGCAATATTTCTTCTTATATTATGTATAAAATTCAGGAGGTCTTTCTGAGGACTATGTTATAAGAATGTGGACACGGGTTTCTGCAAGATGCAGTGCTGTCATTTTGTAGCTATTTTCTGAAAACGCAAAGATTGCTATGCATTTCACCTCTTCTTGTTAGAGCATCAAAAATGATCAACTACACACCTTATTTCATGTAGAATGAATTTTTCGTTATTCACGATGTATTAACTTTGTTAATTTCTGTGTGATATATGGACCACGCCCTCCTCGCATGGGCGGAGCGCCATGCGAGGAGGGCGATCCGCAAAGGTCATTGTGCCATTTGAATTGCACTCGGCCATGCCTTCTCACCAACCCGCTAAGCTTGTTCCGCAGAAATTGCGCAGGAACGAACGGGAACGCAAACGAGTCGATCAGGTCGGTTCTGCTGCGGTTTATCGCTTATTCTACCTATTTTTCATCGGTGTAATTGAGAGAAATTGGGTCTTTTTTCTATTAACAACTCCTTACCTATGGCTACTTGAGACGAACTTTTTTGAAGTCTCCAGCTCCAAGCAAAGTACACGTTCTCCAGGTGAACCAAGGCTTCAATCAACTCCGCCACCGGGTACCACGACCTCACGGCTCCAAGCAAAAACTGTCAAAAGTGGAGACACTGCGCGAAGCTGCCAGATACATTGAACAACTGCGAGCCATGCTTCAACAAACTCCCTACGAAGTTCAACCCACACAACGAGTTTCCTTCCCACCGCAGCAGCAGCACTATTATTCAGCTAATGATCTCTCACCATATTATCCAAATGCTCACACTCAAGCTGAGATTTCACCTTCTTCATCCTATTACAGTGACTCTTCATTTGAAGAGCAAAAGTATTGCAATTTTATGCAACATTGATTTTCTTTCATAGAAAATGTCTTAACGACGTTTTAGAATTTATTTAGCTATTTTATTCTTATAATGTTTTCAGTCACTGTGATCGGGTTTGTTTGATGTTCTCTGGCCTTTGTTTCGGCCTCCACATGAATTTATCTCACTTTGAAGTTTTACATATACGTGTATCTGTATGAATAAAGCTTTATCATCTCCCGGACTCATTCCATCTACGGGAATGAAAGCTGATAGAATCGACGGTTGTGGGGTAGATTTTTTTCGGGGGCGCCAATTCGCACGAAATGGAGGTTCGTTGACATAGCGAGCCACCTAATTATCGGTTGGTTTTTGCTTGATCGTGGCTATGCGCGTGCCCTTTTGCATGCCTTCTTCGATGGAGAAAACGGCTGTGAACAGAAAAAAGTCGTTCACTGGGGTGACATTTTTGGTAAAGCCTATTTCCAAATATATCACGCCAAAGAAGCTATAAGAGTTGGCTGAATAACTGCAAAAATGAAGTTTCATATAAGGATTCTTATTATTATTTTGGCTTATGAATAAGTTCGAATGCTTTCGGCACATTACATTCTTCGTTGTTTCTAGATAGAGAAAACCTATTTACATCAGAATATCAAATTAACTCTATATCCACTACGGCAAGAAAAACGAATTTAGGAAGTCAAAGATGTGTGCTTTAGGTTACCTATACCGAAGCATAACCTTTATTTGATGATGATAAAATATTTTAGGTAGTTGATATGTGATAGTAAAAGCCTCAAACTACTTCAACGCAAAAATATCGTGAATAGAGAACTACGCACCAAATTTTTATGAAGATCTGCATGCTAAACAAACTTATTTTTTGGCTGACTTAATAATTCATTGGAATTTAGAGTTGAGTTTGCTTAACATTAAAAGACGCTTTGTCTCCGAGAGTTTCTTAATTTCCATCGCGGGCAACTAAGACAAGCTCTTTTACGAGATTCAAAAGTTTTGAATTTCCAATGAGATTTAAGAAATGTCAACTTATGTCTCGAGACTTATGTTGATCGGGCAATAAAGAAAACAAAAAATGGTTAAAAACGTCCAAGTGATTTAACATTGCCTGGGCTATCTCTTAGCAGAAAGCATCTGCAATGTAACACAAAAATTGGATGAAGTAGTATAAGTTGACAATTTTCGTTCTCAGTCCTCCTAAATTCTGCGGTCCTTTGATTTTCCGTTATACGTAGCTACGTTATTGGTCGAGAGAGCATCGCTAGCAACGCTTTTTCTCGAACATTTCATGTTCAAAATTAAATAAAAAGGATTGTATATTGTGTGATGCGTTTATGTAATGATTTTTTGGTTAACCAGGAGCCGGCTGGATTTGTAATTGATTAATTCTACAATTCCACATAGAATATCTATCAAGTGGCTATTGGTGGAATCTACTGATGCCTTTAAACAAGCAGATCCTGAGCCTTCGTGGTATGACCATATGATTTTCTCAACTATTTTGTCAACCAAATACCCACTCTGAACCACTCTGAAGAGCTGTCTGCTAAAAGGGCAGCTGCACATCCATCGTGGATGGCTGAGCATGACCTTCAGCAGGTTATCCTGCTCTCAAGAGATCACCTTACAGGCTCGATGCATTCCATTAATCCCGCGTTCAGAGCCCATTTACATAAGTCATCACAGTTCACTTGAAGTGTCAGTCTTAAGAGAACACGGACATGACACTCATGCGAACAAGGCGACATATTTCGACGGCCGCAACCTGTCGCAGTTGCGATGGCGCAACCGCACTTGCGTCATTTATCGCCCTACCGTAAGCCATTTAATCATATCATGTAGTTTGTTTGACCTGTAGAACCTTGGTGTCAGCGGATTAGTAAGGATTAATAATAGCATAGGTGGGGCGAGGAAGTTTTGGATTCCTGTACCCAGAATGCTCAACTACGTATGCATTGCAAATTAGCCCGATGCGCTAAATTTGCATGTTTCCGAATTTGGAAAAGTTGGAAATTTGTTATAGCGCTCAAACGAATTTTACCTTAAGATTTATCGAATCTGTAGATCATGTTTGTTTCGACTGGGAAAAGTATAAAAGAATTGTTCGAGTAGAAAGCAAACTTCTTGCTTCTGTTTCTGCCAGCTTTGTCAAGAAAAGCAATTATGAGAATATGGTGAATTTAATTCTTCTGCATTTTATCTATTGCATAGATACAAATCGAATGCTGAAAAAAAATACATACACCATTCAATGAATGATTAGTGTATTATATGCACAATCTTCATTGAATAATTTCACCGATATTAAATTGATATAAAACAAGTGATTCATACAACAAATGTCAAAAGATAACTTACACATGTGAAAATGAGAAGTAGGCCAGCGTTATTGTGAGTGTTAGTCAATCTGATGTTATAAGAAAGTGTATACAAACTAGCTTTTGGAGTTCACAGTATGTTTGCCTCAAATGATGATGATGAGTGTGGGACGGATCGTCTCAAATTTGTGGTTTTATATAAGTAACGGAACGGATTTGCTACTGCAAAGGTGAACGACGGAATGATAGTTTCTTAGCATCTCAAGCACGGTAACTTAGCATGTAACTGTTCCCATTTGTACGCGTGTAAGTCGTCACCCGGTAACCGGAAAAATGGTATCTGCAAGTTCATAGAAAGGTAAACTATTCTTAGCGAATTATTTCGTTTACACGAAAGTGCCATCTTCCAAATGAAACTTCGAGAACGACATCTTGTAAAATGAAGCTAATCAACTTTATCGAAAATTTCACAAATACTAACGCCTAAAAAATCCTATGATTTGTTTGAAGTCTGGAACTATATAATCCAAACTAATTCGCCAACTTTTCTAAGAATGTCGCAAATTACTTTGTTAGGTCAAAATTGAACCGTAAAAGGTATGGCTTTCATTATTGTCACCCCCCTCCTCCCCCCTACTTCCCCTACTTCCTTTCTACACTCATCGTCTTATGAATGTAGATTTAACACAGGTAATACTCAAGCTAAGCGATTAAATGTGGTCTGAATAACTTGACCTGCTTCTAGGACCGTGTATTTGGTATTGTCAACATAGTCTAAGGCTAATATATGTCAGTAGGTTTAGCGGACGATTTTTTCTCTTGTCTCGTGTGAAATAAGATGATTTATGCGATCCATTTACCACAACAGGTGCACCGGAAAAGGTGACCTCATTTTATAGCTGTTATTTGGAGATTTTCAGCTTCCTAGAACAATTTCAGTAAATCATACGGTCAATTTGAGCGTGGAGGGAATGTCCCATTCACTTATCCCTTGAAAAATTTTCGTATTGGTGTACCTCAATATACAGGGTGTTCCAAAAATGTGCACACTATTTGATCGTTGATAATTCTCTTGCAGTAAAGCCTTTCGCTGATCTTTAGGCACCATTTTGTAAAGCTGCCTTTAACTTATAAGAGAATGGTCAGAAATTAAAGTGGCAAATCCAAACAAACTGCACATTACTGGATGCAGCATAGAATGCTGACCTTAATTCTGTCTTTGGTATCTGCCAAAGACTTTTGTGGACGAAGTTATAAGCAATTATCGAAGAGATCGCGTAAGCAAATTGGAGAACTGAACATACAATACGGATTCATGTTAGCTTAGCTGTCTCAAAACATGCAGCTAGGTTACTTCTTTAGCCCTTAGCGAAATAGCTGGAAAGGCAATAGTGTGCCTAATTTCGCAGTTTGTGTGCACAATTTCCATGCAATGAAACTGCCTGTAATTTCGTCTATTAAGATTTTTCAGGAGACAAGAATGACAGATTTGTAGCCAGCGTTTCATGCTGCATTCAATGGCACGCAGCTTTTTTGGTTTAGCCACTTCGACTTCTGAACATTTCCTTGTTAGATCTACGGTACGGAGCAAATCACCGACCTTTCTTCGTTACTGTAGGCTCACGGAAGGAATCTCCAGTATCCAGAATCGTGGTAAATAGGGCGCTTGATAAAGTTTTTTCGAAAAAGCGGAAAACTGTGCAGCAGGTTTTTACTCATGCTGACTTCTACGCAACTTTTTACAACATCTTGAGGTTTATAGGTGTGATCACATCTCTGACAAACTTTGAAAAACATTTGTTATCATTTACTTGCAATAACTTAGAAAAAGAAAAACATTGAAGTCCAGATTTCATATTCAAAATCAGGGCTTTTCTTAATTAGTGGAAGAGTTGGTTTTTTTCTTGAGGCAAAATATGGCTCTTAATGGCATAAAATCGTCGATGTTCCTAACTTAATCCTGCAGTAATGAAAAATGAACCGTGATTTGCTTCATACAGTAAATCTAATTATAAATTAAATTTCTATTATGCAAGACTCAAATTTTTTGAAGATCATCGCACAAATCTGCACATGTGTAATTTATTCCTATCACAGGAAGTTTAACCTAGTGACGAACGTAGTACAATATCTGAAGAGGTAACCCAGAAGGGTCGGTGGTGTAAAGGGTCTAATCAGTGCTCATCTGCTCTCGTAATTAGCCGCTCAAAAAAGGCGCAACGCTGTAAGAGGCTTCATCTGTCGTTCGCCATCCTGTATTGCTTGCTCGGTGAGAGCATAATCTACTGTAATTGACCCGTAATCACTCGAGCTGCTCGAGTCTTTGAGGCTTTTGGCGAAAGCGCCCTTGCAAGCCATCCGCGGAAATTTCAACGTCTACGGTGCGCACAGCTCAACCAGGTGCGCATCTCATTTGTCGCGACAATATGGCTCGCCTCAGCTAAGACAAACTAATTGCGGCCTAATTTCAGCCGAGAACGCAATCGCAGTGAGTTGATTGCGCTAACGCCTCAATGCGTACGTTACGGCTCTGTTGCGCAATCGCTGACAATCAAAGTGATCGTAAAAACACATGCAGTCCACACAAACTGCTGATAGCATCAGAATTTTCCGGATGTGACCATGTAACTGGCACGCGTCCAAGTTGATACCGTATGCATGAGGCGACTGGTCGTAATCGTTACATCCGTCGTTAGGCTGCTCGATCAACGCAATTACGCGTACATTGAGATATTTTATCGCTTCGCATTCGTTGTATTAATTGCTGTTGATATAACATAAATATCCACGTGGAATTCATTGA